CATGTTTTTGCAAATATTTGCGAAATCTAAAAAAAGTGAATTCATTAGTAGCTCAATTGTTCTTGAGCCTCGTTTACAGGGAAAAAAACATTCTTGTGATATTCTTATACATCTGATTGTATGCATAGATCCGAAAAAAGCTTAGATTTTTGCATGTATTGCCAACCATGCGAATTTAGCATGCAAATATGCATGTAATGGAAGTGGATGGGAAAGAATGTGGGTGGGCGTTGGGTTCATTTTGCTAATTTATTTTAGATGTAGCAGTTGACATTGTAATTACAATTAAAGATAAACAAAACGAATTCGTGGCATCGTGGCGGAATGGTTGTCTTGTTTTTTTTACATTTTTAAGGAAAATGGGTAATAGCGAGTTTCATGTTTCTTGCTTAATTTTAAATACTTGAATAACTAATTGCGGTTTGGGTACAATTATCAAAAAGCGCAAAACCCAGGGTACGATTATATTATAGACCTTTTATGTAGGAATAAATTGAGTTGTCTGAAAATTTCAAAGTTCGTAAACATTTTAAATAAAAACGTGTCTAAATTTTAAGCAAATCTCAAAGTTGGTAAAAATTCGCAAATTTGACAAGAGATTTTTGTCACCCTGTCCATTTGGCCGTGCAAACTGGCCTGAACGAAGAAGATGGGTCAGAAAACAGCGTATCACATCATCAACTAGCAAAGTTTATGAGATTGTCCGTCCAATTAATTAAATGAGCGTGCTTGCAGTATTATTTGCTTAAAGCTCTTTTTTATTATGTATTCCTGTTTTTCCACCGCTCACAAAAACCACCTAAGCAGACTGATTTATTCACCTGGACACAAAATGCTATACAGTCCCTCCTAATTTTACGCTGATTACTCCTTAATTGATTCAACAACTAAATATTTGCAATCTTACTCCAACAAAAAAGTTCAGGTTAAAATCACCGTTTAAAACACAACATAAAATTTCAATTTGTTGCAAAAATTCTTGCCAAATTTGGAAAAACGTTTTTTTTTGCTGTTGAACAATGAACAAACTATCAAATTAAAGGATCAGAGTACCTTATCATTAAATAAAATGATTTACTTTAAAAATTTATGCTAATAAGTTGGGCATATTTTTACATATCATGAAATTGTTACGGAAATTATCGATTTTTAATAAAATCAACACCTTAATAATTGCCCAATACGGATCGTTTGTAATATTTGTCGGTTTTCTTAGTCGATCTTGTCCCATCTGATTAACTCATATCAAATCAAATCATGTTTTGCATGTTAAAACTGGATCGAATCCATCGAAAAGCTAACCCAGCCCAAATTAGCCGATGTAATGAATCATTCTCGTCTTTCAAAAATTCAACATTAGTTAGCGAGATGACAGCAATAATCATAAATTTTTAGCACAAATAAATCCAAATGGCAATTATTCTGAAATTTGAAAGCATAGCAGAGTATGCAAAATATGCAAAATAATGATACATTAAATTGATTAGTGGAACCAAACTGGTGTAATTATCGCATTAGTAACCTCCTGCACATAAGTCTAACCTTTGCAAAGAATATTCGGGTGCAGCAAGAGGTAAAGGCCTCGAAAATGTGATAAGTCAGAACAAAATTTCTAATTGTATTTGTCACGGTGAATTTAGTGCTCGTATTGGTTGTCAAAGTCCGTGTGTTTCTGTAATAACGACTGGTATTATTATTTGTAAGACGTTAACCACAATTCAAATTTTTTCTTAAAGAGTTTTAACCAATATTCACAACTATATAGGTGTAAATATGTAACCGTTTTTTCACATATTTAGTTGCGATTTTTTTCATTCCATTCCATTTTTCATTCGTCACTAAAAATTTTCAACGGCCGTATCGTCATTATAAAGGTCACAAATTAATACAAACAAATCTGTAGATTTAAAACCAGCAAATTACAATTGAATCTGAGAGATAGAAAATTCTAGGAAAAACGGGACGGGACTTGGAAAAGAGTAGGTTTACCTCCTTGAACAATTTCGAACTCACGCAAAATTAATCTATCTAATTCTCTTTTATGATATTGCATTTACCAGAAACTTTTAAAAAGCGTCACACCATAGACAAATAAATAACAGCTTTTAAGCGGATTGAAACCTGTCAATTGTTCAAAATTGCAAACCTTTTTCCACTCAGACAGACAATTCGACAGAAAAAGGCTGACTTAAGGGACGATCATACCCACGAAATGAGTTTTATTGGATTGGATAACAAGTGTCACTGCCATTCTCATCGTGTCATTGATGAGACAACGTCTTCTTCATCTCTCTTGTACGATTACTCGTCAGATTAATATGTCAAAGTCAGCGTCAAAACAAACTAGAATAAAAAACATGATAAGAAAAAAGATCAATCAGTCTTGCAGATCAATGATTCCCTAATAACTTTTGTCTCCTGTGTGCGTGCCAATAAAACTACGTACGGAATTTGGTCCGTCTAAATTACAATTTTTTCAAATCAAAGAGTGTCTCGAATTGCATAATTTATAAGACAAATCGTCATCATGTTGATAATTTAAATTATGAGGTATTGATTTCGGCAAAAATCAATGAATTAAACAGACAAGTTGCATAAGTAGAGGAGACGAAGGGAGGGAGGGAGTGGAACTATTAGGCTGTTTAAGCCTCCAATTTATTGCGACGACTAGTTGCAGATAAGAATATTAAGGAGACGGTTGATAGGATTGATTTTTTATTGATCGTGTCGATTTTTCAGCAGCCACGTACAACACAGTTAACAAGCGGGGATAAGAGGAAGATATCGTCGTAAATAAATCGGATTTTGTAATAATGGCGAAGGTGCAGACAAAGTAGTTAAGGATCTGGAAATAAATGTTGGAGCGACGCTCCAGGATGCCACAGCCACCTCACTTTGGAAAAATTGAGAAGGTGTCAAATAAACTAATCCAGATCAACGCAGAGATCTGTTCTCGCGACTCGGGTTGTGTCTACAGTTTCATCTCAGAAGCGTATCTATCTATGAACGTCTTCTTCTTGACAAGGGGAAAAGTTTGTATCTCGTCTCACTCAAGTTGAAATTCCACGGCAAATATTTATTTATTGGATTCAATCCGACGACTCAACTCACCTGTTGGCTAAATAACTTAGCTGTAGTGAAGAAGAGGAGACCGAGTTGGAATAAATAAGAAGATACAGAACAACGTGGGTTTACCAAGTCTACATTTTGCTCCTTTAGGGCAGGGTGTGGTCCCTACACAAGAACGTATTTACACATTCTGCATTGTTCATCATCATGAAGATGTGGTAGAAGAGTTGCATAAAATATTGCATGCGATAATCAACGGGTAAACAAAATATGTGCATGCATGCAAGGTAATCATCATCCCCACGAAATGCATAGAAAAATAGAATTTGCAATACAGCGAGGTAAATAATATGTACTTGGTAAAAATGGCGAAAGATGAAGGAAATTATGAATTAAGTCATCTTTGATGAACTCAGGCGAGATAATAATGAAGGATGCGCAGACTGGACTCCTGATTACTGACCAACCACAAGAATGCGAAATAATGAGTATATTTTTAAACACAAAGGATCCCATTGTGTTCCTGTTCATCCAGGAGAATTGTGCATGTCATTATTATCACACTTTTGTTGCACTGCTTATTATTATTACCTCGACTCACTGGGTTTTCCCAGTTTCATCTGAATCCGGACATACTACACGTTATTCTTGCACCAAGAACAGGACCACTTCTTTAGGTGGACACGATAAATAATAAGCCGGGTGCATAAAAAAGGACAGAAATTGCAAGAAAAGGAGGAGGACGGACGGGTAGTAATTAAGGATGCATTTTAGCCAACAACATACATAAATCCAGTAGTAGCCGTTTGTTCATGCAGTGTATCCGCCTCCTCCTATGTAATACATGCAGTAGTCCCAATTGCAAATTAATAATACTGCATGCACAATTTATTCCATGTACGAAGATAAAGAAAAAAACTTGCAATTTCACGCATACTTTACCTCCGATCTCTTTCTGAGATGATTACATGCAACAATGTTGTTTGAGTCTAAATTGCACATTCTTCTGTAGGAATCCTTTGTTCGCAGTTTGGCTGTGTAACCAACACCACATCCCATTTCTTAAAAACTAACTGTGCGATTACTACTTCTCGCGTCGGGCGGGATGAGTCAGACGTTTTAAGTGAGGTTTAAAACGCTCCTGAAATCCGGATCAATCTCTAGACTCGTTTTTTTAGTAGCGCTTTATTTAATGCGTTGGGTCTTATCATGAAACGGAACGGAGCGAGGAGGTGCAAAAAGTTGGCAGTAATGGATGAAATTCGATGCTTCTGATTGATTTGCTTCTTCATCTTGGACAAGAAGAGGAGGGAGATGAAATAAATGGATGGCTGTGGTGGTGGGTGGTTTAGATTTCAGGAGAGGAGAGTCGTCCATTTCGGACTGTGCAAAAAGCAGGTGATTGATACCTAGATATCCTTCTCATAGTAATTGTAAGATGGGGCATATTTGTCATGGGGGTGGGGATAAAAATGGATCACATGGTTTATGTTCGGCCCCGATCTGGTTGACGACAACAATGGGCTCACTGATTGGAAAAGTTCCGCAAAGAAGTCGGGAAGCAAAAAATCAAGATCCGGGTCGTGCACTGTACGAATCTCGTCAAGTATGTAAGCAAACCCACGCTGTGTGCAAGTTCTACTTCCACACACACCAGACTAAATTGCACATCCGATACAGAAATCAAACTTTGATCTCTCTCTAGTCTGTGTCTGTTCTAATGGAGGTAGTCGTGTCTTGGTCACGATTGAAAATCTAAAATTGTATACATGCGCTAGACAGACAAACAGACAAAAGAAGATGGAGACCAAATTCCACTAAACTTCCTAAAACCGCAGAAGGACAGATCATCACGCATGATGCTTCTAATCCATGATTTCAACGTGACTCTAAATTAGGTACAAGAGATGATAATATCTACTACTCCTGTCATACTGGTAAAAAAGCGTACTTTACTTTACACCCTTAAAAGTTACTATTACAAGACTTAATTATAGTCATCATACCACATAATGATAACGTATTTTATCCTTAATATCACAATTACATATATCTAATCTTGAAATCTGAAGTGAGAAATTATTGCGTATTAAACGAAATAATCTCATAAACTCGATCGCATCACTGGGGAAAATATGAGATCTGCTCTTCAACTCTGTAACACTAATTTAAATAATCTGCTCATTAAATTAAACGACGTATCGGTCTGGGTGGGTGGGTGTAGGCGTAAAGGCCTCATTAATCAATCTCGCTCCTCAGTGTATGTGAGTCCTTATCTCCTCCTGGTTTTATTTAGTTCCTGGGCGTGAGCGTCAATTAGGAGACGATGTACCATGTTCGATACGACGACGAGGAGCAGGTGCCATAATTAATTAGAACCTTCACCTCGACCTCCACCCGTCGAAATACTTGCACGAATCCTAATTTGCATAGTCGGGGAGAAGCATTACATTGAACAAGTGTCGGATGGTTGGTCTTCCGTGTGGACAGTTCTGAGACAAAAAAAAGACCAAAAAGTTAATGTAACCCTTTCACGTTCGGTGGTCAATTCAATTCATTCGAAATTTTATCCCATTCAATTTTTTGCACGAAACAGGATACGACACAAATACTACTGCCAGCACCACCACCACCATCACCACTACTAATTTTTTGCCTTTTAACAACTCAACAGCCAGAACAATTTACTCGGCGGAGCGAAACAGTGATGTGGTGGGTGTCGAATTGCAATCCTTTTTCTCCGATGATCGTGACGTGACGAGTCAGGAATTTAAAAGTAGTAAAGAATTAACATAGTTGGATACCCAGGGTTGGTCCATGGCCGCCATGTGGTCCAGAATGCTCCGCATCTCAACCCCCGTCAAAGACTTTCCGATCATAACAGACTTTCGACAGGCGCGAGACGCCAGCATTCTCCTTATTTTCGAGGGGCGGCAGAAGTAGGGTTCGTCACAGTCCTATAATTATTATAATTGTTACATGGTAATTAATAACTTTATTACGGTCACAATCAGCTAATAGTACCACCTCCAGCATCCAGATCAACTCTTCAACGTCAGTCTTCCCAAACTCGCACGACTTGGAGAAAGGTATTTTGCCCAGTTTTACTCTCTGGGTGGGTTCCGCTACGTTCAGACACATTGATAACGGATCTTAATTTGCTTATCAAATTTCAATACTCATTTACCCAAAGGATTAATTTCGAAATCGAATCCGTTCTTTCGAAACGTTTCTAAATGATCGAGCACAATGTTTTCGCTCACAGCGGGAAGGCCGAGGTCGAGGGGACTGTCAGAAAAAGACAAACAAATTAAACAAATCAAAACCGATTCTAACCGAAAAAGCGAATAGAAAATTGGTTTATGTAAACGTTAGCGTTAATGTCTCATCGTCAAGCAATGTACCGAATGAGCTTCTGGGTTTGCAACACGGTCGATTTCTCCAACTCTTCAAAGTTCCACTTCTCATCAGACGCGTGCTGATCCACGATGAACAAGTCTGACCCAGACTTGGCCACGATGAAACCAAGATTAAACTGACCCACCACCTCCATCTGCAGCAAAATGCATAAAACATTTTAAATTTCAAAATCGTCCATAATAATATCTTACTTCTTACTCACCTTTTTAAAGGAATCTTTCTTCAATTGCTTCTTCAGCTCTTCTTCCGCCACACCATTCTCTCCGGGGGAAATCCGGGCACGGAAATTTTGGTTGAAAGTCTTGGAGGAAGAATTTTCTGCCTGCAGACGAGCTCTTCTTTTCACATTTTCCTTAATTTCCTCCCAATCAATGAAGAGAGAAACGCTGGGTTGTAATGATGCGTCGTAGTTGATGTCGTCTCCTACTGCCAGGATGTCGTCGTCATACAAGACACACACTTTTACGTCGTCAATTTCATCTTGTTTGTCATCATCATGACCTCGCTTTCTTTGCCGTCGTAACATTGCAGAATTGTCATTGCGTTGCTCCAGTAAAGACTTGACATCCATTACGACGGGAATGACTTCCGATTCAGTTGCTGCTTCAGGTTCTTCTTCCTCGTGCTCTTCTTCCTTCTTGAGAACTTTCCTCTCGACATGCACGATGGGCCCCCTACGAGTGGATATCCAACCAGAGGCCGACACGTTTGACGGTTTGGTATGCTTGAAATTGGACGACGAAGAATGACCAAACGAGTTGGTTCCAGTTTTAGCAAACCGTTCCCTCAAACTGGGCATTTTCCTTATTTGTGACGACGAGGGTGACGTAGTCGTCGTCTTGGTGGCCTTTTGCTGCTGCCTTGTAGCAGAAGTGGACAACTGAGTAGAAAACATGGTCGCGGACGGTAACTGCTTCCCGACCTGTTGTGAAGATGATGAAACAGAGAGTGACGACGATTCCGTCGTATAAAGGGAGACAAGTGATGCCTGTAAAAAAACGACACGAGTTACTATCACATAACAATTCATTCAATTCCTCTCCCCTCCAAAATTTCCGATTGGTCACCTTAACGATGGCATACAGGGATTTTTCACTCATGAGGTAGAGATTTCGTTTGTCTGGAGTGACGTTAACGTCCACGTCCTCCCTCGCAGTCTTGATGTTGAGGCAGACGAAGGGGTACGAACTGCTTCCTCGTGTGCTGAAAGTGTTGTACACCGAATTCACAATCTTGCTAATCTGTGAAATAAGCACAATTATTAGGAGAAATATAAATCGAAGTCATAATATGTAGGCAATCCTAACGGTACCTTTGGCAGATCGACGGGTCTCTCATTGACAAAGAAGAACTGTCGATCTCCTCCCCCTCGTCCCGCATTCCGTCCCGAAATGTACCCCTCGAGTAAAAATCGGTCGTTTACAAAGGTCTTCCAATTTAACCCGAATTCTGTCAACGTTTCCTCGTCGAGCACCTCCTCTTGCTCAAACTCCACCAGCGAAGCCAACTACCCAAAAAAACTGAGTAGTAATTTATTTTGTAAAGTCCCGAAAGTTCTGTGGTAAATACCTGCTTCGCCCCAAAAACCCCAACGATCCGCTCTCGCAACGTTTTCGTAGATGGAACAGAAACCACTGGAGAGAAAGTTGTAGCTTCTCCATGCTTGTGTTCCACCGTGATTCTATTTGCATCAACAACAACAAAAATCAATCAGCACACAAAATTGAAGGGTTGGCTAATAATTATTAAGATCTACTTACCGCACCCCTCTCGCTATGAGACAATACCCGTTCAGCACGCCCACCATTTTGTTAAACTCTCGCTTTAAATTCTTGAGAAATTCTGCCCTCCTGACCGGAAGTGGAGCGAAGATGTCTCTCAACGTGACTGTCGTGCCGACCTCACGGTGAGTGGGGGCAACTGAGATCAACGTTCCGGAAGGAGAGTAGGTCAACAAGGAGCCGGTCGGTGACCCAGATGACCTCGTGAGGATGACGAGTCCGGTGGAAGTTAGGCCTGCGAGGGAGGAAAGAGCCTCTCCCCGGAAGCCAAAAGTGTCCACTGTCCCGAGGTCGGAGAATGTTGATAGTTTTGAAGTGTGATGTTTCAAGGCTAGACAAGAATAAGAAGTTATAAGTGGATGATAATTAAGCAACGCTTAGGATAACCTAAGACTTACCCAGTCCTTCAAAATTGTCCACGTCAACGCCCCGCCCGTTGTCGATGACCTGGATGAGAGAGGAACCCCACTCGAGGAGACGAACCTCGACGGCAGTTGCGCCAGCGTCAAGGGCATTTTCGACAAGCTCTTTCACAGCCGTTGATAAGGTCACGATCACCTAATAAATAATTGTTGCAGTGACGTAATTGATGGTTCAGACAGTGTCGACCTTAGTTAGTAAAACTGTGACATCCTGTCTACCCCTCAGTTAACTAGTCATAATTATTGCGTAAAGAATTAATTAAACTATCGGTTTTCATATGAAATCGGTGTACTTGACCCAAATGCGTTTAATGATCCACTGGACAAATCAATGTCATTCTCGATTGCTCTTTTACTCATCGACACTCATTGGCACCTCATAACTCCATTGTTTCAGAGTTTAATTAAATCCAGTTTCAAATCACTTTGGCATGGATGTTTGGCACTTTAGTGACCATGTCATATTCATAAAATTGTTGGACCTCATCAGCAGTAAAAAAAATCCGTTAACTGTCAACAAAGCGATCATAACAGAAATGACAATAGATGGTCGAGGACACTGAACTACAGGATCCAATCCAAAATAAATAATAAAGAGACTCTACTGCAATCACAAAATGGAAAGTGAGAATAAAAAGTACAGTAATTATTAACATCCTCTCTCATCTCTCTCTCTCGTCATAACAATGAGCTGATTGACCATGTCGTTCTAATGTCACCAACTACGTACTTAATGCAACTGCTTACTTTTGATTCTAGTAATTATACTGAAATGATGACAATAATTACTAAACGATTGCAACCCACCTGCCCAGAGCATATTTGATGCACCACGTCTGACTGGATGGCCTTTATCTGACTGCTCTGACTACTCTCGGCGACGCCACTCCCACCGCTGCTGCCCTCCTCCTCAAAGAATGTCTCATCTGCCTCGCCAATATCGTCACCGTCGTCGTCACTTCCTATTTCTATCACTTGGTCCTTAATAATACCACCATCGTTGGCATTTTTAGATTCAATTCCTATACTGCTCCTGCCCCCAAATATGACTCGGTTACTTCCACTTTCACCGGAAGTGGGCGGCGTATCCGTCGTTGTTTCGGTTGTGCTGGGGGAGGAGGCGTTGTCACCATCCTCTGGGGAACATGACGAGAATGAGGATTGGGACGAGTTAGCTTTTCCGAGAGGATGACGAAGAAGACGTGGCGTAGGGCTGGCAATTACTTCCATCTTTTCAACTTTGCTATCGGCGTCGCAGTTGATAATAGCAGTTGCGGTGTTGGCATCGGATCCCCAGTAGGAGGAAACCTCCTCCTCTTCATCATGGTCTTGGTCCATATCTCGCAAAAATTATGGCACCTTCACCTGGAATTTAGGCAACAAAATAAAGAGAAAACCAGAAAAAAATTGGCATTGATCGTCATTACACAATTGCTCATTAACTAGAAAAGTCGTAGTGTTGGTCAGTTTTAGAGTTGTTTGATGGGTTTGTGTGACTCCTGGGTGGGCGGATGTGGATGGATGCATGGTCAGTATTTTGGTCATGAAAGTCTCAGCGGCATTCATGATGAGAAGTGAGACTGCATTTCAACTCCTAATCGGTATTCTAGATACGCGTTCGTGATGACGACTTTAATTAATCCTCATTTCCTTTCCGTGCATTCAGATTGATTTGATTTATTAATTTGTTTGCCAGAAGGAGCAGAGAAATTGAATATTGACGGCTAAATTAATATTGTGAAGGTGTCAAATATGGTACTTGTTAAATAACAAATTATACTTGGCTTTATATTTTCTCCTCTGCTTTAATATCTACACAAGTCGTTATTTGAATGGCGTCGCAGCCAGGTGTCCATTTAGGGGGAGAAAATATAATATTTACTCTTTTATTATTATCACTGCTGCCACCACCCGAATGACATGAACGCCTTGTGGCTTCTTAAATAACTGTGGCGTTCGTCCACGTTTGGAATTCTATGAGAATTATCTATCCCATAGATAATTCTCCTCATAATAATTTTAGCATAACGTAAATCATGTGCAACGCTATTTACGGAAGACTGATTTTTTTACTAATTTCATATATTTAAAATCAAGCCATTTTACACAATTGCATAATTACACACCCACCAACATCTCAAGTAATTGAAAAAAAATCTCAATTTGCATCCCTCTCTCTGAGAATAAAAATCCGTACAAGAAATGGGGGACAAAACATTGCATAACTCTGCACGCACTTACATTTTACTACGTCATAAATCCTACACGAATCATCCTACGTATTAAGATATGAAATAAGGGCTCATAAAATATAAGATACACACAGATTCTTCTACTGATTTTTTTGCAAACTTTTTATGCCAACATATTTCCTCCAATTTCATATTTTTTTTACTGCTACAGATCCGGGAGAAAGTTATTAAGATACATCCAACAAACACCACAGACACCACAAGTTATACATAAGTCTCTCACGCAGTATTACTCAACCGAAACAAATATTAAAGACGTAATGCAAAGGGGAAACATTTCGTCATAAAGCAGCAAAAGTTGCAAAAAACTTAGTCACTAGTTAGTCAAACCCTTAAATTAGACGTTTGACAATTAAACCTTTCCCAAATCCTGCGAGATCCGGGTGTAACAAAAACTGAAATTACTTATTCTTGTTTGCAAGAGTTCATACACCATGGCTTACTCGTACAAATTTGCACAATTGTTATTATGCCTGGAAATTACCAAGGACAAGAAGGAGATCTCGTATGGATCTACATAATAAACAAGGAAGGAACGAACAAAGACCAGCTTAATATTTGTTTTCTTTAACCCCTTGAAATCTGCTGGTCCTTCCTTCCTGAGGAAATCCCAGTCAACGCAACCCTTCAAATGGGGCTGAGAAGAATAAAAGGAGAGAAAAATAGGGCATGAATGAACCAATTTTATGATCCCAAGAAAGAAGCAGCCCAACTTGGGGATTCCCTACGATAAAATCTCCATTTCAGCACAGACAAGTCATTCACAAGTTACATAATGCACATAAAGACGATGAGTAGCAGAGAGATAATTAGTGTACAAAAGTGCATACAACAATTAACAACAACTGCACACACACAACAATACATGTACTCATCAACCCAACCAACTAAATACACATGTGTACGTAAGTAAGTAATCCCATCCGGCAGTGGTGGTGGTGATAAGTGCATACGTACCAAGACGTGTGTACTTTACTTACGTATACCTTGTTAAACATGCATTTTAAAATTATTAATGAGGATGCAGTTAACAGCTCACTGATTGTTTACTGTTGCAATTTGTGCAGATCTGCATCCTGATGACATAACATCTTGTGAGCTCATCTCTCATCTCCATTATCATAATTCATTCATCTTATTCCATGTCTTGTTGGAAATAAACATTGCATGCGCCGTGTCAACAACCAAACCAACCTGATCCCACTTTTGATTGACCCATTTATGCACTGCTTTAACTTATAATAATTGCGTGCATTCCTGGAATTACTTTTACTTTCACTTTTAGCCAACAAGGGAAGCCCATGCAGCAGCAATCATATATACAGTGGATTTTAACAATAATTTGTCAATTTTGTGGGAATTATCGATCCATGTAAATATTTATAATTTCAAGACTTCCTCACAAATCGAATGGTTCAATTAGTTGGAAGAATTTAATGCTAGTTAAACATCAGATTTATCGAAGTAGAAGGAACCAAGGAGCACTGAAGGGTAGCAAAAATTGCATAATAAAAATGGCAAGGAATCCCCAGCGGAAAAGGGAACCAACCTCACAGCAATTGGATCAGATCGCATGGCACACCTATTTGCACGGGATTCCCCCAACTGCAGATTGTATTGTAAGGCACCCTTCAACAATCACAGCCAACCAACATGGTTGAGTAAGGTGAGAATTCCCAACAACATTGCAATTCTAATGTATGTAGCTCGTTCTTATTACTTGGTTAGTTGGCAAAAATACCCCTTCACACGGTAATAACAATGCCACTCGATTGTTGTGAGTCATACCGGCAGCGAGATGTGTATGTAGTTGGAGATAAATATGCACTACAGCGATGGATGGATGATGAGGGACGACGACAGACCTTAATGTCAGCCCTTTGTACATGAACGCGGATCTCAAATTCATGCCCCACTATATAACCACGCTGCGCCGCTTGTCATCAACAACACAGTGGCTCAGACAGCCAACAAGAGCACAACAGCTTATCATAAAATTGAATGCAAAGTTAAAAGACAGAATTTTGGAAATAATCTCAAAAAGTGAGTTAACGCAACCCGAAGTGCATACATAAAATCTGAGTTTAACCGAAACTGGTCCAGAATATTTTGTAAAAAGTGCGTCGGTGGAAACGAATTGTGCGGATTTTCTACCATAAAACCAAAGGTAAGTCGCTGCATTATTGTATAGCACATTTTGATTTAAACGAAATTCATCACTTTAAAAATAGTTGGAATAATGAGCAAATCGAGAAAAATTTGAAATTTCACTTTTTCCTCTAGTCAGTCATTTATCAGCGTACTTTGTCTTTGCGAGGTAGTAGAAATCGTCCAAGCACGACCGACGCCAGCAGATAGATCGTCCCATTGTCACGTTGTACGTACGTAGATGATGGTTTTATCATGAAATTGACTTGGCAGCAGCAAGCAATCTGCAATTTCTATCACTATTTGCATAGGAGGAGACCTCATTTAAATTTTTTTTTACTGCCAAGACGAAGAAATGAAACAATTAGCTTTTTCTTTTTGATGGAAATCGTCACCAGGTCTGATTTTCCGCTCTGGTTCACAATCACGTCAATGTCATTGTCACTACGCATTTATTAGATTTAGATGAAACGGAAAACATTTTTTTACACGTAGCGAAGCATAATTAATCAATCTTGAAAACTTATTTGTAGAAATATGTGGTTGGTTAAATATCCAAAATTAGAAATGGAAGGACCGTGACGAAATCTGAGTTATTATGCATTTCCAACAGCTCACAAGCTGACGTAACGTGACAAGTTTAGGAGCGTCGTAATAATACTTAATGGGATACGATAGGATTTGAATAAACAAAGCGAGATTGTGATCAGAAGAGAAACTCTCTCGCACCTTTTCCGTTACATGATCTGTTAGTTTGGGTGTGATAACATTAAATAAAAGGCTGTGCAGCAGGATTTGTGAGTGACCACGACATTTTAGATTATTTCGAGTGGAAGGAAGTCGTCGTAAAGGGAAGGAACCAGTTCTCCTCTCAAATTGTAATAGGCGTCGTATGCACATAATAAGATGAATAATGCTCTCACTCACCCACACAAGGCATTTAGTAGACAAAAGATGAAATGGAAAGTTGCCCATTAATAAATTATTATCGATCCAATCATCCCCATGAACTAATCTTAATCTACATTTTTCCTCTATCCCTGCAAATTAATATTTTTTTATGTATCTGCTTACTTCACTAGACTGGAAAACAACTCGAAATTACAGATCGGAAAGAAAATGCCTCCGAGAATAGGATGGACCAGTGTCCTGGTGACCCTAGCGTTGGCAGCGTCCTGCACGTGTGACGCTCCAAAATCCATCTTTCCCTCGTCCTCCTCCCCAACATCGAGCAGTCACAAGATTGACATCACAACCTCAAATCGCGACCCTTACGTGGCCGAGGCTTCTCAATTCTTTCCATCTTCCTCTCCCAAAAATAAAGGTCTCAAGTTTCCCGGCTCCTCTGCCCCCTCGACGAATGAGAGAATGTCCTCAGCTCCGCAAGAATCAGATCTGGTCATTCCCCTCATGGACTCATCCTCCTCCTCCGCCGCCGATGTGAGTGACGAAGCTGCGGCGAACGAGGCCATCGACATTATCCTCCGCTCAGCCCGTTCCGGAAAGAGCATGGACCTCTCTTCTGCCACCAATGGCGGAAATGGCAATGGCGCCGATTTGGCCAAAGTTGCTTCCGATCCCGTCATCCAGCAACAGCTCGCGTCCGGAAATGAGGTCGAGGCTCGTGGCTACATTCGCAACAAACTTTGTGGGTTGGGACTTATGCCGTGCGGACCACCACATGGACATCATGGAGGTCACCATGGTCTTCGTCCCGTAGGCCATCATGGAGGTCACGGGGGAGGATGGGGACCAGGAATCCCAGCCAAGGACGTCACCTTGGTCCAACCTGTCGCGCTGAAACCGGTGGGGTACCCAATTGCGGCCGTGCCTTTGGAAAAGGGTCATCATCACGGAGGTCATCATGGTGGAGGTGGTGGTTATCTGCCAGGACCTCCTCCCCCTCCTTTTAATGGAGGTGGTGGGTATGGTGGTGGAGGACACCACGCGTCCTATGCGAAACAGTACGGTCCACCCATTGCGAAACCAGTGTACCATCCACCAGGACCGGGACCAATCCCACTCAGACCGTCGCCACAGTATGTTCCAAAACCGACTTATGGAGGTGGACTGGGAGGAGGAATTGGGGGTGGAAAGCCGCTCGTGGAACATGTTCATCATCACATTCACCACACGCCGTCCAGCTCGGGAGGAATTGGAATAGGAAATTCGGGTAAGTTGTAAAAAATAATCTCACTGATGAGACAAAAGCCTAAACAACTTGATTAAATATTAATTTGCAGGTGGAGGCTACGGAAACTCAGTGTATGGACAGATTGGGATCGGTGACGAGTATGGTCTTGGAGCCAAGAATCCAATTTCCATCGCCGCTCCACCACAAACAATCCCAGCGCTCGGAACTCCAAACCACAACGGCAACAACAACAACGGTGGGGACATTTACTCCTTCAACTCCAACAGGGTCGAGGACTGCACGTGCGTCCGCATCTCGGAATGCGCCCAGTTTGACATTGTGTCCTCTGGGACAAATGGAAACCAAGTAATTTCCGGCCTGGGTTCCCCCAATTATGGTCAAGTCGGGTTTGGAATCGATCCCCGGAACAAAATCACAGCCTCCCTCGTCGAATCCAACGCCACCACGCTCGAACTCCTCGGAGGTCAAGAGCAACCCGACAGCCAGGAGAGTGAAGAGGTCAGCGGGCAAGAAAGCCAGGAGAATCAGGCACGTCACTTGAGCACTGACATCGAAGCTCTGTCCAGTCAAGAAGAAGATGACGACAATTCCACAACAACTACTACCACGACGACGACGACGACCACCGTGGCGCCAAGTCGGCGACGAAGGCGAGAGGTCACAAAAGTCCAAACGTATGGTCAACAAGGCAACAACAACAACTTCCCACAGAGCGCATCCCAACAACAAGAGGAGAATCATGATGAGGAAACGGCTGCAAGTGAAGGAGATGGTACCTCAGAACCCGTAAGTTTTATTTAATCCAAAATATTTAATACCCGGGTATCAGACTACTAACACACCATCATCATGAAACTGGAAATACTCATAATCCAGTTCCAGTAGTATCATCAATCTATTTCTTCTTCTATTTCATGTCTTTTTTGGATGACTATTATTTGTACTTTTTGACACAAACCGGAAATGACACGCGTTTTAGATAGCTAACCAAATTCCACCACACGTAATGCCCGCTTCAGGTGAGGGTCGCCTCCTCGGCTCCCTGCTCCGTGACTCTGATATGCTCAAAAATCTCACGAAATTCGCCGGCTACGACTTTGGGGATGACCCGACCCAGTTGGTTAAAATTGATGGGCAACAACTTCGGATTTTCGGGAAACTTTTTGGCATGGAGCCCACGGTTGGGGTGAGTTTCGGTCTGCCTGGTGGGAATCATGGGGCTGTGGGGGGTTATGCGCCTCATCTGAATCCCCACTTGGGGGTCAACCCGTACCAAGATGGGATCCCACTCGGTCCCATCTCCATCAACCCGCTGGTCTCCTTCCAAAAGGGGAAGGACAAGCACAAGACCAAAATATTCCGCCCCCTCGTCAATCTCCACATCACGCCGAACCTGGGCGTCCTCAAGGGTATCAAGCGACTTCTAGGAAAAGGGGACAAGTTCGGTTGGGGTGCGCCGGAATACCACTACGGTCACGGTCACGGGTACGGTCACGGTTGGGGGCACAACAGCGTGGAATACGTGCCCGTCCCAATCCCACATCCGGTCGAGATTCCAGTCCCCGTGCAAATTCTGGGGCATCATCAAGTTAAGCATCATCACGATCACTATCACGCGACGGGAGGGTTGTCCACTTCCGTGGGAGGGTGGAGCGAAGGTAGTGGAGCGACCGTGATTAGTAATCCGCCTTATGGTTATTCCTCACCTTATCCGTCGAGTGGGTATAGCACTGGGTCTTCCTCGTCTTCACTGGTGGGGACGCCGTATTATAGTTACGGCACACCGACGCCGACTTCCGGTTTTAGTAGTTTGGGAGGTTACGGAGGGTACACAAAGTTTGACAAGATAGGGGCAGCCAATAATGGTCTTAAGACGACTAACTCTGGGAGTAGCAGTGGGGGAATCTTTAGTGGGATTCGAGACGGGATTTCTTCCCTGATTGACACAGTTTCTGGGGTTGCTGGTGGTGGTGGAGGGTCAACTTCCGGGGTATCTTCTCCCATTAGAAATCAAGCTTCTGGTCTAACCTCGAATGAAGAGAGTCTGCTTAACACGTTGCTGAAAGAGGAGGGAATTTCCGATTCTTCTGGTGATATTGATGCCTTAACCAACTCCCGTTTCCGGTCCATCATGCAGGACCGCATTCCTGGGGACAGTTATTCCACTAACTCCAACTACAATTCGAACTGGGGGACTAACTCTGTCCGTGGGAGTAGAAAGTTGAACACTAATAATCAGAATACTAACCTTCCTGGTCCTGCTCATACACGGCTGCCCCCAAACATACACACGCACTCTGCCTCATCCTCATTGATCACGTTCCCTGACGAAACACGAGACCAAAATTCAGGGCACAATGTAATGTCTTTTAATAATAATAACGAGCCAACAAGCAGGGTGACATTTCCCGATGAAGGAAAAACTACGAGACGACGACGACGACGAGACACACTGACCGACGACGAGAACAACGTCACCACCACCGACTTGGAGTCCGACGCCACAACCGAAACCAATTCTACCACCACCGACGTTCAACCTCGAAATTATGGTGCACAGGTAACACACGATTCACAAAGAAAGTGACTACTAGCGATTTGAGAATAACACAAAACAGTACGTAGACAATCGGTGGGTGTGGAATTGGTGGTTGGTTGGTTGGTTGGTACACTCCAAGTTCTAAATAAAATACTGACAAACATTAATTTTCTTAATTCTCATGCTGTAACAATTACATTAAAAATTTAATACTTTAATTACTTATTTAAATTGTATGTAATCCACTTCCGGTTTGGATAAGGCCTCCATAATTAAAATACGCCTTGCTCTATTTTCTCAGAGACAACTCAACATTGGAGGTTCCTGTCCAGGAGGATACGTCTGCTGCCGAGCCCCACGTCAGAATCAGAACCAATTTTCGTCCAATAACCAATTTCAATCTTCTCAGTCCCAGCAGTCCAACAGCTTTAATCAAAGTCCGTACCCAAACCAGAACTCGATCCAACACGTTCCTGGCCAAGGACCATTCTCCGTCGGAAATGGAAATCCCTTCACTGCCGGAGTTGGACAATGTGGAAAGAGGAATGCTCGCGGGATCACGGGTCGTGTCACTAATCCAGGTCATGTCGATGGCGACACCGACTACGGCGAGTACCCCTGGCAGGTGGCTATTCTCAAGAAGGACGGCTACGACAACGTCTACGTTTGTGGAGGAGCCTTGATTGACTCGAGACACATTCTCACGGCAGCGTAAGTAGAAAATTAAACCAGAAGTTGTATTTAATATTAAACTAGCAACTTAATTTAACCTATGTTCTATAGACATTGCATCAAGGGTCATTCTCCGAAGGACATCAGGGTTCGACTGGGAGAGTGGGATGTGAACCATGAGACCGAATTCTACCCCCATGTCGAACGGGACGTCGCTGGGATCACCCTCCATCCCGAATTCTACGCTGGAAATCTCTTTAACGACCTCGCCATCGTCACACTCGAAGGATTCGTCGACTTTAGACAAAAGTATGAGAGTAACTAAAATTCTACCCACCCAACCACACGTAAATCTGGTCGAAATTTAACAAAACTTTTCGTGTCTTACCTTACTTACAGCCCGCACATTTCTCCCGTCTGCACACCACCTTCGTCTATGGACGTTTCCTCCCACCGCTGCTTCGTCACTGGATGGGGGAAGGATGCATTCGGAGAGCGAGGCAAGTACCAGAACGTTCTCAAGGAAGTCGACCTCCCCGTCGTGAACAACTTTGAATGCGAACAGCGACTGAAGAGGACTCGTCTGGGGGCCGCCTTTGTCTTACATCCCGGCTTTCTCTGCGCCGGTGGAGAAGAGGGCAAAGACGCCTGCAAAGGGGACGGAGGTGGACCACTCGTCTGCGAAGTGGGAGGAGTCTGGCAGGTCGCTGGGATCGTGTCCTGGGGCGTAGGCTGCGGTCAAGCCGGTGTTCCCGGTGTCTACGTCAACGTCGCCAAGTACCACGACTGGATTCAAAGCGTCGTTGCTAGATCCTAGTTAGAGAGAGAAAGAACGACAAATTGTTAATTAATTATTGTAATTAGTTAATTAATTAATTAGTTAGGTATACGGATAGGATATGGACGCACATAATAATTAAGACACAGGCCAGAAGATCTCGACACTATTTAATTCATGGAAAATTTTAAGGGTAAAATATTTTTGTATGTGAGATTCACACCCGTCAAAACAAATGAAATGTATATCCTTCTATTGTAACATAGATAAGATGGTTGCTTAATTATTACAGAATAAAGACGAAAAGTTGTTAAACGTTAACTTTTACTTTGTATGTGGTTTCTTTCAAATCTTTCAGAGGTAAAGTGCATCCTAATAATCCTAAAGAAAGATGTGAAATGCATCTCGTTGTTTTGTATAATTTTTGAAGAACACATTGCAGGTATTTCACATTTTGGTAATTACAAATTCCAATTCGTGATCTTTGAAATTTAATTTTTTGCATACCTCAAATTCCAAATTGTTTGTTGTCGGGTTAAAATTCTTCAACCGGTTGTGATCTGTTTTACAGCTAGAAGGAAGCTCCTCCTGTTCAAACTAATTAGCAAATAAGTGGGTGGGTGTGCCCGAGCAAATGAAGTGGGGGTTATAGTTTTATAGCTTACCTCTTATCCCTAAATAGCAGTTGAGCTCTCATTTGCATGATTTGTTTTGTCACATGGACTGAAATCTCACCTTTTCCTCGCGCCTTGCTGTTTTGAGGGAAAAGTAGGATTCGCTTTGCAAAATTGCAAAACGAATTGTGTGAATTTTGTTTTTGTGAAATAAAGTTTGAGAAAAAATTAAATTAAAATTGAGTTATAGTAAAATAGTTACAACAAAATGAGTGCCTCGGAGGACGAAGTGATGGACGATGGACTGCACATTAAACCTCCACAACCACACCACCGACACAAGGATCGTAAACGAGACCGAGGTCACCGGCACTCACAAAAGTCGAGTCGGAATAATAAAGACGTTCCACTTACTCAAGGGACGATGGGTGTGGTTAGTGGAGGAAGTGGTGAAAGAAGGCAACATGAGCGAAGACATCATCATCGTGACGAAGATCAACGACCACGACATCGAGAGGTGGAAAGGATTGAGAGAAAAGAAAGGTACCCAAATGCCAAAGTTATTTTAAATTATATTTTAAAAACTAGTTGTAATATGAATGTACTACTCATGAAGGTAATTTTTAATCATTTACTAAATCGTTGATCTTTTACTTGACAGGGAAAGAGGTCCCTCATCATCATCGTCGTCGAAGCAGGGACACCATAGATCGAGCAGCAGTAGAAAGCGAGGCGACGAAGACAAATCTGCCGGTAGCTCGCGAGATGTTGTCCTATTCGAAGTTAAGAAAGAACGGAGAAATATTGAATTGGAGAATGAACGGGCGCTACGAGAAATTGAGAGGCGGCGAGAAAAGGAAAAGGGTCAACCAGATCCATTTGATGGTGAAATAAGTGGGAGACATCGGCGTGAAAAGAGGTCACATCGGGACAGGGACCGTGAACAACGGGGCGGTGAAAGGGAAAGAGCCCGGCGGCAAGCTTTGCCTACTACGCCACCAGAAGAGCACGTGGAGGAAGAAATTGTAGAAGCTGTAGATCCCAGAATTCAGTTAGAAGTACAGGTACGTAGTACACACCGTGCAATGATTAATTTAAATGCAACTACTAATTATTTAAAATCTTCAAGTTGTGGAATATTATGGATTGTGTGTATCATTTTCATTTTCTAGGATATCGAAGACAGCAGTGGCTCTGATTTAGAAGAAGGTGAACGGTCAGGATCAGCCCATTCGAGAGAAGATCAAGAACCAGAGGAGGAGGAGGAGGAAGATGGACACGGAGATGCTTCGGATAAATCTGATGTTAGCAGTGCTTCAGATAACGAAACGGAAGAAAAACCAGAACACGATGAAGAACAAGCAAATAAGGCAGCGAGCGATGTTAGCAGTTCTGGATCGTCTCGAAAATCTCATTCCGAAAAATCAGATGCATCCTCTTCGTCCTCCTCTAGCTCTGAGAGTGATTCTGATGATGAAGGAGGAAACGAGACCAAAGATAATGGTGAACAAGACGGGCCGTCAAAACCGTCCAAAGTGCCACGAAAGGACTCGCCAACACCATTTGGTGGACAAGGAAATAATGACCCTACTTCTTCCAAGCAGCAGATGAGTGATGACAGTAGAGAAGTTCCTTCCGTTGTAATTACCGTGGATGAAAACGAAGAAGAGGATGATTTGCTTCCCCCATATTATCCAGCAATTCAAGGATGCCGTCGAGTTGAGGAATTCCAACTACTGAATAGAATTGAGGAAGGAACTTATGGAGTAGTTTACCGTGCAAAAGAAAAAAGGACAGACGAAGTAGTGGCTTTGAAGAGGCTGAAAATGGAGAAAGAAAAGGACGGTTTTCCCATCACATCATTGAGAGAGATAAACACCTTATTGAAGGTGAGTCTAAGGATAATTAAGCATTTATTATTAAGTCTGTACTTCCTTATCTATCATGCTTCATACTTTTATATTTATAAATCTACATTTGTATTTTTACAGGCACAACACGAAAACATTGTCACCGTCAGAGAAATTGTTGTCGGAAGTAACACAGACAAGATTTTCCTGGTGATGGACTACGTAGAACATGATCTTAAAGCATTAATGGAAACTTTAAAGTTAAAAGGTCAAGTTTTCCTCCCCGAAGAAGTTAAATGCTTAATGATCCAGTTGTTGCGTGCTGTCGCACATTTGCACGACAATTGGATTCTACATCGGGATTTGAAAACCTCAAATTTGCTTCTTAGCCATAAGGGAATTCTAAAAGTGGGAGATTTCGGCTTGGCCAGAGAATATGGTTCCCCCTTGAAAGCGTACACTCCCATCGTGGTCACTTTGTGGTACCGAGCTCCGGAACTCCTCCTAGGAACAAAAGAATATTCGACGCCCATTGACGTGTGGAGTGTGGGATGTATTTTCGGAGAACTGTTAAAAATGGAGCCCATGTTTCCAGGAAAAATGGAATCAAACCAACTGAATTTAATATTTCAATCTTTGGGTGAGTCCTTTAAGTCATTTTTTAAAAATATACATTCTTCAAGTAAATATTAATGCATTTAAAGATTAATCTATTAAAAATCCTTCCTTCCTTCCCAGGTACACCCAACGACCGAATATGGCCAGGATACTCACAGTTTCCCATCGTACAAAAGATGACATTTGCCGATTATCCGGTCAATAAGTTAAAGACAAGATTTGGACACTTGACAGATCAAGGAATCGACTTGATGAACAAATTCCTCACATTCAATCCAGCCAAAAGAATTACTGCAGAAGATGCATTGGATCACGCCTTCTTTAAAGAAATGCCCGTAGCAATAGATCCCTCAATGTTCCCAACGTGGCCAGCAAAGTCCGAGCTGGGTCATAGGAAAGCAGCCGCGTCACCAAAACCACCCTCTGGAGGGCATCAGTTCAAAGGAATGAAGGATGACGAAGACACGGCCGGATTTTTCCTTGGTGGAGGAGACGCGAGAAGACAGCCCACGGGGGCTGGATTCAGTTTAAAATTTTAATTATGCAAGTTTTATACTCATAAATAATGTCAGTTATATCCAGAAGTACGAGGAAAAGTCGCATCTCGACTGGATTTTTCAGCTCTTGTAGAAGATAAAGCTAGCGCCGCAACCCGAGTCAAACACACTGGCGTAAGGGACATCGGCTCGGCTTGAGTACAAGCATTTCCAGGTTCAAACCCCAGCACGGTACAGCTAACTTTACTTTTTGCAACCTAGTTTTCACCACAATCGTTATACTGTTGTATAGGGGGTAAAGTTCTACTAGCAACATAGTCGGACCACCCCTGGGAAGATATTTGGGAGTGGTTAATGTCATCATTTTTTCGTACTGACCACACCCCCACACGCTCTCGGTGCGGTCCGAATATCCTACTAGTGGAACTTGACCTCGTATGCAAAGTTAAAAGCATTTTAGTCAAAACGGGGTTGCAAAAATATAAACTAGCCTCCACTGAGATTTGAACCCACGTACTTGTGCTACAGGCTGCGCCGATGTCCCTTATGCCAGTTATTTGACTCGGGTTCCAGCGCTAGCTTTATCTTCTACAAGAGCTGAAAAATCCAGTCGAGATGCGACTTTTCCTCCTACTTCTGGATATAACTGACATTATAAAATCGTTACAAAAATACTACATATTTTATCAAATAGTTCTTGTTAACTTTGCATTTTACAATTTATGAATAAACATTGCGTGAAATGAAATGGTACAAGCATATTGCATAATGCGTACTTTTGTTATCTTCAGAATCACTGCGCTGGGGACGACATACAAAACGCAACGTAGAGGGATTTGAGACGAATGGAGAGATGAGAGTTTCTCAGTTTCTCCTCGCGCCTTGCGGTTACCTTGCTGGGTTGAGGGAAGGATGGGATTGGGGAAATACATTTTTTTCCTATGCCTGCCTGCGGTTTACACTTTACACAAAATGCCTTTTGTTGTTGACATCAACCTATTCCCAACTCCTCCAGCTAAGAGTAAAAAACGAGCCAAAATTTCGCAAATTCTTCTCAAACTCATGTCCTTGCGAATTTATTTATGTACATAGTTAATCATGATGGATTAACTACTCACTTAACTCCTGTGGGTAACATAGAGTGAGAACTTTTAACGAGGCTGATCTCTCCGAGAGAGGAGGAGAGAGGGCTTAAACTTGTGAAAAGGAGGAAATATTAAAGGAAATAGGAAGGAAGGGATGATTAATTAGTTAAATGTTTGGTAATTGTTTTAGTTGGTAAGTTAGTGAGAGTGAGGGCAAGCTGTCAAAAGTTTTTATCTGATAACTGTAAAGAAGAGGGGTGTGGCGTAGATGTTTTACAATATGAGATATCATAATTTTTTAGTTGGCGTTCTAGTTAACGTCACGTTAAGGTAAGAAATTGGTTGACATTTCAAGTATAACTATGTATATAGAAGACTTGTGTAATTAATTTCCGTTTAATTTTTGTCCATTTTGATTAATGCGTTTGATTTATTTTAGTTTTTCGCGGAGTTGAAATCCGATACCTCATTTCTCCTCCCTTCAAGACAAGATTGAACCTGTTCAAACGACCATGTCGATAAATATCTGTGGACAGAAGTACCCACCAACGAACGCAGCGAACAAGTAGAATAATTCAACGAAATCGAAATCAAGTCGAGAAAAGAACAGTTACATTAATTTTGAAAAGACAAATTGTTCTGAGTGTGACCAAGTATTAACTTGTGAATAGAAAACAATTAACGACTCTTTCGTGTGTCATCATCATTAAGTTTAAAAACGCTAAAAATATTCCGTGTCAGTGTCGTCACATTATACGAACAATTTCAACTTTATATTGTCACCCACTTAAAAAACTTGTGCTGAACAATACAAAACATTGTTATGAATGATAAATCGTGGTTGAACATTTAACATTCCGTGTGTCGCCGTACTTGAAAAAATTGTGTCGTCAAATCGCATTTCTTCCTACACTGCACTGTCCTCCAACCACCTCCCCCAACACCGAAGGATATAAAGCTCCTTCCAACTTGCGATGAACATTAATATATCTCAGGCTCAAAATACTGGTAACCACTCTCTTCCCCATTTCATATCCCCCTTTCAATCGCAGCCTAAAAAAAACACACTTTATAATTTATTAATTTGTAAACTACGGAGTATGAAGTAATATTTGTATCTGTCTGCAGGAGGATGGGCTACCGACGCGAACACAATCTACTTGACCATGCCGATCCCCTCCCCCTCGGACCTGTTGGACGAGGCTTCTCCTGGTGACTCTTCCGGATCCTCCTACGCCTGTCCCGTCTGCAACGTTCAGTTCGCCACTCGTTCCCAGCTCATGGGCCACACGAGAAAACACATGAAGGACAAACTGTTCCAGTGTAAGCTCTGTGAGCAAAACTTTCCCTCCCACAAGGAGCTAAAAGCCCACATGGGGAACAAGGGGGAAGGGGAAGGTCCCTACCCCATCAACTGCGGTATCTGCGGCTCCACCTTCCCCTCTCAAGCCTGCCTCACCCATCACCTCAACTGCCACAAACAAGCCGGATCAGCTCCCGTCATCATCGACAACCCGGCTGCAGAGAGGAGGTCAGATCACGACACCTTTATTTCAGAATAGTATAGCTTATCTGTAGTCCTCCTGATGAAAGACTAACTAGCTAGTGAAATGGATATATAATACAAACACTCTTGATGGAAATTTGATAGAAATTTTCAAGTGTTTCCAGAAATCGGAAATGCCCTCCGTTTCACGAGTTAGTTACAACTTCAAATGAAATTGTCTATACGAGAAGCGTGTCGTGTCGTGACCGTGGCGTGATGATTTGTATACAATTTGCATATGCGCATGACAAATTTACTCTCTTACTTACTCGCTTCGTTGAATTTTATCATTTTTTTCTGAGTTTGTCCTTTCTTTGTTTGGTTTCGTAGTGAATATCAGATCCAGATCCAAGTTCAGCCACAGGACCCGATGGCCCTCGACCTTGACGTGCTTCAAGGCGGTGGCCATACCCTTACCGTGGACTCCTCCCAGATCGACATCTCACACCTCGGTCACGTCGTTGTGATCCCGTCCTCTGGGATTATCACGACCTCCTCTGCCGCCCACCACCAGCACCTCAACAACAATTCCTCCATGGCCAATAACCCGCCCCCCTCCAAACCAAAGGCGAAGCGAAAGAAGAGAGCAAACAATAATAACGCTGCGAATAATAATCACAGCGGAGTGATAGCGGTAGCAAATAGTATCCAGCACGGAGTGGCCCACGCCCACACCATTTCGGGGACGAATATCCACGTGGAAATTTTAGCTAATCCTAACCATAGGTGATTATTATGAATTATGTGTCCGCTGCTCGTTTGGTTTTGTTACTTCCGCTTCTCTTTTGTTTCTTTATCGTTTCTGTTTTTTTTATCTAACAAATTTCTAAATTACAATATGATTTGCAACGTTAGAAAAAGTTTTTTTTAGCTTTTAACGATGCAAGGTCTATTTACGACTTTAGAAAATTCAAGTAATCATTTTTTTAGACCACAATTTCTGAAATTATGTTACACTAAATGTGCTAAGTTTATTTGCTTTTTGTTTTAAAATTAATTTTCCTAACACTGATATAGTTGATCCTGAATGAAATGTTAAATATCTATACCTGCGACACAAACAAGTAGGTTTTGTTCCTTCTGAACTAATGTTGTCATTTCCCCCTAAAATTCCAGGTACTCGTGCTCCTTGTGTAACAAGACCTTCAAAAACAGCCAGCACGTCCAGCGTCACTTGAGGATTCATACGGGCGAGAAGCCCTTTTCCTGTACCGTTTGTTCCCAGTCCTTCTCCTTAAACCACAACCTTCAACGCCACATGCGAACGCATACGGGCGAAAAACGTGAGCCTTGATAAAATTATTACTATGCATGTATTAGGATATTTATTTAACTAATTGTAATATATTTGATTGCAGCCCACAAGTGTCCCGTGTGTACCAAGGACTTTGCGGAAGGGCATAACCTTAAGCGTCACATGATTTCCGCCCACGACGGTCCCACCCCGTACATCTGCACCATCTGTTCCCGCAAGTTTGCGGAAAACTCTATCCTCAAAAAGCATCAGAGCAAAGCCCACAAAACTGGTGGGGGTGGTGGGAGCACGAGTAGCAGTACGAGTTCGGGAAATTAAAAGGGTTGTGAAATAAATCATCAGATGGACAAAGAAAAAATCAAATCAAAGCCAGTTTACTGCAAATCTATCTCCTACTACAAATGATTAGTGAACTGTCTTAAAAATTAGCTAATTAATTAATATATCGAAGAACCAAACTAAAAGAATAAGAAAAGTTTACAATTTATTTTAATGAGAACAAGTGATCGTGTATTCCCGAGAGTGGACGGATTCTGGAAGATTAAGATTATTAATCTTTGTGTATTATTACCGTTTGAGTTTAATCATGGTTATGTAAATTATTTCTGGTACGTAATTTAAGTGTGGCATTTAGAGAGTTTACATTACATCCATTTTTATTAGTTTGTTAATTTCTATACTGAAATTATTGTATTTTCATTACGAGTTCGAAGTACAATTTTTAATTTGTGTTGTTTGTTAGAAAAGATGTCAGGATCAGAATCACCTAAAAGTTTGTTACTACACAAGTTTTTGACCCGAGAACAATTGTTGATTTATTTAACTACTTGTTATCAATTGTTAACTAACTTCCCGTTCCCGTTATTGTTATGCTATTATTACGCAATCATTCATTGTTCGTTGTTCTGAGAATTATTGTTGCCCGTTAATTTTGATTAAGATTGAATTTTTCCTCAAGACGAAAAGATGGCTTGAAACTTATCAAGAATTTAAAGTGTGATAAGTAATAGTTGTTGTTAATTGTAAACTGACTAACATCTTGGTTTTTACATTACTTTCGCTGAGAAAAAATTAATGTCAATCTAAGTCGGATATTTAAAAACCGTATGTGTACTTATTTACACATGAATTAATTGTTATGCATGTAGACTACTAATTATTTAGTAAAATGGTTTGGTTTAAACGAGGTATTAATTAGCTAATACGCCATGATAATATAATGTAGTTGTAATGGCCAGAGAGAGAAAGAGAGACGGACGAGTGATACTACTTTTTCAACCACAAATTACTACAAAATGTGTATATTTAACTTTACATATTAATTAGGACAACAAGTAGACTAATTAATTATAGCTTAGATTAGGTATTACTTACATTTGGATATGAATATACATAACAATAATCGCTACATGATTAGAATATAAGTTTAAATAATTAAACGGTGTCATCCATCCTGCCCTCCCTATCCTCCTAACGGGGTGATGATGATAAGTGAGTAGATAAGTTAAAGATTTACATCTAAATGTGCAGATCTGATCATATGTAATATTTATCATCATCACATACCAACCCAAACCACAAAACAAACGAATAACTGCTGCGATCATATATTAATCGTAAGCATAAGTTAAGTTTTTTAGTAGTATTTCTAATTAACAAGTAATCCATGTCGTCGTCACATCACTTGAAACGAGAGGTGTGCACTGCGGCGATCTGTGTAATGGCATGATGAATGTTAGGGAGAATAATGGAGCGGTGATTTAAGGCTAAAAAATAGTGATGGGGGCGAGAGAAATTGTAAATGGTCCAAGAGAACGAACCCCACCCACTGAAAACCCCACCCCTTCCTTCCTTCCTTTTTTAAAGAGAGCAATAAAATAATAAAAGTGTTACGTAAATTTATAGCAAAACATTGCCATCGGTGACCTATTTTAATGGATGCATATCAGAGTTTGTACATAATGTATGTGTATTCTGGACGGTCGAGATTTTATTTTGCATGTAAATTTCTATCTTCTATTATCTCTACTATTTTCGTATTATGTAGATTTCTTATGCTAATAAACTTATAATTGCAAGCTTATAGCTTACTAGCGTTTAGCCCGGCCAAGGCCGGGTTCTATGGTTCCAGTGGGGGGTGTGCCCAAAGCGAAAAATCCGTCATACTATACTTTAAATAATTCCCAGTGGAGACTTTGTCATACCAAATACACGCATCAGAGTGAGGGTTTGCCCAGGTCAACTGCATTTTAATTAATCTGGTCACAGTACAATTTGATTTCCCCCTGTGGGAGTAGTTGAATGGCTAATTACTTAAATTCCCGTCGCGTGGGAGTAACTGCATAGCTAACTATTTAAATTCCCCCGCTTCACGCTCCCGTTAAGTTCCATAAACCCCGTTAACTTCTACAATTAACGCCAAGCTATTGACGGATTCGGATTCAGCGTCAAAAATACATTCGAATTGATATGCGACATCACGAATAAGCCATATTTAGTCCCCACGGTCACGGCAAGGTCACGAGGGCCTCGCAGGTCAAAACTATTGACGGCGTTGGATTCAGCGTCAAAAATACATTCGAATTGATATGCCACTCGCTGTGGGTGGAGTTTCTCAAACTAAAATAATTAATTAATAGTGTTTATTAAGATCCATTATCATGATAACCACTATTGATGAGTGATGTGATGTATGTATGTATACTGCACACTCAATTTACTTGCACACTGTGTTTATATATTAAAACATTTAATTTGAGCTTGATGGCAAGTGAACGTACGTGAAAGTCACGTGCAGGCGAAGTGAGACTCATGCAGTATGAAAATTTATGCATGCGCTTCCCTCTTTGTCTCCTCTACGGGGCAACTTGCATTGAGAGCCACAGGGACTCAGTCAGCGACTTAACACTAACGCTTTATTAGAGTGGATGCGCGTCTGCAGACAGAATTTAAACAGTTCCAATCAGACGAAAAATTTCGCATTCGCCTTTAAAAATTATGCATATTCTCGAAATCAGTAATTTTCATTGAAAATGTGTTTGTCTTTCGTTAATCCACGTAGGCATTTACATGTATGTACGTACCACGTTAAATAAATCTCACATTTATAAATTCACCATAAAATCTCAAATGTAAATTCCCTGTATCCTTCGACCTGAGAGAAAGCGTTCCCCAACGCACGTTCGTCTGCCGAACGACTTGTTGGTTGTCTATGACACCAAAGATTGTTGCAGTAAATTTTATTTCTTCCCGATTATGAACAATTTTGATAAGATTCTGAAAAATAATATGGATGAGTCCAGGATTCTTCAATCACTAACGGCTACGCCGGTGTTTCTGGGTTCGGTTGTAACTCGGAAAAAATGGAAAATTTCATTTTTTGAAAAGCTGGATATTATAATATCCAGCCTTGTGTATCCATGTGTCTGTCTGTCTGTCTGTACATAAATTCCACAAATTCATGCTTTTACGTAAACTGCTTGTTCGTTACAATTTAACTAACATAAAAATTAAATAAGAAATTAAAATACTCAATAAAAATCAATAGTGCAGGCAGACTCCATATAGCCGAGTCAGGGATAGAGTCCTTACTCGGTGAGTTCTAAATTTTTCTCCGAATTGACCGACATAATATTACCAAACTCGTTGTGGATAGTTAAATGTTTGTTAGATTCTCTATTATTTGGCAATTTGGCATAAAAACCTTTAACACATTGAATTTCCAAAGCTGGGTGTGCTATCGAGAAGTGGTTTTTATCCCTCAAATACCAAATTTCAGACGGAAATAACAACTTCTAAAAACGGTGGTCAGCCTCCAGGGTCACTCTGGTTGTACTTTGCTCACTTTTAACTTCATATTCTTTCATAAGAAGCCATTAAGTATCACCGTGCCGGATTTAATGTTTTTAAAGCAATTTCTAAAAATCTGGATGGTTCACCCCATAGGGTCGCTCCAGATAAAAATTTTACCAATTTCATTCCATATTTTTACTTTAAGATACATAAGAAACATTTCAGCTCGATATGACGATTTTGAAAAATCAGTATTCCAATGCTAAATATCCAATCTACATTGGGCATGATGGGTCAAGTGGTTGGTCGGTGGGGGTCATTTACATAACTATTAACAATGCGATGACGCCAGCAGTCTAGCTCCGATTTTGACGAAACCACGAAAATTATGTAGCATTAGATAAATCATTAAGCACGTGTTTCAGGATTTTTCATAATGCTCAGTTTAAACGAAATTATGACGGGATCCGTGAGCGAGATTTTTCAATTTTACTGTGAAAATTTTCTCGCGAGGGAGGAAAGTACAGATTCTCAGATTCCATCATACATATCTTCTTTAAACTTAAAATTCGTGGGCGTGACGTGGTTTTTTCCGAGAATTTCGGAATTTAAATTTCTCGCACAAATTTTTAATTATGATAAATTTTGAAAAATGTAACAAACGAGAACTTTTTGAAAAGCAGATTTTCAATGGAATTGTGTGGGAAAGGTTCTTGCATTTTTTAAGTCAAAATTGGAAAAATTTACGGCATTTTCAAAAATCTTGACTTTGACTGATCTTGGTACAACTGAAGCCTTCCGCTTTTTTCCTGAAAATTTTAAAACTGATCCTGTCAAAATCGGAAAAACCACTTCATGCCCATTTTAAGTTTAAGTTTAAACGAAATTCTGATGGAATCCATAAGCGAGAATCTGTATTTATGTCCCTCGCGAGATAAATGTCACAAAAATGGAAATTCTCGATCACGGATCCCATCATAATTTCGTTTAAGCTAAGCATTATGAAAAATACTGAAACACGTGTTTAATAATTTATCTAATGCTACATAATTTTCGTGGTTTCGTCAAAATCAGAGCGAGACTGCTGGCGTCATCGCATTTTGTTAGTTAAATGACCCCCACCGACCAACCACTTGACCCATCATGCCCATCTTCTAAGTCATCCTTACTTTTCACCGAAGATCAACTATACAAAATTTCCAGTTGTATTTAAATAGAGTTATCGTGCGTACGGAAGGACGGCTTGACAAATCTATAAGGCCGCCTTAAAACGTAAATCCTCAGAATAATCAGAATACAACAAAATATGTAATGCACTTGATATCGAATTTATCGCTAAGTACTACTCCCCCGACTCGGGCTTCATTGTCAGTGATTGGCAAAATCCACCAAATTAGCAAATAATTAAAAAATAATTCGTTGACTGAGTTACGGCCGCACCCTAAGAGGAAACGAATTGATTCATCCTGGGATGAGTCCTACAAATGAGGAACAGAACATAAATAAACAAGAGCAAAATAGATATCATAAAATAACCATTAAATATGAACAGTAATAGGTACGGTTGTTATCGTGCACCTCACAGGACTGACGGCTCTCCATTTAGCAAATGTTCTACAGTTGATGGAGTTATTGGCCAAGATGACTCCAGATTTAAAGATGTCCAGACCAACCAAAATCGTTCGCTAAGATTGCGAACGACGCCACTTCGAGCTACGGGTAACTTGATCAACAATTTTATTAATTTTCATAAAAGCATTACTTATGTAGTATTATTGTAGTAAAAACGACAATTTTCTCCATTTGTTTCAGACAAATTATTAGCACTTCGAAACGGATATGGTAGCAGTCCCAGTCCGGGTGTAAAGCATGTCAGCCACAGGCGTAACCGTAAAGAATTCGGGCAAGAGGGCAGAGAAATTAGTTCATTTGTTGAGAGCAAATTAAACTATGCGAAAAGACTCATCGATTTTGGATTCATGAAAGAAGCGTACTCTTATTGTGAAGAATTGACCAAATCATTATTGTGGAGGCATGGAATTCACAGGAAGGAACAAGAGTTGGCAAAAGATATCCTCGCCGTGACAGAGGAACTGCTGGTCACTTGTGATGAGGTACGCAGGTCACCCGGAGATCAAGTGTGGGTACGAGAGTTGAGGAAAATAGTTCAACGAGATGACAAGGTGAGTCCAGAGGACGTCGCGATTTTTTGGCCTATTTCCGTTTTCAAGACCCCTCGAAGTACAAGAAGTGGTATCTCAAACAAGGGTGTTCGCTGCTATGTCTCTCAGTTGCGAAACGCAGCCAAAGTTGCCGTACCGGAACTATGAACTTGGACCCTTGCCGGGCAAAATTCTTAATTTTGGCTGTAGGCACCTGTCTCTGGCTTAATTGACAATTCCTAATAAAAAATACAATTTTGGAGTGTTTAAAACATATTTTTAAACACTAACTGCTATTTTAAAAAAAAATATTTTTTTCGAATTAAAAAAATTGTTCTTAAATTCGAAGTTTATGCTTTTTAAACACTACAAAATTGTATTATTTTATTAAGAATTGTCAATTAAGCCAGAGACAGGTGCCTACAGCCAAAATTAAGAATTTTGGCCCGGCAAGGGTCCAAGTTCATAGTTCCGGTACGGCAACCTGGCTGCGTTTCGCAACTGAGAGACATAGCAGCGAACACCCTTGATCTCAAATATTTGGAGTACTCCATGGATCCAATCCGAATTCCAGTTCCTCCCGTTCCTCTGTTTGTAGAAAAATCAGATCCACAATCAATTTCAGGTATTTTTTTATAAATTAAATACGTTACTCTCAAAGTTGTTTGTCTGAAATGTGTTATTTAACTTTAATGTGTAATTAGCAGGACTGCGTTGTATTAGATTTAACTCTTCAAATAAGTCAAAGTTAAAAAAAAGTCGAGATCGTCCCCAGTCACGACCGTCACGACCTGGGCCGTTAACATCAAGTCCTCACACGATGGGTAAAAATTGTACCGTAAAATCACGTATCAATACTCAGATTGATTTATTTAAGTAGCGTTTAACGTTTTATTTATAGCGTCAGGAAAACTGAGATTGGCCCAAATTCAACCAGAACAAACGCCTTTGTTTTATGATCAAATGATCCAACCTGGTGGAATGTCTTTGGATACACGTGCCTTGACTCAGAAATGGGTGTTTCATAGCCAACCCACTCATGCAAAGACTATGTTAGAAACATTCGACAAGAATGCAATGATTCTTCCAGACCATACAAAAATTCAACAATCGTACAAACAGAATCATTCAGGCGACGATGACGAAAACTCGGATGGCAAGCTTCCTTCTCCACTGAAAGACTGAGTACCTCTTCCTCTTATCTAAAACCACATCATAACGTCAACAGAACATGTGTTGTATGTGCACATGATAAAAGATATTTCTCAATAATGCATGTAATGATTAATTATATATAATTAAAACATAATTATAATTTAGGAGAGCACTTCAGCTGAACTCTGCATACTTCTTCCACATGCTTGACCCTGAATTATGAAAATATATAATTAAAATTACGGACTAGGTGGATAACTATACTAATTTAAATATTACTTAATCAACAAACTGTGAAACCTTAAATTCAATCAAGTGTCACTAAAGATTCATTTAATAATATTTAATTTAAATAAACAATTACATAGTGTGGTAATGATGATTGATGATAATGAAGTGAAGACCATGTGTTCTTCTATTAATTAAGGTCAAAAGAAATGAAACTTGTAGTTACTTATCTGGGTTTTAAGATATTTATTTATTAAAGACCGTCGTCATCATTAAACAAAGGTGTTTTTGATTTTTGTTTGTCGAGGTGTTGATTAGGCGACGAGGGCGGAAGCCGTGGAGGACTCGTACTTCCAAGTGGGGGGAAGCACTCGCTTGGTCTTGTAGTAGCGGGCCAACCTGTGAATGCGAGACTCTACCAGAATCAGACGGAACTTAGAGTCCTTGTCCTTCCTGTAAGGACAGTCAAATTAAAATCATTAATTATACATGGTTAACTAATTCATCAGTCTAATCAAACTAAGTAGAAATGTATAAATATTTCTGTGTTAATCATTTATAATTCAGATTTAAGTAGTAAATCTACGTAAAACTGATGAAAGTATCTTGGTTATGTGTCGTACCTATTTCTCTCCAAGTGTTTCCTGATCGAGACGGCCTTCTTAATGAGGAAATAGAGGTCCTCGGGAATATCGGGGGCGAGTCCCTTGGCTCTCAAAATTCGGAGAATCTTGCTACCAGTGACAAATCTCACCTGTGCAACGCCGTGAGAATCTCGCAAAATACCACCTGAATTAAGCATAGTTAAATTAATGTAATAACAGCTATTTAAATGTGTTAGTATGTAGTAAGTATGGGGACATACCAATCTTGGAGGGCATTAGACCCTTCTTGGCGAGGAGATAAATCTGGTCCTTAACATCTTCAGGAGTTTGCTTCAACCACGTGGGAACTCCGCGACGATAAGGGAGAGCAGATTGGGAAATACCCTTCCTGTAGAAAGAGATTAAGAGAGCACTTAGTTAATTAATTAATTAAAGACTAAACAAGACGTGATACTCCACAATTAATTATCATTCGAAGTAAAAACTGGAGTGGAAATTGAAATGAGTTGGAACAAAACTATTGTAGATGATGATGACCACTTTCATTCAATTCATTTTTCCAGCACAAATTGTGCTACACAACATATAAATCCAAATTTTCATAAAATTGCTTTCTCTCCCCCTCCGTACAAATGGGAATATTAACCAACGTCGATACTCACCCAGGGGCGTGCATGCGACCCATGATTGACGCGTTGAAGTGGTTGTTAAAACACGGTCAGGCAAAGAAAAACTTTACAAATTTAATCCAAAATCCGAGTCCGGCCGGTGGTCCTCTTGCTGTTGATGGAATGGATCAATGGGAGCGTGGATCTCGTGGAAGGGGGTTTGAACTCAAGCGGGTACGGGGCATTGGCTCACTTCACCCCAAATTGTCAAATTCGAACATCGCGCCGGTACAGTCGCCACGTTCAAACGAGAAAGCACACCTTCTCGACTCACTCATTCCGGCAGACTGATCGTCAAAGTTTTATCAGCTTTTCCAGAAATAAGGAAATTTATTGATTATCAAAATGGTAAGTACTTTACTAACTATCGAGTCAAGAGAGTTACTCGTCATTTCAGGTTTTTATGCAATTTGAGAGAGACAGGATATATTTCTAGTCTCGTTTCCATTTTGGGTATTATAAATAATACCCAAAATTTAAGTATAAATTTATACTTAAATTTCTAAATTAGAAATTCTAATCCTAGTTAAACGAGGGTGTCAATGTCATTACCGGTTATGTAAACATTCTGATGATTTTAAACCTCGTCACTCTATTGTGATTTTATTCATTCAATCTATTTTCATTTCAAATTTTTAAATTGAATTTGTATACGTTATAGACTACAACGTATACAAATTCAATTTATTACAACTACAACTTGTAGTTGTAATAAATAATAATTAAATGCATAATTTTGTTCTTTACAGCCACGTGAAATCAAGGAGATCAAGGACTTCCTTTTGAAGGCGAGGAGGAAGGATGCAAAAAGCGTCAAGATAAAGAAGAACACGGAGAATGTCAAGTTCAAGGTGCGTTGTTCTCGATTCCTTTATACCCTCGTCATCACGGACAAGGAAAAGGCCGAGAAACTTAAGCAGTCACTCCCACCAGGTAAATAAAAATATAAATCCATCCAACACACCTACGAATCTAAGTATTTCATTTTATCTAATTCCTTCTTATTTGTTCTAGGTCTGCAAGTCAAGGAGCGAGCATAATCCAATTACAGATTCGGTTAATTAATAATTAATTCGTATTTTATTAATTAAGCGTCCGTTTTCAATCTTCTCAATTAAGTAACAGCCCCACTTTGAGAAGATGAAAATAAATATGGATTTTTAAATACCTAGAACAAGTCTTTTCTTCAGTTCGTTTGTTTTATTTCGCAGAACTACTGTAATTTTCCAATTAAAATTTAAACACACCCAACTACAAAATGACATAAATCATTGATAGAGAGCTATGCACCACCATGAACGTTTAATTAAGGAATGTCCACTATAATTACTGTTTAATTTACTAGCACACCATCATCACAGGATGAGTCTCGCTCAACTATTAATTGGAACAATAATGAAACTGACACTTGACAGGTCGTATATGTAATCTATATATATATACGTAGTAGTAGTTCATTTAAATTAAATATTGACATGATTGACTAACGATACGACGACACGACTACACATTTACTTCATGATTATTACGAATGTTTTTGGAATTCACATTGATGATTAGCGTCACATAAAAATATCAACATCTAGTAACAACTACATCCCTTTTCCACCTCCCATTTTCCTGTGGATTGATAACATTGGACCTCTAAAGTTTCTTAAACAAGACGTAACAGAACAAAAATATCAACTTTAAGTAAAACACTTTGAACATTTAGAAATCAGCATAAAATCTGCGGGACATGTTTTACATTTTGTTCGATAATATGACTATACAAGATACAACACAATGGACCACTCGACTCTTAAAACTATTTGTGAATCACATTTAGTATTAAATTCCCATTATTTAGGTCGTTCTTCTTTCTCTGTCCTTCAGTAATTTGAGACTCAGAGCATATTTACCAGTCACTAAATCGACATTATCTCGACACTAGCTCGTTTATCTATATTGTCAACTGTCTTATCCAAGTTCATCTCAATTGCATAATCCTTATATCGCCAAATTACGTCAGGTCATTTCCACTCACGACGACGTGCTAATGAAACAAGAGAGTTAATTTGGCAAGTAACGTAACGTAAGATACAAAATAGATAATTCGTTCTTCTTGTTTCCAAAATAATCTTTTTAGCTGGCAAGTAGCAAGTAATAAAATGTCATGAAATGCTCATTATTAGATCAAGTCCATAATTAATTAAATAACTAATTAAGCAAAAATTAGGCAGAATGAGGAGTAGTAGAAGAGTTTTTTAATTCTTCCTATCCGGAACTGAGTCTTCAGCTGGGAGATAGCCCAAGTTCGCCCTCAACTGTTCGAGAATGAGGAAGAGGAAGATCGTGTGCGGTCCTAAGCGAACAAAAGCTGGGACAAACCCCTTGAAGAAACCGGATGGTCCGAGACGCGCCGTGTAGGTGATGAGATGAAACAAACTCTGTGGTATTATCTCTTTAAATTACTCCTATTCATTTGAATATTAAGCATATACATTTGAATAATAACCTTAAACTCCCCAGGTTTCGCATTCATCTGTCTTGTCTTGATTACGTCTAAGGGTTGAGTCATAAAAGTGGCGATTGCTCCCTACACGAGTAAGAAAATAGAAATTATGTATGATTCTTTGCCATTAATATTTTCATGTTATTGCTACTCACGGCTGATAGCGAGGAGAGGAAGTGGGTGAGAACATTGTCGCCAAAGACACCCGTACCAAGAAGGATGACTTTCACTTGGTCGTAAAAGCTGAGCTGCCCGATCGTCACTACAATGGCACGTGTCGTGGCGGTGGAGGCGCCGGAAAAGAGACGCGGTAGGCCCTCCTCTCGCAGAATGCGGAACACCCCATCGATCGCGTGTTTATAGCTGCGAAAAACAAAGCCAACGTTAACCATAAATAAGTTGTACACCAAATTTTATAGTTCTAACTCACTTTCGCCTTTGATCAGGAGGAAGTTTGATATCGTTCTGCATACGGACGTTAATCATGTCACCGGGTGTCCCGACAAAGCCGCCACACGCGCCCGCAAAGCCAGCTAGACCCACTTTTTGGAGAAAAGAAATATCCGAAGCCCCAGGCGGGGTCAGATACGTCTTGCCCACCTACAGAAAATACAAGTTAACTATTTTGTGGATTCAATTAATTGATGGAAGTTTGTGAATTGAAAATCGGTTCGAAAAAGAGACAATCTACGACAGTGACTGACCTCATAGATGCCAAATCGTGTGGTGGAGTAGGTTGCTTGGCGAAGGATGGAGGCGGAGAGACCGTTGTAAAGGGCTAGGAACCCCTGAGTCCGCACGATCTTGACCGATTGTCCAGCCATCGTCAACTTTCCTTCTTGCTGAGTTTGCATGTGCACCTAAAAGAAAATACAGACTATCAGTAAATTGCATCAGAATTTATATTGTGTGCTGGATTGGAGGGGGTTACCTTGATCAGGTCGAGTGGATGGGTAATGCAGGCCGCGGCAGATGAGGCAATTCCACCAAAAAACCAGCGAGACTTTCGCTTCAGTTTCATCTCAGAGGCTGTGAGGGTGGAGGAGGCCATCTTGTCGTTTAGGGGGATAAACTTATTTTTGGGGGACGATTTATGATGAGGTCAGCAGGGTCACTACTTCTGAAATTCGTTGACTGCGATACTGGATAGATCAAAAAGACATCTGGTTGAGTATATGGGAACGTCCAATGCTCGGATATGTGGTAAAGATGACTAGAAGTAAAAGGTGTTGGCTAATTGACGACGACGACGTAGCTTCAAAAATGGCAAGACATTATTTGTAACTTCAGGTTATTAGAGCTGGATCAGAGACACAACCTGCAGTTAAGGAACAAAAAAGCGATTTAGTTTGTTTTTAAGAATGAGAGGCAAGGTTAAGCACGCATGATTATAATTAAGTTGCAATTAATGAATTATTCATGACAAGTCAATCTCGAGTCGAGTTAATGACGAGGACGGCAGAGCGATAAAAATCAGGCTCATACCAACGCAAATCAATTAGTCTCAAGCCACAAGTGTAAAGACATTGATTTCTTACGGTATTTGAACGGTGAGACGGTAGATGACTTAATGATTTGACATTCGCCTAATTCGCCGGTCGAAAGTTTGGACTCGAAACTCGACACCACAAATCACAATCCAGCCTCACAAACACGCTATGGAATGCCACATCGCCAGCCAGTCATACTCTAGGAGGAGGATTATGATAAGTGGATTGATATTTCTCGTCTTATCTGGTCCAGAATCGTTAGTCATCCAAACCCAAATTAAGATAACCCACGAAACTACACGTCCGATAAAACAAGGTTGTTTTCTTTAATATCAAAATAGAGAGCAATCCAGCCAGGAGACGACCGTATAAAAGTGGTAACGAAACCAACACTGGCGTAACAACTAACTACACATAATAGGATGTGGGAAGGAAGTTTGGATAAATAATTTAACTATATTTAAGTAGATAGATGACGATAGAGATTAAAGATAAAGAGAGCTATTAAAAAATCATCCCGTGACTGAATGGTAGGAAAAGTTGCAGAGCTCTGACTTGCCACCGCCGTCTCACTTTTATCTCAATTTCCCTCTCTCATTTCATGCTTATCTTCATGATATCCTCGTGGAGTGGTTATCATTTGTTATTTATTGTATATGTGTGTTATCTACCAATCAATCAATGAATGGCTAATAAATAATAATGGTACAAGCTATACGTGATCCTTAGATTAATCGTATGATTAGCAAAATTCATTCATTCTCCAATTTCTCCAATTTGTTCATTCTCCAATGTTCATATTCTTTTATTTAACAATGCACATACACAATAATGATAGTTAATTCTAATTAATCATATCCGTATTTAAATATTGAACTAATTGTTCAATACCATGATGACTAAAAGTACAACAACAAGAGGTACTTGTCGAAATGCGGAGTCTCTACTTCTTTTTGTCCTTGTTCTTCTCCTTTGGATTCCAGGGGGGTTTCCCACGAAGAGTGCGTAGGCGGATCATCTCTTCTTTGAAATCCTCGTGCTCATCTCTACACCCAGTCAAATAAAAGAGCAAAATAAAATATTTACATTCTAGTCGTTACATTGGTTTATATCATATTCTTCAGATTTTGATACCTGAAAAGGCCATATTCGCGAAGGGCCATCATGAGGGAGTGGGTCTCCCTGTGACGTGGGTACCAATTGGCAACCTCATCTCTCCTATTCACCGGCTCTCGAGATAGCACCCTTACCGTCTACCACAGATATCGAAGTAATTAGCATACTTTCACTGTTAAATGATAAAACTGAACTATTTATCGATAATGGCGTACTTTGTAGTTTTTTGGGATGTGCTGCGATGGGCGGAGGGGTTCACCGAAAATGGAGTTTCTCAGTCTCGTCATCCTTTTTCCATAGGAAGATTCGGACGTGATGATCTTGCTGTAAGTGTAGAACGGCACTTTTTTTAACGCCATTTCCCTTATCTCATCAGATAGCTACGTCAAGTTCTGTCCAATAATCAAGGAATCAAATCTAAATCAAAAATTACAACCTGTAATTCACAAAAGTAGCACACACAACTAGGGGAAATTTTAATATATTTTTCAACTTACAGATTTAACTAATCAGACGTGTCGACATCCCACGACCAGACAACAACCGCTGTTCCTGATGTCGAAAATCGAAAAGTCAAAATTGCAAGCTATCTGAATTTCAGATTCTGAAATTGAAAGCATTTAACACAATTTAGTTATTAAACTTTAGTAAGCTCCATATCTTCGAATTAATTCTCTCTTGAAGAGTCCAAAATTTACTGGTTAGCTGGCCTCACCCGAATATATTATTCTTCCTTATCAAAAATAAAAATCCTTTGAAAATTTTAAATTCGCATTTCCAATTTTCCAAAAGAAAATAAATCCAGCCGTCGGAATGGGTGAGATTATGAATTTCGCGGGTGAGTCCACCACCATTTTAAAGAAGAGCCACCAAATGAATATTCCGTCTTTTGGCTTCACCATTGAACAGCCAGACAGCTCCTCCAAAAAATTTTCAAATTTTTATTTAGTAGATTGAAATTAACTAGTTTTCGGAAACTTTAAAATCTTCCTGACGTGGGTGGATGTGAGGAACAAAAAGAAAAGAGTGACAACGCCCACCCCACAATTTACGATTAAGTTCGAGGTTTGGAATTTTATCTTAATATTTTATTTAATCATATTTTGCACTTTTTTATTGTTTTCTAGCTCGAAAATATGATCATTTTGATCTGTTATTCTATCTATATGTCGTTTTTATTTTCTAGATTTTCTAGTCCAATCTGCTAAAGATCGTGTCGCCAAAAAACGTCATCCTCCCTGTCGCCACTACCTCATAGATTATTATTTTAATCATTTACGATGGGATCGGAAGGTTAGTCTATACTACGTTCGAATTGTTTCCTGTTTACATAATTAATTACACAAGTACATGTTTGATATTTACCTATTAGATAAAAAGAAACGATCTCGTTCCCGATCGCGCGACAGGTCAGATCGCGACCGTTCTGAGCGGAAACGTCGTTCCCGTTCCCGAGAGAGAAAACGAAAGAGCAAGTCTCGTTCAAGGTCACGCTCCAAGGAGCCATCGGGACCGAGAGTGTCGCGACGGAGGAAGGTCTCTGTCTGGTGGGATTATCCTCCCACCGGCTTCGAACATATCACCCCAATGCAGTACAAAGCCATGCAAGGTAAACTAACCACACCAACTAACTCGTGACCTGGGGTCGAAAGTTTTAAATGCTTCCTATTTGCGATTAGTTTACTAGTTCTAATTTTTCCCTAAATTTTGAGATATCTAGTTTTGTTTTTCTTGTGTGCAGATTTTAATTCAGATTCACGATTTTTTATTCCCTTGCCCTTTAAATAAGTATACCCTCTAACAGGATTTGTCACTAATTTGTATTGTTTTGCTAAATTTACAGCTGCTGGTCAGATTCCAGCTAATCTGATATTGGAGACGCCCCAGGCTGCGGTGCCGGCCGTGGGTGCGACCGTCACGAGACAGGTAGTCCGACATGTTAGTTGAATTGTATCTTACACACTTTAACCCCATCCTACCCCTTACGTGCGTATTGGTGGCTTAATTTGCATAACAATGTCTAGGCGAGACGACTCTACGTGGGGAATATCCCCTTTGGAATCAGCGAGGATGAGATGATGGAGTTCTTTAATCAGCAAATGCATCTCTCAGGTCTCGCTCAAGCCCCAGGAAACCCCATCCTCGCCTGCCAAGTCAATCTAGATAAAAATTTTGCATTCCTGGAGGTAAGTTTTGCACACACATTAAAAATTGATCGAAATTTTGACTTATTTTGCGATTTGATCGACACAGTTTCGCTCAATTGACGAGACGACACAGGCCATGGCTTTTGACGGGATTAATTTTAGAGGCCAGAGTTTAAAGATACGTAGGCCACATGATTATCAACCCACGCCGGGGGTAGATCCAGTCGCTCCGATTGGTGCGGGGGGTGCTCGTAAGTGAAGGATAGTTGCAATTAATTTACTTTATGGTGACACTCTAATTGATTTTTTTCTTGCAATATTTAGCTGCTGCGGCGGGGGTGAGCACCATCGTTCCAGACAGTCCGCATAAAATATTTATCGGTGGGCTTCCTAACTATTTGAATGAAGACCAGGTAAGGACCCCAAGAACTTTTTCGGAAAACGGCGTCATCATAAATAAACAAGAGCATACAAGAATCAGTTCTTTAAAAAACATATTCCATTTGCTTGCTGTTCTGTGTGTGCAAGTCGGACTAGTTCTTCTAAGAACTAATTCACAATTCACACAGGACAGAAAGTAAAATGGCTGAACATTTGCTTAGTTTATTATAATAAGCCAGAGTAATAAGCTTAGAAAAGAGATCGTGGATTTTTAAACTGGTTCAGGCAGGAAGTAGGATAAGAGTTAGGATATTGACAAGACGAGACGATAACTTAGGATTTGTTTTAATATACAGGCTATATTTTAGTGTATAACAAAGTTGAATTTAAATGATTGGGATTAAACTAAGGAGTTGGTGGTTGGTTATGTTAGGCTGCTTAATTAGAGAGCTAATTATAAGTTAAGAAAAGAAAAGTGTTTGGGTTGACCATTTTAAATACCGTTTTTTTCTCTCCTTGTTCCCCTTTTGTAGCCCATAGGTATGTGGGCAAAGTATTTGCAAAAGTGCAAGTCATGGTGGTTTTGGCTTGGTGGTACCCGTTCTGCTCACGCACTAACTTTATAACTTCTCCGAAATGAAAATCCAATCAAGGCAAGTACAACCATCTCTCTTGTCAATTGTCAAAAAAGTACTTAAAAACCTTGCAGCATAGGTTTGAGTGGTGGTGGTGGTGCATGATCACGGTCGGTCGTGGTGGGGTAAGTTTGCGTACAAAAAGATTGAGTAAAATCCCACAGGCACAGGTTTCACGGTCACAGAGAGGATGCAATGAGGTTGGACATTGGAGGATGAGGAGGAAAGAAAGAGAGACGTCACGGATTTCAAATCATTTCCATTTTTCAGCCTTTTCTAGGTTTTTCCGTCATTTTTAGGTTTATTAGGTTCCAGAGGTTCAAACGGATATTGAGAGAGAAAGTGGAGTGACAGTATATTTAGGGCGGTGTGGTGATGGCGGAAACTATGCGGTGCGGAATTGTGGACAGATCTGTTTGCTGATTTAATACTTTCTCAATTTCAATTAAGGAGACTATCAAGTCATTATGCAATGGCTTACTAAATTAAATCAGGAAACATGACCCTTTTCGGGGTAGGCGAAATAATTAATCGAATCCGGGTGGGATGGGATTAAATTATGTTTAAACTTCTCAGGTCATCATGATTTCAGGTCTTCACTTCATCACTAATCGTTGGAGTCTGATTGCACTCAATTAACTCATAATTTAATTTTGTTCCCTCATTGCAGCATAGCATCAATTCTTAATTAATTATTTCTATGTTATTGTTCCATTGTGTATGAATCACTTAAAGCAATTACGCGTCAATTTGTGCTGGACTCTCGGGGATAATGTTTTCTTATTTCTTTTCCAGGTGAAAGAATTGTTGAGCTCGTTTGGGAAACTGAGAGCCTTCAACTTGGTGAAGGACTCCGCTACAGGGTTGTCGAAGGGATACGCGTTCTGTGAATATGCCGACATCACGATCACGGACCATGTAAGATCATTAGATTAATTAGTGCATATAAGAAGATAAATGCTTATCGTAATGTTTTTTTTTAATTAGGCTATTGCTGGACTGAACGGGATGACGCTTGGCGATAAGAAACTGATTGTGCAGCGGGCCTCGATTGGGGCGAAGAACACAGCTGTGGCTGGAGCATTGGGCGCGGTGGCAATCCAGGTGCCTGGGCTGAATGCGGGTTTGATGAGCATGGGCGGAGCGGGACCTCCCTCCGAAGTCCTCTGTCTTATGAACATGGTGACGCCGGACGAGCTCAAGGACGAAGAAGAATACGAGGACATTCTCGAAGACATCAAGGAAGAATGTGGAAAATATGGGATCGTCCGGTTAGTATTATATAATTTTTAAAGTTGGGAGTAATTAACTAATAGCATGTTCAATCAAAATCTGCAGATCTCTGGAGATACCTCGCCCTATCGAGGGGGTGGACGTGCCGGGATGTGGGAAGGTATTCGTAGAGTTCAACTCTCCTGCAGACTGTCAAAAGGCGCAGCAAGCTTTGGCTGGACGGAGGTTCAGCAATCGTGTCGTCGTCACCTCCTACTTTGACCCCGATCAGTACCATCGGAGAGAGTTTTAAATTTAGTTTATGGTTAATATTATTTATTGTTAAGTGTTTTTAGATGGCTGATTAGAGTTATTACTATTCACAGGAATAGGTTTCCTTACTAATTTTCCTATGTCCATAATGTATTTTCATTCTTCTTGTTCAACAACAAACTTTGTAAAAGAATCACACTTTCCTCCAAGTGCTCCAAGAACAGAATGTCCGAATTTTGATTACTCATTTCTTGCTAATTATTATTGATATACATGTTGTGAGTAAGAATATTTGATTGAGTGGATATTGATTATTTTGATTAGATTGGAGTCGTATTTTATATTTTACGAATAATTTTTTCCCATGTTTCTGTTATTGTATTGTTAAGTATTTAGTTAGGTAAGTTACAATTACGAGTATTATTAAGATGAATCATATTAGCATAACAATTATGCTTTATTTGTCCCGCTGAGAAAACGAGTGGAGTCAAAGTTGAATAGATAATTATCAGAATTTTGTAGAATTGACAAAGCATATGGGATTAAAAGATTCGACTTGTTGTGAAAGAATGCCAACAAATGTGTAATGCGTATTTTCATTGTCAATATTTAAGAACCAGGTCTAACCAGGTAATGATTCTTCATTGTTAAACGGGGTGAAATTTTCCGTTGAGGTCCAAACTCCAATTATTATTTTGTAACGGAGTGACGCTCGCGTGGAGGTGAAGGTGGTTTCAATTTCTGCCATCACTTTGTGAAGCAACATTTAGGATGCAACGCTAATTAAAAACTTGTCTGACGAGCAACTTGATGACTTTAAAGATTCCAGTCCAGTGCAGTTTTTAGGTAAGTTTCGTCACTTGAAATGCGCAAATCAACTAACTGACACCAGAGTTTTTGCATTGGTGCTAATTACTCCTGGAACAACGTACTTAGCAGCAAATAAGGTATGGTCGGTTAGGAAAGAAACCTTTGAAAAATGTATTTATTCGTATGAAAGAAAAATTGCCACTGAGTTGAAACGCGGTAGTTTTCTAGTCCATGCGATTAACTACCCAAATCCGAAAACCGGAAGTCGATATCTCGACTAGTTCAAAAATGAGAACAAAAAATCGAGAACAACTCGCAAAAAACATTTGCCACTACTACGAAAAAGTGTGCGAGCGCGTCCGGATAATGGTTTATAGCCACTTCGAAAGAGAAAAAATTCATAATGGAGCAATTTTCAGAGGTTTAGATATGTATGAGGAGAGCAGGAATGCTGAATTCAAAAAATTAAAAAATCGTCCTGGTCGTGTAGCGACCCCCAAAGTGATAGGTAGAGTTCAGAAAGAAGACAAAAATAACCTTGGGATATCAGATGGTAATTTGGGCTACAAATTGAAAATAGCAAAATTAAGTTTACATGTTATTAAACCTACCAGGTTGAGGGTCAAATCCTATAGGGCGACACCAGCACCAAAGTACAACCAAGGTCAACAAAAAAGAGCAAAGCCCAACTCTCGGCAGAATGCTGAAAAACGAGTCAAGCAAAACATGCCCGTGATTCTGGTAATGGATAATGAGACCAAGTGCTCGAATGATCCAGATGAAGTCCCTGGGAGGAAGTACTACTCATGTACTAATAAAAAAACGTTTAAAGATTCTTTCAAATACATGCCGAAGTCAAAATTCCCCACAAAGCACATAATGGGGCAAGAATTGGACTCATTGGGGGACGTCTCAAAGTCGTTCGTGACCCCAGCCACCATGACCTCGGAGAGATATCTGAACGATTGTGTAAAGAAGATCTTGATCGCCTTTATCAAGAATCGTAATGTACTTTTCTGACCGGACACAGAAACATGTCATTCTTCAAAAGTTGTTCTGGACTACCTGCGGTCGAAAAAATCGATTTTGTTGCAAAAAAGGAATATGCTCCCTACGTCCCTCGGGCAAGACCAATTGAACGATTTTGGGCATTATGCAAGAGACAATATAGTCGTCGAACAAAACCACCCAAAAACTTGGTAAGATTCCGTCACATTTGGACACACACCTCAAAAGTGGTAGCGAGAAAGAGTGGCAAAGCACTTCTGGGGACCGCGAGGTAAATAATTTCACAGATAGGAAGGATGGGGGTCTATGGACCTTATGAAGCAAAAAATTGAACGCTAAGGACCCTGTTCTTAACCCCTAAAAATGTCATTGGAATTAATTAAGTTTTCCGGATTTTACAGGCATTTTTAAAAGGTTTCTTTCCTAACCTATCATACTCTATATTATGCAAATTGTCATGTCTCTCACAATTTGGTCGTGTTACAGTTCTTTTTCGTTGGGCTCTCCCCTTCCAAAACGCATCACGTTATTTTACTCTCCTTCAAGAATTCTCTTAAGTGTCCTCTTAATTATTATTATTTTTCTTCCTCCCACAAAGCAAAACCACACCCTCTAAAAAATGTTCCTATTTCAAGATGTCCGTCTCAAATTATTGTTCCTGATCTTACCCTTGACCACGGAGACGTTCTCATCGCCCACGCCAACGCATTGTCCCACGACGAACGGGGAGCCTCCACCCCTCGTTCAGCTCGTCACAGCCACTCCCATTTCGACGCCTCATCTGACCACGTACGCCCTTCTCGTGGTGAACTGCACTTCCGACTACCCCACTCACTGGACCTTCCACCACCACCCATCCTCCTCAAATGGTCCCCCCTTCGCCTGGAACGTGTCCCATGTTCGAGTCAAACGCGACGTGTTGGACGACTCCCCCGGAGCGGAAACTTTTCTCTCCGTCCTCACCTTTCAAAATGTGTCCCGGAACGAGTTGCGGGACAGTTTTGTGGCGGAATGTGCTCCCGTCGAGGGGGGAGTTAGCTGTGCGGGGGTGGGGCTACCGGAAATCGTGTTGAAGGGGAGTGGTGACTCTTACAACAATGTGACAAGGAATCAAACCCTGGAAAATGGTGATTTAATTTGATGCCTTAATCTATTTCTAGTTCTAGTTGGTACGAATTTCTGAAGATAAGCTAAGTTTTTCACAGTGGTGTACATATTTGAGCAAAATTAAGTAAATTGCATACTTGATGTTTGAAGTTCTGCAAATTCTTTGACTATTTTTTAAATTGGATAGGTCCGTTCTGATTGTTTCTCTGAATTGCAGGGGGTGTAGGAACGAGGAGAAAGAACTGTAGCAGCGTTGATCTTTGGTACGATGACGATGGCGGTAGCGGAAGTGGGGGTCACTTCTTCTGTCGAAATAGATCGCCACCCACGATGAATGAGTCTCTCCTCCTTCCCACCATGAGTTTCAGATACTGCTCCAACCCCACAGAGTGTGGCGTCTCTACTTCCGTAATAAATAATTTGCGTAGAAAAAAATCGTACCCAATTGTAAGACTGATTTTTCATGAAAAATTTCTCAAAATGTAATATGTAGGACCTTGAGAACTCTGTCGACTGTTGGGAACACCCCACCCGATCAAATAACAGGAACGCGAGGTCATGCTACCCTGGGGTCAACCCCTGCTCCAGTTTGGGTGTGGGGTCAGAGTTCCCTATACCGAAAGTCATATCTTGCTCGGCTTCCCCTCTGGTTGGAAGTAATGTGGACGACGATAAACTGGGGGTGGTCAAGCTACTCGGATATTTCCACTCACTGAGGGAGATCAATGGTCGGCCGGCATCCTCCTGTGAGTACTTAAGTAGCCACACCCAAGAGAAATTTGCAGGCTCTACCTTAACTCTGAAATTATTTGTGTTTTAGATGTGAACTGGGACGAGGCTGACCCCTCTGACCTCGTGACTTTGACCACCTCCAAGACCCACATCATGGAAAACGAGTCCCTCGAGATTGAATGTTCAGCCTCCGCCTACTACTTTGCTGGGGGGCTACATCTAACCCTTAAGAGCGTCTCGGGTCGGCCCTCCTACGCAGAAAACGAACTGAGCACTTCCATGGCGTCGGCAACTTTGGAGGAAACGCTGGAACTCTGGCGGAACCAAATTCCTATCCAGCGCACCCTCCTCGCCTCGAACGTCCTCCTTCCCCCCGGCGAATACGAGTTTACCTGTTACGCCCCCATCTGGAATTCCACGGCCTGGACGGAGAAGAGAGTCCTCGTCTCCGTGGCAAGTGAGTGGTGTCGTCTTAATTCGCAGTTTTGTTCTTATCTCGTCCCGATAACTTTAACCAAATTGCAGACGTTACGTATCCCAATTTCGTGACGGGGAATGGGACGACGAGCATGGAGTTTGCCCCGAGGAGAAACTTTTCTTGTTTGGCGAAGGGGGTGCCGCCGCCTAAAATTTCCTGGACTTATAGAGAAGATCGCGTCAAGGTTGGTGGGTGTGGATTTCCAATAAATTTCCAGTGTCAATTTTTCCTCACGAATTTTGTCTATATTTCCACTTTGGAAATTTGTCATGTACTTAATTTTGTCCAGGTCGTTGAAGTGTATGGGAAAGGGAAGCAAATGTCCTGGTCGCAAATCACCCTTCCGGAAAGCATGGACCCCTCCAACACGGACCACACCCTCGAGTTCAAGTGTAGGGCGGAAAATTCGGCAGGTTTCTCGGAAAAAATGTTCATCGTCACTCGGAACGGTATGATACACCAAATTCAGTCATCAAGAAGGCTACGAATTTAATACAAGCCAGATTATAACCAAATTACAGATGAGTCGTTCCTCGTGTCGGCAAAAATTGGTAATTTAGACTTGAAAAAGCAATTATTTTACTAGTTTGTATCAAATTGACCATGTTTATTTAAAATTTGGCCACAATGATAAGGTAAATGTATATAAAATCATGCAATTAACAGCCGGATTTGTCGTCCTCTTGGGCTTCGTGGCGAACCTGATCGTGTTCTTCATCTGTTGGAAGAAGCTTTTCCATGAGTCTGAAGAGGAAGAGGACGAGGAGCGGAAGGAGTTGGCAGGCATCAAGTTCCTCCGAGCGTTGTGGGCGGGGCAGGTCTGCTGGCGAAAGTTGTGTCGTTGTTGTCCGGGTTATAAAGACTCCTCCCCATCGGCCACACCTCCGGGTACGCCTCCCTCCGTAAACGACTGTCCGCACCCAAAATGCAGACAGAAACAGACGCAGACGGCATAAAGAAGATGATGATTTACCATGATCTACTCTCACTTTTGATGAAATTAAAATTGCTACAGTTAAAAATTTGGGTATTATGTATTACAAGTTTAATTTCTTAATAAAACTCTTTGACAATATCTAGTCAGCTTAATTTAAATTAAAAATTTGTGTTATATAAGATGTGGCAATTATTCTTAACCAACCAACACATTATCGGAATTATTATCAACTCCACTTTTATATGTATTTGAGTACTTATTGATTTTCAGACTAATTAATAATTAGTACTTAATTATTGCCAAATTTCCACTATTTGTGGTCATCCAGCGAGTAGGCCTTCTCCACAGGGACGATCCCTTCACCAGCTAGTCTGCTCAGGATGGGTTTGTAGATATCTGGGGAGAGGGGATACACCATTCCTGGGGACTGAATCTCCCCATCAAGCACCATCTTGGCCGTGATGGCGGCTGGGTAGCCGACCGTTTTGGCCATGGCGGAGTACGCATGACCATCGCCGGAAAGGGGGGACGACGTTCCGCCGTACACGACCAGGTTGATCCCCCTAAACTCTCGCTTCCCGTCCTGCCAGCAGGCGACGATCTCGTGGCGAAGGACGACCAAGTCCCGCTCCCCCCGCTCAAAGGCGAGCCGCTTGTTCAGGTAGTGGGAAATGGTGTCGAGAGGGGAGCCCTGTTTCAGGACGGGGATGTCGTCGAGCAGACCGAGCTTCTCAATCGCCCCCACCATCACCGTGTCCCCGTCGAGTTCGCGACCCACGAGGGCTTTCAAGTTGTCGTAGAAGATGTTCGAGTCCACTTGACCAATCAGGTGGGAGATGAGTTGACGCTAATTAAATATGCAACTTTTTAGTAATTACAATTCAAGTGAAGTTACTTAATTATTGGTAATAGTAATTCTTACCCAAGTAATTTCTGGGCCTTTGGGGTGCAGGGCAGGGTGTGGAGTGGGGTCAATAAGTCCGAGTCGGATAAATGCCCGCATCGTGTCCGCGAATCCGGAGTACCTCAGCGTTCCACGGAGAACGGTGTGCGCTTCGGGGATTCCGTACAGACTTTTGTACGTGAGCGAGTCCCGGTTGGCGAAGCCTTCGAAGGAAAATCCTGGGAGGAAGGACACCTTGTGGACGTGGTCTTGCGACATGAGGGCGCCACCGGGGTGGATTTCGACGACCTGGTCAAATAATATGTGTGCAAAACAATGTGCAAAAATGTATGCATAGATATGCGAATTAGTGTCCCACCTCGTTAGCCTTGAGATACTTGGCCCCGTTGAGTCCATTGAGCAGGACGCCCTTTGGTGACCAGGAGAACTTGTAGCGGAGCGGATTATCGGAGGCTTCGGGAGCGGGGAGTCCGCCGCAGTAGGAGACGAAGGACTCGACTTTGCCCCCGTGGGAGTGAATTTCGTCAAATGCCTCCATCGCGAGGAGGTGATCGATCCCAGGGTCGAGCCCCACCTCGTTCACAATCGTGACCCCAGCCGCTTTGGCCGCGTCGTTTAACTCTGTCATCTGCGGAGAGCAGTAGGACGCCGTGACCATGTTCACTGAGAATTAAATTTATAAATTGCATGGTTTATTTTGTTTTATAATGTCTATCCTTATTTATTTTATACCTTTCGAACGGATGCATTCCTCAGCAATCTAATTTACATATAGTCATAGTTAGTTAATTCACTTACAGGATTACATGATATGATATGGAAATTATATATTTCTTGACCTGCGCGTGCAGCCCGTAGGGAAGGAGGGAGATGACAATGTCCGCTTTTCTGATGTGGTCAGCTAAAAGGTCGGTTCGCCCAGTAACGTCCAGTAGAACAGGCTCGACGGGATATTTTGCTGCCAACGCGTCCGCCTCGTCCTTCAATGCGGACGCTGCGTATTTGTAGAACTTGAGAAAAATGCACATATATGCAAATTAAGGCCATGCAGCTCTCATACCCACGGTCACGTTGACGTTAGAACTCTCTCGGGTGAGATACTCCACGAGGGGGGAGGACACGTATCCCGCTCCTAGAACGAGAGCACGCTTCGAATGAATCCCCACCGTTCCCACGTTCGTACCAATTTTTTGCCGACTTCGATTGTTCTTTCTCAGCTCGTCGATATATTCAAAGTTGGGCGTTAATTTCCCATTGCTCGCAATTATGGCCTATGCAAATTTAAGTACATTACGACGTTACGGGAATTTATGTAATTAAATTTTCTAGCTCACGCCGCCAATCGCGGTGGAATAGTCTTCTTCCTGAAAGGGTTTTTTGGCGTCGGACTGCAGAATCTCCGGAATGTAGGGGAATAGGAGCTCGCCAAAGAAGTCGGTGGACTCTCTGGGGAGTTGTGTGGGCATGTTGTCGATGGAGCAGACCAAGACGCCAGGGCCCTTGAAGGAAGTGATGTCCTTGTTCCGATCCGCGTCGTAAAGGCAGAACGGATTGTCTATGGTGGTGCACTCGTTCATAAACTCTATCGAGCCCCCCGGATCAGCAGATATGTCGCATATTGCTAAAAATTTGAGTAAAAAAACATTAAGCTAGGGTAATAATTGGAATTGTTTGTGCCAGTCACCTCATTTGCATATTTTGACGCATTGTTGAGAGACTTTATTCATGAAAAGCCCGTACAGACGAAAATGGGCAAAGTGGTATTTATGCAAATGAGGTGGCACGCACAATAATTCCCCTGTACTTATGATGAATAGCAAAACCTAGCATCCTGTGGGGTAAGACGGGGCAGCCGGGGGATGAAGGGAGCCAGGGGATTTCTTGGGGTTGGAGGAGATACTTGGCGTCGGGGATGGTGAGCAGCTTTGGTGAATTCACCGCCCAGTAGATCCCGTTGAGAATGACGGACGCGTAGGGGGCAATTTTTTTGGAAAACGTGGAAATATAGGCTTCCGGATGGAGATCGTAGTCGCGAGCGGAGTACGTTCCGTTATCTTTACGAATTAAGTGGTCGTGTCGACGAACTTCGCAACCATAGACTTTATTCGTCGCTGAAATTAGCAATTAAGAATTTTTTGTGAATTAATGCAGAACATGGATTTTAATTTAACCATTGTGTTGAATTTTGCATAGCCAACGAACCTCCATGTTCCGCTACTTTGTGGAGCATATCGGGAGGGACGTATTCGAAGGGGAGTTCTTGGAAGACCTCTTGAGCCCCTTGGCTGACATTCCCACTTCCAGAAAAGACGAATGTGAGGGGTCCGATGGATTTTGGCATCATTCCGATCGCCATTTCATAGCTGAAACATGTACAAATGTTATTACGTATTTCCTAGAGAAAATGGTGACATTTTTCATACCCAGCATCTCTCACGGCTTGGCGTGCCATCCCGCTATTGCGGTAATTGTGGGCCGGACCGATATGCTGTCAAGTCAAAAAGTTAAAATTTTCAAGTCACTCTGATTTCTTGGGATTTTACGTAGATTGGAGTTTATACCATGAAAGGGGTGTGATGACCTAAGGCGAGGAGACGTAGCCCCAGTCCGTGCAAAATGTTGACCATTCCTGCCACGCCCGCATACTTCCCGAACGCGACGACCCTTTGACCGTGATCGTCACACATCTTTTCATAGTCGAGGAGGCGGATGTTCTGTACAATTTGTGAAAAATTAAGCATTTTATAATCTGAACTGAAAAATGGTGGATAATTTCAAGGATTTTGAAGTGTTTTTCAAACTTATTTTTGAAAACGTATTAATTTTATGAACACAGTACAAATTTAGTTAGAATAACTCATCAAACGTCTTAGAACACTTGAGTACCTTTTCTAAAATGGCGTCCAACAAGGGCATATTTGCTTCTTGCGCTTTAATCGTGTGGGAGAAAAAGCAGTAAGTTTTTCCCTTGATTAGCGTGTCGATAGGAACTTGCTTGACGCCGCAGATGACGTCCGCATCCACCAAGTCCTCCGAAATGACTGCACCCGCCTGAAAAAAATATATGTAGTTAAATATAATCATTCATAATAAGTCAGCCACTAAAACGAATGATAGGAGACCTGGGCGTAGGCCTGCATGGGGTAGGCGCGTCTGTTTGAGGGCTGCACGAGGACGCGGGCCCCCCGTTTGACGAGATTCTTGACGTGTGAAGGGGCCAAGGGGGCCCTTCGCTCCCACACCGACTGCTCCTCCCGCCGGATACCCAAAGTCCGGCCACGGATGTCGTAAAAGGGACGCTTCTTCTCCACAGGAGCGATAGGAATGTTGGCCTACAAGTAACGGGTATGTAACTACATAGTTATTTGCATAACGTCATTAAGTCAGAATTTGTTGGAGGAAATTAAGTAAAAATTTTGGTCTAAAATTATTGTATGAAATGCGTACTCATATTTTACGATTGAATGTTGCATCATTTTTATGCCTTGGAAAATTATCCCTAAACCTGATGTGAGTACCCCTAATTTTTAAAGACATTTTTTGTATAATGCATAAATTTTCAAAATAACTTAAAAAATGGTGTAAAAATTTTAACTTTATATGAAAAATTGTACTTTTATTACCGACGAGGTTTGACGAACGGTTGGAAAATATCCTCGCATTTTCGCCCTCTTAATGAAGAAAGGGTCCAGCCCTTTGATGCCCCATTTCCCCAACATTTTGAACCACCAGGAAACTATCTTTTGCTGCAGCGGCGACGGAGGAGAAATTGTCAACTTTTTATTAATTATTATGAAGCCTTTCTTTTATCAAAGTTTTTATTTCATTTTTAAAATCGGAAAACTGAATTTTATTAACAAAATATATATATTTTCTGAAGCAGTATCTATTTAGCTTGCGACCTTGTGCATGGTGTGGGACTAGATTGGTAAATTAGTGAAATGAATCTTGGTGGCATGGTCTGCACCTCGTGGGGTTCGCGATAAAGCATAATTTCGTAATCGTACAGTCTTGGTCTCATCTCTTCTTCTTATCCGACTCCTCTAATTATACATCTAAGTAATTAGTACATAACTCCACTTTTCCTATAAAAATGGACATACCCAGAAGAAGACCGAGATGAATGAGCAAGCCAGGAAAAGGAGGCTGGGCGACCCCTGATCGTGACCTTTCATGTACTCTGAATAGTTATATCAGAGGGCGGATATGTATTCATTTTAAACCTTTTCATTTCATGATGACGACGGACGGTCAAACTTTGTCGGTGTGTTCCCTATCTCGGGTAGATCACACAAATTTCAGAATATTTTTACATACCTTGAAATATTTCTTGGTTTTCAGGCATATTATAAATATTTCCCCCAATATTTGAAAAATGCGTAAATATTTTAGACATTTTTTAAAAAGCACAGATATTTGTAAATATCTCAAACATACGAGACGAAATTTTTTGCTCAAAGATATTCAATACACTCAGAAATACAAATTTTTACGATAGTTTTATATCTTTATGTTTTTTCGTACATATTAGATACATGTTTCAGCTAGTTTTCGTAAATACATATCCGCCCTCTGATAGTTATATGTAAATTGTGGTACAATTTGTGATTTGCCCATAGAATAGAAAGAATTAGAAGAAGCACTCTGCTCTTTGTTAAGCAAGTAAGGGGGATGACTCTCCACGTCACATACGAGAGGTCGCCAGAAGCCCTCAATGTTAAACTAAATGGCAAACTCGCAGAGTTAACTCCTACTCCATCTGTTATGTGAGGTGGAGCATCTCTTTCTGCATCTTCATATCGTGGTGGTTAATTATTCGTCGCTAGAGCCCTCACTAATACTATCTTTTATGCATTTTGTATTTACCAATGCTAAGATACTACCCATCGGATTTGCCATGATATCCTTCCATGAAAATTTCCGTATAGGTAAGTCATGAAACGATGTGTTAGTTGACATGTCAAAAATCCATTACCATCGCGTCTCTCTCATCAGACGAGAGCCATGAAAATGTCAACTTTTTCCATGCAAATTAATAATTCCGTCATTACTTGATGATTATGTTTTGTACTGGTATTTATTTATTTAATGAATATTCTTTTTCTTTCACATTTATCAAGTTGTAATTTATGTATGTATACCGTAATTTTTCTTGTATTCTTTCATCCTCATTTTATCCACCCACCCGGCAAAATGTTGGCAGTGAACATGCAGCAAATTATTTACTAATTTAATAACTACTTATGTAATTTTACTGACAATTGTACACTTATTGACATATTTGTAAACAAGTCTAACATGCTAAATTGATTTTCGAGCTAAAATTTATTTTGTTATTACTGGGAATTAATTAATTAATGCTAAACTTGTCCCCCACGCTTTTCTCTGACTTGTTGACTCCAATTTTACAACATAGTTAAAGACGTTAAAGTTTCAAAAAATACTGATTTTTTAACACAACATAGAATAATAATAAAATTAATTAAAACGTAACTATAATTAATCCCTGAATGGTTAAAGAAGACAATTAAATATTCTCAGTATCTAAATATGACACTGTTCAATGTATAGAGTTGTTCTTCACTATTATTGAAATAATTAGTAAATACGTATATACGCAATTATTTTGTTGAACCTTCTAGATTTATGGTAAAATTTGATACGTGTAATTTATTCTAATGACAAACATGCGGAGGATATTAATTAAATATTTGAATCTTATTAGTTGCACTTGTAAATGGTTACATATAAATTTTTAGCCATTACTTGTTAGTGGTGCATAATTTACATATATTTTGTAGTGAGACGAGATTCATTTCATAGATTTGCAATGTATAATAATGCAAATCCCAGTTTTTTTGCTTTACATACAGTTAAATGGGCATGTCGGCTTTGGTTCTATTTCATATAATTAAAGCTCTGCTCTAGACAATTAATTGTTAATAATCTCATCGACCTCTAGACACAGCTAGAAATTGGAAAATGTGGAAGCAAAGTTAACCGAGGAAGTTATTAACCTACAAATCGTTACAAAGTATTATCAAGTTATTTATAATACCTCCTGAAGACTGAATTCTGTTCTTGTGAATACTCGCCTCTGAAATTTCTACAGGTTAAATTGAGTAATTAGTGTGTACATATAATTAATTCATGAAATGGACAACATCCAGGTAAATATGCACCTTTTAAATGGATGGGAAACTTGTATAGGTTATCTTTGACGTAGAAAAGGGATGGGTCGCTGTTGGAAAGTTGTTGTAGAGTTATACTATTTTTATCTTATTGAATTGGTCGATATTCTTTCTTTGGTATTTGAATTAAAAAATTGTCAAATTTTTCATTTTTCCTCGTAAAAGTTTAGAGTAATATTCTGTGTGCAAAAATTGCCGTCAGAAGGACGGAGAGTATTGGAGTTGTGATGAAGCCGTTTTGGTTGAGGCTTCCGGCCAGCGAAACGACCGGTCCCGCCACGAGCGAGTCTAGCTTTTCCTGCGCTTCTGAACTCAAACTGCCCCGTTGAGCGGATGTCATGGCTTGGGCCGAGAATTGCGGGATATGTTCGACCTGCTCGGGAGAGAGGACTTCGAGCAGCGAGGATGGCAAGGATTCCGCGACGGAGGGGCTCAGACCAAGGAACGCTTCGGGTGGGATGGACTCGATGTCGCGAGAGGACAGGCCGACCAGGAGGATCCCCGTGCCGCGAACATCGGCAGGACCCCAGGATGCGGGAGGACCGAATATTTCGGGACGAAGGGTTAAACCGGCAAGTTTGGCGAGGCGGGTTTGTTCGCAGCCAGGGTCGAGGGATGACAGAACAGGAAGAGCGTCACTGCGGGCGGGGGAAAGACAATAGTAATTAAAGTTCCTGCTGAAATGTTGGCAAGATCTTTAAATTTACTTACCGGAAAGCTTTAATCTGGATTTCACTCAAACGTTCCGGACTAAAGCCGCAAAGGATGTTCCGAGTCACGACGAGATCATTGGTGTCAAATTGAGAAAGTGGTTTCGACTGTTTCTCCTCCAAATTGGACGCGATCTTTTCCAACTGCGGGAAATCAATGTTAAATTTAGCGTATTTTTTAACTATTTGTAAGAAGGATCAATGTTTTACGTACCACATTTTTCGACAATCCCACAGTTTTCCCAAACGGATAAACGATATCCCAATCTCCCAAGTTCAGTCCGTTCACGTCGCTTAGCCGAATTCCTCCCAGTACAGCGCCACCCGCGCGGATATCGTCCGGTTGCAAAACCCCGCCATCTCGTCCCTTCGACTTGACCAGTTTAGCCCACAGGATGCGAGCATGATCGTGCGGCAAAGGTTCAGAGCCCAGCTCGTAGAGACAATCCTTGATCTCGATTGGGTCCAGGGACTCGAGCTGCTCCTTCGAAAAATGAGCCGCATTTCCTGCCACGCGAACCTTGAAACAGGTCAGTTTAATGTCTTCATTGTCGGATTCCGAATTTCGACGACGACGACGTCTCAACGGAACGATTTGAGACTCAAGATCGTCCAGATCGAAGGCAATTTCCGATTTGACCTTGTCCATGGTTTTCTTCAAGGCGGCAGAGGACGCATCGCCGCCCAGAGAATGACGACAATTGGCGTCGAGAGCTTTCTTGAGTTCGCGCAGATGTGAGGGTGGGTTGCTGTCGGATGCGCATCTGCACGTGGCCAGGGCTTCAGGGTGGATTGCCACCATGTCGTTCTCGTTCAGCAGACCGATCACGCAACAAAGGGACGTCACCGTGGAAGGGTCCCATTTCGACGGATCCCTGACAATCAAATTTGCATAATTGTTAAAAGTTATACAGACTCAACTGCATAATTTCAGTCAGAGTTATGTATACCCATAAAGTTGAATAATCTTTGTTCGCCAGGCAGCTCTTTGTTCCTTGTTGAGACATGCGCGCTGTTTTAGCCTGTCGTCGTCATCATCCGCTGCGCCCTTAATTATTTCCAGGGCTTGCTCGGCAGCCACTGGGGTTAAGGATTCAATGCGGGAGGGAGATAGGTCCCCGACGCTGCCACCAATGGCGGCAAGTTCAGTTACGTCCAATTTTTTGGACGCCCCGCCCGTCAATTTGTCCTAATGGAATGAAATTCAATATGCATAACCTTCTTCCGACGGTTAATTAATAAATAGAATAAACTCACAATAGCGGCCAGTCCTTGGAGAATAATCTCTTCGCGTGTTTTAGCCGGTATGGCGGCGTGATCCTTCGTCGATAGTTCTCCCATTGCAATCATAATCTCCTTCCTCACATCTGGCGGGAGTTTGGCGGTTTGTCGGGAGTCGATAAAATAGGCGAGAACGGTTGCGGGAAGTTTTGAGACTTCCGCGGCGGATATGTATTTCAACAATTTTTTATCCGGGGAATCAAAATCTTCCGATTTGAGCCGAATATACTCAGCGAAACGTTTGGATAACTCGGCGAGCTGAAAATATGGTTGTTGGTCTTTTATAGTGCGAATTGTATTAATTATTGCAAAATTCTTCTGCTTACGGTTTGTTGTTGTGGGCCATCCTTGCTTTCACGAACGGCAGCGAGCACAGCGGGGATTTCCTCGATGTCCATATCCATGACTTGTTTCGGCGTTAAGGTTCCCACCAAACGGGGATCACGTTCAAGATCAGCGGCGGTGAACTACAAAAATATTGGTGGGATTTATTTTAGGAATTTTTATTCGTGTAACTTTAAACTCTGTACCTTTTTCCCATATCCGTACGCCAATCTTAATTCCGCATCGGATGGGAGCCCATCGAGAATGTCGTTATTATTTCGGCGTGGTTGAGGTTGCGGGATCCCGTCACCTTTTCTTGGGAGGAGCCCCCTAATTTCGGGCGGAAGGATGGGCAGCGTCGTATTGAGGAGATCTTGATCTCGGAGACGTTTGATCAACATGGCTTTCTGCGCGTCATCAAGAGCGTCCGGATTATCACGGAGTTTTGCGGGGAGATCGTCCGTCATGTCGCGTTGGCTTTGTATTAATTTTGTAAATATTTAAATTTAATTGTGTAAACGATTAGGCTATTTTAATCAAATTTTACTTCACCTCATGTCTCGAATCCCACGAATGCCAAGGGCCCCTAAAAATGCTGCTGGAAGTCCGCGGAACCCTTGTCCACCGGTTGATGAGGCGCGGAACAATTTTACGGCGTATGCGGAGACTTGAGAAATCTGAGAGATACGTATGAAGGCGTCGGGTGAGAAATTTTGCATAAAATGTGTTTGAAATGCGATAACCAACTTACGACTCCCTGAAAGAATGGATTGATGAAGGATCCCTTCCCACCGGAACCTCCCGCAATCTCGCCGAGTTGTTTGGGATCAAGTGCGGTGAGTTCTATGGCCCTGCCGAGGACGGCGGGGGGCGAATTCTTCAAAAAAGAGCCCGACATTTCCCTCATGTCACTCCAATCCAAATCTGACACGGCTTTCTCTCCACCTTGCAGCTGGAAATACACACAGAAGGTAAAAACCTATTAGTAACCCTTTGGCTAAGGCCCGAACCAGGAATGTTTCGTAAACTCATGGTTGTCAGAATGGCACGCTCCATGCCAAATTCCACAATTATCGAGTTCGTAATTATTCGCAAGGTCATAATCTCGCAATTTTTCGTTCAACTTGTACTCAAACCGGGTCGTGGCGATACGCACATGTTGACAACACAATGGAGAAGATTGTGTCCAAAAATGGTGCAAATGGGATAAGAAATGGCAAAGTTATGGCGAAAAAAGATTTGAGGTTGTTGCGGTGCCAAGTAAAATTTGACTGAAAATTGTGGCCGAAAACTGAGAATCTGCAAGGCAATCGAACTCGTGAAATCGCTTCCATCTCAAAATTTTCGTCTCAGAATTTTGATATGGAAGCGATTTGACGAGGTCGATGGCCTTGCAGATTCTCAGTTTTCGGGCACAATTTTCAGCCAAATTTTACTGCACCGCAACAAATCTCAATCAAACCTTTTTTCGCCATAACTTTGCCATTTCTCATCCCATTTGCACCATTTTTGGACACAATCTCCTCCATTGTGTTGTCGACATGTTTGTCGAAAGACATACAGACGAACGGATATATTACATAAGCCCTGGTTCGGACTAATAAAAATAGAAATAGGTTTAGATTTTAAAATTCGCAAATTCCTGGGACATTCATTACCTTCTGCTTCAAGATTTCGGAGACTGCCTTGAGGGGTGCGGGAAGGTTGAGGTTTTCACACGACGAGATAATCCTATGAAGAACGGTCGGCCTATCAGCGACGGATTCTGGGTTAATGAACGCCGCCAAGTTTCCCATCTCTCCGACCTCTGTCGTCGAAATATTTCCAGAGACTGACTTCATAAACACATCTGCGATCGCTTTAGCTTGGAGCGGACTTCCAAAGTCGGTCTGCATCAAGGCAAATTGTTATTGAAAAGATTTTTAATTACTTTTCAACACCTCCACATACACCTCACCATTCACTTTACATAAACAATCTGACCGACCTGGCTTAATTTCGCCATCGAATTTTTGACCGCTTCGGGATTGAAAGTGGTTAAGAAACTGGCCGGGAGTTGGCCAAGTACAGCTCCGCCCAAACTTTTGATGGTATTCTGAGTCCTGTAGGTTTTCATGATTTTTTTAGCTTACAGAAAATTAGATTAATTTTTGTGTTATTACCAATCTTCCGCCTTGCCATAACTCGTTTGCACCAATTTATAAATGAGGGCTTGGTCATCGACATCTTTATGTTCCGGAGATGCCGTCGCTTGAGAAGAGTAGACCTGAGTTATATCAGAGTAAATTAATTAGTCGGAGAACCGACTAACTTCATGAGCGGATGTTAGAGTGGGATAGACTTAATTTAATCTTACTCGTTGAAGTAGGATTTTAGCTGCATCCGAGTCTCTGACTTTCATGAGTTGTTCTTCGGGGACGAGGTCGAGGAGACGCTCTCGACCCAGGCGATTGATCATCATGACGTCCAGACCACGCTTCCCGTCGCTTATTTTGTTCAGGGCGGTGTGCAAGAGCACATTGGCTGCTTCCTCGGTCGACTATGCAACAAAGGGAACCAAATTATATTTTAGCGAGGGATTTTACAAGGATTCACATGACAAATGGTGACAATTGGACGACATATTATTTCGAAAGTGTCATCTTTTTAAACTTTAAGCAACTTGTTTTTCGTTTCAAATTTAAAAAAAAAATCAGAAATTGCAACGATCATCGAGTGCATATGCTACTAGCGTATGCTTGCAGATTTTGACCAAAAAATCGATCGCAAACTTAATATTTAATTTTCAAAAGGCAAGATTTCTCAATGCTCACGTTTGGCGGAGACATTTGCATAAAGGATGATACATATGTAAAACGTGCCGTTCAAAAATTTTACACTAATCTAAATTTCAAATTTACCAAATGCAAGCATCTTTACCAAACCTGCGAGGATTGGCAGATAGTGCATTTCGCTAATTTCATATTATTTGAATTTGTGACCGATTGACTCTAATTTGGTTAAAATCGTGGGAGACCTCCATTGTCCCAACTTATCTCCAATTTCTCACATCTTTAAAACCACCAGCATCCTGCAGCTTGTCCAAAAGAGCGTCCGAGTCCAGCTTATCGCCCATAGCGGTCATCACCCTTCCCATCGCGATGGGTTTATTGGCCTGAAGAAGCCTCTCCACCACGGGGAAGAGCAGAGTGGAATTCAATTTCGCTATAATTTTCGGCTATGATAACAAAAAAAACAGAATTTGCATAAAAATTGAGTTCAGAATTTATGAGTCAGCTCCACAAGTTACCGGAAGGTATTCGATGACGGTGATGTTAAGCCGTCTCATGTCGTCAGCCGTCACGTTCGAGAAATCCTGAGCGAGAAGGGCGTCCTTCATTTTGGGCGGCGTGCCCTCCACAAGAGCGCGGAACTTTCTAAGAACAAATAGAGAGAAAAATATGGCCATGAGATAACACCTTATCTCCAATTAGGCATACATACATATTCCTACTTAGGACGCCATGATACATGCACTTACTTGAGGTAGCCCTCTTCAATGTTCCAATCCAATTAGAATCAAGAGGATCAAATCCGGATGGAGGTAGAAAACATGAAATTAGAGAAAAAGGAGACACACGGTTTAGAAATTAATGCCGGGGATGGAGAGGGGAAATGTCGGTCTATTGATTTTTGTCAAGGATCTCGTCGTGTCACATAATATCACATTTCAATCCCAGTAATTGTCGTCGTCAAGCCGAGCATAGAGTGACGACGAGGTCCTCATCGTCCCACGTCAATCCGTCAACGCATCCTACACACGAGTAGTCACTTCCCAACTCGACATCATCTCCTGCCTCCTTTCTCCATGATGATTACCCAGCGAATTGATCTACCTACTCCATGTTGACTTTCTCTAGGATTTCCCTTTTCACGTAATCCTCCTTGGGTGGTTATTCCTCTATCAAAACCCAGTCGAGTTGATCTCATCCAACTCAATGATGCGAATGGAAATAGAGTTTTGAGCAATGTTTCCCGAGTCGGTGAGACCGTGGGTGGGGTGACATTGCAATAGTATCCTTCCAGAGGAGACATTTCTCTCTTCTCTCATCGATTACATTACGAACAGAGGACGGACATGTATTTATTTTCACTTTTTCATTTGATGAGAACCGACGATCAAAATTTGTGGGTGTGTTCCTCAACTCGCAACAGCATTATTTTAAAAATACATAAATCTTTTACGTGTTTTTTAAATACATACACATAATTTGTAAATATTTCAACGATGTGAAACGTTTTTTTCCACTGAAAAAAGTTGGATCACAAATAATCCAGAGTATTCAATTTGAAAGTACAAATTTTTCGAAAATTTTTATTTTTATGGTTCTGTTCGTACACATTTCGTACATATTTCATTGATTTTTCGTAAATATATATCCGCCCTCTGATTATAAGACTAACCCTGAATTGAATGGTATCCTGGTTTTTGTCTCCTTTATTGATGGAACACACGTAATCTGGCCATCAAAAGGAAGAAGGACAGCTAAAATATTACTCCCTGGTCAGTATCATCACGTTGAGGAAAAAATACGTCAGGCAGTAAGGTCGGAGTACGATGAAAAACATGTAGAAATCGTCCATAATTTGATTGTAAAATTACTGGAATTCTACGATTATTTATTCTGTACGCATATACTGGAGGTGAAACTAACCTCCAACGCCGAGAGACCCCGCGGCATCGAATATGTCGCTCGTGATGTCCCGCTTGCTCCTTGACGATGCTCGTCCTTGTTCCTCATCTCCATAATAATGATGACCACTCATCCCCGGGGGTGGGACCTGTTGACATAAAAAAAACATTGCAAATATCTACTCCAGCAAAGTCGAAGAAGGAAAACATTTCGCAAGAATCCAATAAAGTGCATTTGGTTCGTTCAAAACATGTATTTATTTGTGTACATCGATAAGAAACACATTTGTCATCCACTGCTACGTATGATTGATTATGTGTCGACAAACATACATATTTCATGGAATGGCGAATAATGCGAAATGAGGGACATTAAGGAAATAGCAATACCCGAAATAGCTTTGGAGATAAAAAAAAACCATGTCAGAAGATGAAGCCATTACAAAAAATGATTATCTGTGTTGTTACTAACTGAATTGCTGCTGTTCGGGACGGGACAGCCTGCATGGAATGGAACAAATGTATGAATTTTTCTTATGAGGACACGAATTTCATGTGTTTCTTTCTGGTGTAGATTTACTTTGCTGGCAAATCGTCAAGTGGAAACGGAAGGTAAAAAAAAACCTGCTTTGTATTTCTGAGTTTGGTGGGGATTGAAGTTTTGCTTTATTACACCCGCAAGGAAACTGCACCCAGGGTTTCCTTTCTTGTGGACTGTCTGCATTTCTTGCACTTCAAAGCAATAAACGTAAGAAATGCGAGGTGCAAGAAACTGCAAGAAAATGCGAGAAATATGCGCTTTTTAGCCACGCGCGTGTGAAGTATAGCGGCGGAAAGTATTTTCTAGCGCCTTGCATTTCTTGCAGGTCAAAATATCTGCAAGAAGCCACTTAAGTGGTTTATTTTTTGCGGTTATTTCTTGCATCCGAAACAGAAGGTCAGCAGTGACTACTTTCACGCAGTGATTCGTTTCTTGGGGGTTTGCTACATTTCTTGCACCGCAAAGCAAGAAACGCAAAAAATGCAAAAAAGGGTGCAAGAAAGTGCAAGAAATATGCGCCTATGTGTCCTATGAAGTATTAGCGTCAGGGCGTATTTTCTAGCACCGTGTATTTCCTGCAGGTCAAACTAGCTGCAAGAAACCACTTTTTTACCGTTGTTTCTTGCAAGTGGTTACTTACTTGCCCCCGAAACACTGACTGCACGCCTATTTTGATACGCCAAAACAAGACCGTATCGTTGTCTCATATTAGTTAGAGGTTTATACGTAGCGGAGCACATCTCCTGTTGCATGGAGATGAAGAAGGGGACAAATATGTATGCATGTACTACATAGGAAAATGAAATTCATACGTCTCCCAAAGATCTGTAGGAGCGAGAGGGATGTGACTATTTTGCTATGCAGAAGTGCAGATGAGGTGCTTCAACTCCAACGAGGCAGAAAATGTGATAACCTTGACAAAAGAAAGTACTTTTCTTTCTCTTTTTTTCTCCATTTCTTTTTCTTTATGGAAAATTGTATTGAATTCTGATAAGTGTAATGATATGCAGGAATTGTACGGTGGAGGCCGTATGCATGCATACCTTTCGACAGCATTCTTCTCCGCGGAGATGTTTTGTACGGAATAAAACGAAATGTCAAACGGTGACCTTAACGAGAAAAGTTGTCCTGTGACGAAGGTGGTGAAAGGGGAGAAAGTAAAGTTGGACGGCTGGCTAGTGAAGTGAGCGAGCGAGTGAGAATAAATGTTCTTTTGGATCAAATTAGATGAAGAGATGGAGAAAGTACGCTAATGAAATTCGGCAAAAATTAAATTACTCGCTGGCTGGCATTATTATTTGGCATGAAAAGCAGGGCATGGAAATAGCGAATGGAGGAAAAGTGGTATTTTATGCAAGTAAATTTATTTCGTGGGTATGTAGATGTGAGAAAATTAGGAAAATTGTGACCAAATTAATCCGTGTGTGAACTAGAGAATTTATTTGATTTACCTGTAACGTCATCGGGACGGGGAGTGGTTCATACTCGTCGAGCGGAGGTGGTGACGACCCCACCGTGAGTGACACGCTGAGTAAGAGCATTAAGCGAAGCATGGTTCCCAATTTACCTGAAATTACATAAGAATCGTGTAAAGTGTGATTATGTAAACTCCGAGATATAATTTTGAATGTCGAAAATTTCAGTGGAAATGTGCAGTTTTGGGTGTCTCATGGCTTAAACGATGTCATGAAAGGCGACTCCCAATTAGGTGAACTTCGTCTAATGGAAATATTCCGTGGGATTCATTTAATTCATTACAGACAGTTGTTTTTTGTTTACTTTTGACCATAAAATAAATGATCATCGTGAGATCCGTCGCTTCTGTTGAGCACCAATAAAAGGGGATCAAGTCTGTCTGAATGACATCTATTCACTCTTTCCCCTCGTTACATGTCATGTCATTTTGCTGCCATTATTTGTATGTATGTACATCTATTTCTTGCTGTCTTGGGCAAATGACTGGACGGTGGCGTGTGCATTTTGTACGAATATGATATAAATATATCTGGTGGTATATGTAGAAAGTTATCAGCCACACCCAACCGGAACCCCTCATCCCGTTACACGTTACCATTATGACGCCAAGGCACGCACAATTCTGATGAGAAATGGTGCACAGCTAGAATTTGTGCAACTGCAGTGTCGACTTCTCGTTAAATTAGTTAAGCATAATTAAAAATACGGATACGTAGATATTGTTGTCGAGCTGGATGAAAACGTATCCCGTAAATTATTTTGTAAATTTGCAAAATATTCCCTTAATTAAAAATGCAAAAATATAAATATGGGCGTGCATGCAATGATTGTAGCATTTTCACATCTTTTTTATTGAACCAACAAGGATTGCCTGGAGGTAAACGGAAAATGTATCGATCCTTGATTGATTTATGAGGTGGAAATATTTACGTTTCACGGCACGGGCCCAGGAAAGCAAAAGTGTGTACATTCACTTAGCCGTTCAAGACTCCGGAGGAACTAATCATTTATTTATTTTATGCTTCCGTTTCGTGTTTTCAGCCAGGAATAAATACGTTCTGACTGAGGAGGTAAAGGGATCCCACCGAAGAAGAAGTGGTCATGAAATAATAAACGCATCGATAAATGGTGTTTATCCACACTTTACACCGCACGCACTTTACACACACGCACCATACACACAGAAGAAGATACATTTTCAACCCAATAATAGTTACACACCTTTTAAGGAAATCGAATTCAAAATTTTGCACATTTTCACTGAAATTGAGAAGAAATTGTCAATTTTTTCTTACCGGTTTCTCGGAAATTCCAATTATCGGCCAGCATTTTCTCGGAGAAATATCCTTTTTTTATTCACTTTCACTCTGCGTTCGAAAACTTGTTACGTAACAATTTCACGCCGACTTGTGACCAAACAAAAATCTCAAGTCCAAGTCTTGCTCATTTATTAGCGAGAAGATCGTTCACTCGCATTTACATATTTAACAACTTTACTATTATTACAGTCATAACTCGCATTTATGTATTTGCTAAGTCACTTTGCTAAGTCACTCACTCACTTAAATAAACATTTAGCAAGTCGACATGAAAAAATTTGATATTTTAGTCCCACTTATTTATTTGATTATTAATAATGCAATAAATTTAATAGCACGGAACAATGTACGTGTGGAGATATTGATTTACTGTATAAATTATGTAACGAACGACCTCAAGTAAGAAGCCGACTCGTATTTCCAGAATAATGCAGAATCTGCCAAGCAGCAAATGGAATCGGCAAAACGAGATCCACTCCACAATAGAGAAGAGTCATGCTGCGGATGATATAACTATTTTGAAGACCACCACATTTATCTGTAACTTGTTAGTTTAGTTCTTCTCCCAGATTCCAGGCAGTTTTCGCATTTATGAGATCATCACTGCATTCACTTGCTTGTTGCATAAAGCTGCTGAAGCTGGTTAAACAAATCAACTCCTCGAAAAGTTTATGTCCGTACGTTGAAAGAGAGAGAGAGAGATGAAGCTATGTAGTTATTTTGTTGGGTATGGATTTGGTTAGATTCTCACAATAACAATAAACATTATTGCTTCCAATGATGCAAATATGTATGCACGAGAACGAAGAGGAGAGAATGGCTTCGGTCCGTGGCGTGGCGTGGGCAAGAAGTTAAAATCAAACTGAACAATAATTCAATCGAGTGGAATGCAACTTTATTTGATTATAGTTATTATGCGGAGGTAATAAAGTGCCACTTACTTTCATATGTATTCTGAGCCGTTCTTATTAAAATGCAATGAATTTGAGACAAGAATGTGCAAAGGTGGTGTAGGTCTTTTTTTGAGAATATCGTCTTTCTTATTTAGATTTTTAAAAACTTTGTCATGTATTTTTGCGTGTTTGGCTGGAGCATGTCGCTTATTATTATTCTGCGAGAGAACACTGCAAGACTGGAAAGGTTGGTGCTGGCATTTGCTAAAATAGAGCGACGATAGAGTTGGTAGAGTTGGTGGTGCGGTTGTGCCAAATTCTTGGTTTTTGTTCCCTTGCAAATCGGGAGGAATCGTGCTCTCGGTTTGTTTCTTGCTTGGTAACAACAAGCCAAGAAGAGCTCAGAGGAGTCAGTTCAGTAATATATGTCCCGGATTAATATAATACCCGGGTAGTTGTAGAGGAGGACGCGAGGACCGGCACTCAGATATTCACTTCACTTTGACTTCGTAACTCGATACCTTTTTGTGTCCAAGGGGGTTTCAGCTTAATCAGGTTTTTAGCACTCACTACTTCACAGATTTTATGTCGACAATCGAATTAATTAAACAGCTCCTCAGTTTACGCCGGGAATTGAATTTGTCACTTTAATGCGAATTTTAAAAAATAAAACTTGACATCAATCAAGATCCCACTTCTTGTCGCACTTGACCAAAGTTTGCCTTTATGCAGCTTCCATACCACTCGACGAAATAAATGAATGTCAAGAAGCGAGTTAGTCATTTAGTGGGATCAGCCGAGTTGAAGATAAATATTGCCATGAAATGACGACATGGGATGAATGACAAGACAAAAAAGAGGACCAACTGGACTACTGATGGGAAGCGAGGGAGGAGGAGGAGGGACGTTGTTATTGCACAAGTAGTGGACTGATTAAATTAAGAATGCATTACATAACATGACAACCTCATTGTATTCTCTGAATGTACACAACAAGTCATAAAAATATGGTAAAAAACACTGCCCAAGTTTTCCGAGGGGAACTTAATCCATGCATCTCCGGCATACATACAATCCATGGAAGAGAAATACTTACAAGATATCTCATATATGCATACAATCAACTCAATTTATGGAGAGGCTCTCATCATGCTGGAGAACTCGCCTACAGCAATTTAGCAGGCAATCACTCCTTTATATAGGAGAAAATGTACCAAATTGCAGCTAAATTGCCCTCCTAGCCTGGAGCAAGACTGGAAAAATGTTCCTCCAAAAGGAAGGAGGGAGGGGAAGAAAGGGTGAAGGGCTAGATGATGAATATTATGGAAATAATAAGGGCTGGACAATGGGTGGAGAAATTCCATGCTCAAGACGACGTGATGCCTTCTCGCATGATTTTGCATGGGATTTTAAAAGACTCTGCTGCATGGACAAAAGTGCTGTGGAATATTGTGATCATAAAAGAATAATGCTTCTTGCGATCATAAATGGAGAGTGTGTGTGTAAAAATGGAGAATATTCGCATTGAGAAGTTGGGTTGGGCATGAATGCACAAAAACGACAGGATAATTATGAGGCGATACAATGTCCATGATTTATGAGGTTCTTAAATACAGCAGAGAGCATAATAAAGTAGGAAAGCTTGACAATTTTGGCCGAGATGTGGGGGATCAGAGGTGAAATTGAATTGCATGGAAAGTTTTTCATGTTGCAAAAGAATTCCATCGTTTAATCGCAAGAGTGGTGGTTCCGATATCAAAAGAAGAAGCTGGATTTTGAGGGCACCACATGTTTGGGAAAAAGTGTGCATAAATTTTACAACGATGTCACCAGAACTTGTAAATTGCGAGGCTGTAAAAGTGAAGCGATTTTATTATGTAGAAGTAGAGAATTTGGTAAGGAGTAGTGAGGAGAGGAGAGGAGTGGGGGTATGTCAAGAATTTCGCAAAATGCCGAGTTTTGGCTAGGCGAGATGAGAAGATGAGATTGTCGTGAGACTGTTTGGATGGAAAGTGAGAGGATTTCGTGGGGAAGAATCTGAGCAAAAGAGAGACTTTTCTAACCACCGATTGTACTTCGCAGAGAGCTTCCCTTGCAGATCACATCCGCCTCGTAAGAGATCACATAGGAGATGAGGACGCTGTGAGGGGAGTCTCACCCCCGGACCAACTTCCACCAAGAGGAGCGAGATCACATTTTTGGCAATAGGAAGAGCACGAGGCGATGAGGAGAGGCAGATGCAGAGATGAGACCACGCAACAACCAGTAACAAAGTACAAAGTATAGGATTTGATGCGATGGAATACTGCTGTGATTTTATAACAGAGTAAGTATGTAGCAAATCTGGTATCTAATAACGTAACATAACATTGCGTAAAGAGATAGGAATAAGGATTCCTTAATAAGAAGACATGGTTGACAACTGACAGTCAACACGAGTAAGCAGCAGAATCATAGTCATTTTTGCGCATTTCATTCATCTTGAAAATATTTTGATGAAATTGTCAAATCGATTTTCATCTTCCTAAATGCATCATATTTTCTGGTCCGTCCTTTACGTAACGCAAGCTTTGAAGAGATCTGAAATTTAGGGATGATTCTCCTGGTTCAATTTAGGATTTTATAGGCAAAATAGATTTTTGATAAACGTTGTTTAGCACAACATGAACCAGAACTAATCAATATTTAACTTTGAAAAGAAAACCTACAAAGAAAATCATACCACACTTGTAGGATTTTTATGACGGTAGCAGATTTGAAAGTGTACTGTTTCGGAATAACTTTATTTGGCTTATTTAAACCTGTGTAACATTAGGGCATTTTTCAGGCCATAATAATTTATAATTTATTTAAACTCTTTCTTTAAGGACTCTTAAAAACATTGTGGGATTATAACTCCACCATTATTGTTATGCATTTTGTGAGATTAATCAGGTAATCTACAATTCAAACTATCATGTCTTTGTCTTATTTTATAAGTTACTCTTTTAATTCCTCTTTTAAGAATATGGTAATAACGGGGTTGTAACTTCGAAAAACGGATAACGGTAGTAGATGAAACGGCTAAATTTAAAAAAATCATAATAATGTGTAGGTATGAACAACTTTTACGTTGATCTGATCATAATATGGACAGGATATTATAAGAGAGTCATAAAACATGTAAAGTGATAAAAAAATACTAAACTTAGTTACTCGCAGTATCAAATTTGTCGCAAACCACACCTATGGCCAATGTCTGTCAATCTGCAAATATGGAGAAAGTAACAATTATTATGCATCAACACAAATTAACAGAGGACAATAAGTGGAAATATGAAATTACCGAAGTTCCCAAATCCATGATGGAAGCAAGACACTCGGAGAATTCATCAAGAACCAGTCTTTCAATCTCTCCTTGATTTAACTTTTGCTTTTCACCAGCTTCAGCTTTTGCGAGGAGCAATTCTACCGTGGAAGTTATAACTTCATATGATATCGACCCATGTGGATACCTGTGAGACAAGCAGTACTAGATTAATTACATATCGAGTAAACATAATTCCCTAAGAACTTATTTTGTGAAAAGGCATGTATACGCACCTAAAAACAATGGGTGGAACCATGATTCCGAGATTATTCTGAGGAGAAACTTCCTGCATCTGTGCCCTCATTTTATTTTTTACTTGGTTTTGTTGTTGTACTCGAACTTCTGCTGCTTCCGCGAGATCTTTTAACGTTTGTCTGTGGGCCGTTCCAGCCCCTGCAAAGTGTTGTTCTACACCAACTCCATTGGGAAGGCCAGAGGGAATATTTTCTATACAGTTTTTACACCCAGTGCATTTGCAGATAGACGAACAAAATATTTTAGCTTCGTAACACTCGCAGTAATTCTTTAAACAGCCAGATCTTCTGCAATTACATCCCTTATTATGTCGCCGTTCATGTGCTTCTCCAGTCATGGAACTCTTTCCTATTTTCGGCCGGAAAGCGCCAGGATTTCTTTCAAGTACAAGTTTAATTGCCTGGAAAATGAGCCAATTTCATTTTTTAGTGTCACTGTTTCAATAAAAAATAATATATTTTTGAGTTGTTACCTTTTGACGGTCTTCTTCATGGTTCAAATTATTAAAACAATTTGTACAATTACATAAATGACAAAATTCCCCATTGGCGAAGCAGTCACAATATAATTTGAGGCACTGGGACTTTGTACAATTACAAGGCTTTCTTGGCCTCATCCCATTAGGTTCTAATAGTGATCGGAAAGAGTCTAAATTTCCTGCCGTTGCCAAACTGGATCCCAATCCACTCATGATAGAATTGGAGTCGGTTAAAATTGATCCCGAGTCCGAGTGTCTGAGAGACTGCTGATCTTTTTGCAACTGGAAGGAATGTAAAATAATTTTGCAAATATGTGGAATCTTTGTAACGTTAAGAGTTTAAGAAAGTGACATACACAAATTTTTCTTACCAGATAATTGGGAAGGACAACAACATTTCCGAGCCCTGTCGTGTTCTGAATCGAAGCAATATCCGCGGCAGAAGTTCCTGCTGGTAGGATAAACGTTCCGGGTCCTGGTTTTGGAGCAACTGGTCTAGGTTTCAGTGTTGCTGGTGCAATCGGAATTTTATTTCCAGTCCCTTTCTGAATCACGCGGACAAACTGTAATTGATTTCCGGATCCGGTAGTGATGAACTTGGTATCTCCCTAAATTAATCAAACAAAAAATGAAATCAATAGTTATAACAGAAGCTTAATTACATACTGTCGAGTTGGTACTAAATTGAATGGTACAAAGTGCATGATAGTTTATTTACCCGTACCGTAGACATTATATTGCCTCCTTGCATATAAACAATCTTCTTTGTGCCAGCCTGTTGCTGGTCACCTACGGGAAGTGGGGCTGGGAGAATCTTTGCAGGACTTCGTGTCGTCGGCATTATCTGTTTTGGTTTAGGAGGAGAATGTTGCTGAGAGAGAATCAGTTGCTAATTAGAAGAACGAGTTATTTAGTACTCATCTAATTATATCTTTATTATTATAATACAATATTGTGTTTAGTGATTTTACCTTTCCACCTGAACCATCCAGCGAGAAAGCGCCGCCCTGTATTAATCCTTGCAAGGAATTTGCATCGAGAACTATTTGTTGATTCTGCCCATCTGCTGATGGTTGAGTTATGACGTACTTGAATTGTTGTTGCGTTTGAACCTTTTGGACTGGTCTTCTCAGAATCGTTTTCTGCTGCTGCTGTTGTTGTACGACGGGTGCCTGAACTTGACTGAAGGTTCCAGTATCAGGATTAAAAACTTGATATTGGTTGAATTGTTGGTTTATATCCTGCCCAACTTCCATTTCTAGTCCGTCACCTCCAAGATAAGCCTCTTCTTGATTATTTGGTGTAATCACTTCTTCTACGACATTATCAGCTTCCATCATTTGCTCTATTCCTCCATGTTCATCATGGTCCAATTCGACCTTTATATTTAATTACAATTATAAGTAAATCAGATTAAAAATTGCATTGTCTGCAAAGTGTTGCTTACACCAACATCGCCGTCTTCTTCTTCTCCTTCTTCCTCCTCCTCCTCTGCCTCATGTTGTCCGACATAGTTCCCCTGCGAATCTACACCTACGGCGTGGAACGTTACTAGGTCTCCAATCTGACCTTGGGTAACAATATGAGCATTTCCATCCGCATCTAAATGAATTTGCTGAGTTTCCATCCCTTCCATATTGGGATCGCCGTCGTCACGATGATGTACTTCCACGTTTGGGTCACCACCAATTATTTCCTCGACGTAGTGCTGCTGTTCCTCCATCCCCTACGAAAGTAATCAAATTGTACTAAATCAATCTAAATCTGCTTGACATATTTCACAATCACAAAGTTAGTAAAGGTTATTCTTTCGGACCTGCTGCATCTGAGCAATCTGTTCCGAAGAAAGAACAATTGTTCCACCGTCTGCGGTTTGAAACTGTTGCAGGATATCATCATCTTTGTATCCTTGAACATTCTCTAAATCTTGTTCTTGATCCGTCATATTGTAAATAAGAATTTAACACAGTAATTGGTACAACTTTAGCCACCTAAAACAGTATAAAAAGCATCTTCAAAAATGTATTATTATTCATTTCATTATTATTATCGTTAACGTTAATTGCAAAAGAAAGTCAGTAATCTTGTTTAAACTCCAAACTAACTAAAAGACTTAAAAAGCGAACATTTTGCTTATCATTACACTTATGTGTCCCCCACAAAACTTGCAAATATCCGCCCAGTCTCCCCACCACCCACATTCTACCCGAATCTCATTCACTAGTTTAATCAAGTTTTTAATCGGTTCGGTTTAATATTTTTATCGTATTTATATATTTCGCTCAAAATTTTGAATATTTGAAGGCAAGAGCGGCTCGTGAAGAGTGGGAACCTAAAAACACATACTGACCTTCGCTCTAACTCAAATTCAACACCGGTTGGCAATAATTAATTCTTTTTGCTCATTCTCATAAACAGACACCCCGTTTTATGCTCACCTTAATTGTTCGTGATCAATTTAGAAATGTTTTCAAATTGTTAAACTACAAGATGATGATCAAATGATGATATAGACACGTACAATGTAGTGAAGAGAAAGCATTTACATCACATCAATGCATGTTAGAGCGGTTATTGGTGGTGGTCGCAATTCGTTATTAGGGGCCGTTCATAGATTACGCAATGCAAAGCGAGCAAAGCATTCGATTACAAAAATAAATAAGGCTTGGAAAAGTCAGTTTTTCACTAAAGACAAGTCTAACTAAAATCACTGCAAACTTTAGCAGAAGTCACTTTTTTTTCGAAAAACTAATTATGAAGACGCATGTCGTAAATGAATAAATCATAATTCAATATTCAACAGCTTCGGTTACCGAAGTTCGGTTTTAAAGTTTAAAACCTGTTCACCTTCGTGAATTTAACATTGATGAATATAGGAATGAATATTCATTCACAACGTTAAATTCATGAATGTGAACACCTCTGTTTTAAACTGGTTGGTGATAAGATTTAGCTTCTACGATCGTTCCCAATCCTAGTATTCAGAACTAAAAAACGTGCCTAATATATACGACCCCCATGCACTCATTCATTCAATCCAACCCTTGATAAATTCCTCCTTTAAAGTGGTTGAGTGAGGACTGCAAATATTTTCTACGCCTTATTTTTATTTAAAAACCACATATTAATACCAAAAATACTAAAATACCCATCTAACCTTGAATTAGATATGACTAATTAGGTTGCATCATTTTCTCGTGAGCATAATTAATGGACATCCCCTACGGCTCGTTCAGCGTGGTTGAGTCCGCGTTGAGTCGAATCACACCGAGAAGGTGGAGACCCCGCCAAGCAAAAAATACTCCACACACGGCAAAATAAAATCACTCACTCATCGAGTCCAAGATTTTGAGTGCTAGTCAATTTCGAAAAATCCCAATTTTTGGAGTGGATTTTTTTTAAATTACAAGTGACATGTTTGGATTGGAAGGTGGAGATGTGGTTCTGTCGTCATCTTCACGAGATGGAGACTACCTTCCAGAGGACGTGAGTTTTTTTGAGAAAATTTAAAAAGGTGTAAGAAATTTTGAGTTTTGTTTTAATCTTTATTTCTAATTTTGTATAGGACGATGATGAGACTACGCTCGAGAGAATTACCGCACTTTCAGAAATGTTTCCAGAAAGTGTGAGAAAGGGGACGGCCAAAACGATAGAGTTTATGGTGAAAGGGGTGAAAAGTGAGTTTGAACTTTAAGATTTTATTAATTGCTAATTTTAGATTAGGAATTTAATAAGTTAAATGTCTGCTTTGTACAGAAGCTTACTCTTGGGGTCGGACAGGAACTTGGTTTTTCTTTTCCACCGCGATCATCACAATTGCCCCTGTATTACTGGAAGTTGAAAAATACCAAATGGAAGAAATGCAAAAGATGCAGCAACGTCAAATGCTTCTGGGACCAAATGTTGCACGAAGCTAAGAAAGCGAACAACTATCTTCTTATTTTATATCAATCTTCATAAATACTAATTCATTGTCCATGTCCTCTGCGTACATCGTCATTAATGTTATGTTATACGAAACTCGTATCAAGAATTTAATCAAGTAATACTATATAGTAAGTAGTAACTTCAACCAAGTCAACAGAGATTGTGTTGTAAATTTAGTCACATTTTTGTAATAATAAACTGTCAAATCACAAATGCGTTGTTTATTTCTAGATCTGTACATAATCGTCAATCGATCACAATAGTACACTATCTTTGGTCATTTGCGCTAAGGCGCTAATAGAAGTCATCAGCATAAAATATTATATTTGAAGTTTGCTTAAGTTGCTTATCAGTGTCAATTTAAGATCAATTTTAATCAGTTAAATTCAAGTCACACTCGAATTCACTCTCGTTTGGATCAACTGTTAATGCATCAGTTGTGTATTAATATTCCTTTGTTCATAGCGCGAAATTCAATTTCTCAATGTTACCCATGTGCCGGATAAAATTGTGAGTTGACGACTTAAATTTATGTATTTTAATGCCATTACGAACTGGTAATTAATTTCGCTAGTGCTAGTATTCCGTAGGTAGTTTACCTTTGATCTCGTCGCAAATGGATTTTGCCAGGAAGCAGCTCGAGAAGTATGGGTGGAAAGATGGTAAGGTTTTCGTTAAATGCAAAATCTAATCTTTGCTTGCTCAAATTTATAACTGTAGTAAATGTGAAGTCTGTTGTTTAAAATCCATCACATAATCCATTATCCGTAGGGGTTGGTCTTGGGAAGGAGTGCCAAGGAATGTTAATCGCACTAAAACCTCGTTTAAAATCGGGGAAGGAAGGAATGGGCTATGATCTCTGTAAAGATCTTACCGACACGTGGTGGACGAAAGCTTACTCCGACTGTCTCAACAGAATCGATGTATCCACTTCTCCCAGCGCCGAAGATGTGGGTGTGACTATTCGAGAAGATAACCAAGTTGGGGACGTGGAGGGTGAAAGCACCAAAAAAATAAAACATAACAAGAAGAAAGTAGCTAAAAGTGAAAACAATCTTTATTGCTCTGGGATTGAAGAGAGACCGATAGAAAAAATGCGAAAACGAATGATGAAAGCCAATTTTACATCATTTTCAAAGGTAATCACGATTGTCATGCAAGACCGTTTGTTGTCAACTGTGTAGTGCATAATGGTTTGAAATTGAAAAACTTTCCTTTGCAGGGTGGCACTCTTCTAACTAATGGGGAGGTGGTTAAAGGAGAAGGGGAAGAAATCGAAGACCCAGATTCAAAAGAAACGTTAGCAGTGAAAGTTCTTTCAGATGAAGAATTGTTGAAAGCGTGTGGTGGACGTACAGCTCACAAGTAAGCAACTACATTGTATTAATGTTGACACTTAAATTATAAATTCACTATGACTGATTCATCTACTTATAGGGCAGCCCGATTTGGTCTCAAGTTAAATGGAAAGTTGGCACGCCTTGCAGCACAAGATGAAATCAGTTACTCTGTATATTTGGATAAATCAAATAGGTCCTCGGATAATTCAGAAAGTTCGAAACAAATCAAAGTAAAAAAGAAGAAAGACAGGAAATCGAAAGAGTTTGAATTGTCCCAAGAAATTAAAACAGTTGACGAAACCAGTCAAGAATGTGCTCCTCAAGAAGTTCGCCCCAAGAAGAAAAGAAAACGCAATAAAGAAGCGACAGATTTATTCGAACCAAATATACAGAATGATGAATGCATAGATGTATCAATTAACAATAAGAAAAGGGAGAAAACAAAGGATAAAGTACAATTTGACAAATTTACCCCTGAAGAGAATTATTGTGAACCAGACCCATCACTTGAAATCAGTAAGGAGTTGGTAAAGAAGAAGAAAAAGTCTAAAAGACACCTAATTCAGATAGAAAGTGAGGTTTGTGAAAGCTGACGAACGCCATTAACATAATAAATAATTTTATCATGAAACATTGCAAGAGTATGTAATTTTAGCAGATTAATAATTTCAAAATAAATTACACTTATTAACAATTAAAGTATTCAAGAAACGTATATAAAAAACAGGTTTTTGTTGTTTCACCATGTTTCACCATCTTTAATTTAACCATTTTGCATTTCGGATTCGCATTCGCATGTTACATTCAACCACGGAGATGAGATCCCATTTCATTTCACCAACAAAGCAAAACAAAACACATGGTAGTTTGTTCGTCGGTGTGAAACTGTGAAGAAGTGCATTTTATCCCGTTATTTGATTAAATTTGGCATATATATTAAGTAAATTACATGATGATATATGTGACAACATAAAATTAGTCTGCACAGCTATTAGCCGATTCCAGTTGCAAGACAGATTGATTTAGGTAAGCACATTTTGTTCGCTCTTATCCATTTGTTGATTTAATAGATCAACTTTCTTTTACTTTTACTCGATCGATGCCAGTGAAGATATTATGAGTATTAATATCTTAAATTCTGGTAAAGTCACCTCGTATGACTAGTCCTGAGTAAATAAATGGTTGATTAAATTAAATCTACTCTTGATCGTTATCAGTAGGCAGAGCATATTGAATTGCGATTCGCAATTTGCGAATATTTGTGTGTACTGGTTTTAATTTTTCGATTGGGCAATATTAGTTTAACGAAGGAAACTGGAACAATTTATTTAACTAGCTTGTTAAGCATTGTTGTTAACTAATGGCGAATCGTATCATGGTTTGCTGGATCTTTATTTTTTTATTGGGTAATTTTCACAAGCTACTAGTACATGAACTACAAACTTCTCAGCATGAAATATCCAGTCCAATGCAAATAGTAGTTTTATCACGAGGAAAAAGGATATGAAATAGAAAATTTAATGACTTTTTAACTAGATCTTGATCCAAGTGAATGAAAAATCGACATTACGCTCATCAGTTTACACAACGCGATAGATAAAGGTTTGGTTTTACACGTGCACTGCCGTCAGTTAGCGTCACATCTTGGCCATGACTTTCTCAAACCACGAAAGAATTGAGACTACGACAATACATAAATCTTTGCGACTCATTGTTTGTTGACTGTCGGTCTTTTTGGCACTACATGATTGTCTTCAATCATCATTTTCATAAAAGAAACATTTTACTCTATTAAACTAATTGACCCCAATTTATGCCAAATTTTATAAGCCAACAAACTGACCATATTGATTCTACACGGTGTGCGGTATAACACACGGTCGATCACGAGTATAACTGGTCTAACACCTTTTTTAATGTATATACCTTGATACCTTTCAGACAAATGGATGGGAAACCTACGTTCCTTGTTTTGCAATAGTACTACAATCAACTTACACAAACGCCATTCGACTGAAAGAAGAATCGTCAGTGATCCTGTGCGTCAAGCAATGTGATTACTCCACACGAATGAAATACACCCGCTACAGAACACACTATATCTCTCGTACAATTATCTTAAATATTGTGTGAATATTGCATTACAAGATATCAATCCCTGACATGACATTAACTACAATTTCTTCCCGAGGTCTCATTGGACTTCTAACGACGCAAGCCGTAGTTCCAACAACGACGACCTTCTTCGCCTCAAAGTTGTCATCATTGGCTCAAGTGGTGGGAGGACGTCAGGGAAAACTACTTAGCACTACTAAAGCTCTTCTTCTGACACAATTGCCACATTATAATACTCGACGGAACATTCGCAGCTCCTCATTTCCTTCCAGACCTTTGTCCGACCAACAACGCCGAGCTAAAAATTCAGCCTTCTTCTCATCCTCGATCCGTTCAGCTCCAACCATGGTGCAAGATTGGGACATGAATTTGGACCCCGTGCAGAAGAAGCTGCTGGAAGAAGAGTGCATCGTGCTAGATAAGGATGACAAGGTGATAGGTCACGACTCTAAAAAGAATTGTCATCTCATTCGCAACGGGGATGTATTGCTACATCGGGCTTTCAGCGTTTTCCTCTTCAATACGAAAGGTAATAATATCTTTACATGGAGCGTGTGTGGGAAATTATTTTCCCGATTGCACAATATCTTATTTGCTCCAATGCCGTGTTTTTATGGCAGTGCTGACTCTAATCTTTATTTTTACATCGTCTAGGCGAACTACTGCTCCAGCAAAGATCCAAAACCAAGATAACGTTCCCCAACTTATGGACGAATAGTTGCTGCAGTCATCCACTCTACGTTTCGGATGAAATTATTGAGAAGGAAGCTCTCGGAATTAAGATTGCGGCGAAGCGTAGGATGGAATTCGAACTAGGAATTTCTCCTGATGCGATCGACATTTCCGATTTCCATTACCTCACTCGAATCCATTATAAAGCCTTGTCCAACGACATGTGGGGCGAACATGAGATTGACTACATCCTCTTTTTGCAGAAAGATATCCAACTGAAACCCAATAAGGAGGAGGTTTCTGAAATTCGATACGTGAATTTGGACAACATCAAGAAAATGTCAGAAATTGAAGGGGTCAGTCTGACACCGTGGTTTGAGTTGATTTACAAAACTTGGCTTCCCCTCTGGTGGAATAATTTGAGTAATTTGGCAAAATTTGATGATCATAAGGTAATACATCGCATGTAAATGGCGAGGGGTGCAAAAAATAATTTGCATCTTTGACGTCATAAGATTTTAATAAAAATTTAAGAATTAGGATGATTTTATAATATGAGTCTATGTATCTTATACTTTATCAGTATTTCAATGGTGGAAATTAAGGCATTTCTTGAATAAAAGTATTGTAAAATAAAATAAAGTTATCTTGCATTACTTGCATACGCATAACAACTGTATTGCATAATGCATGAGATTTGGACTTTGTCTTGTTATGATGTGTACGTATGTATATGTATGCAATTGAGTAGAAGAGCATAATAAACGGGTTAGTTTATGTAGCTGGAATCAGCAGATCACAACAGAGAGAAAGCATAATTTGTTCACAAAATTAATTAGAAACAGTGCAATGTCTGTGTTAAGGCCGGAACTCTTCAAAAATTGTGTGGCGATTGTGACCGGTGGTGGAACTGGGTTTGTAAATACAAATTTATGGATACCAACGGCTGCATGGTTTATATAAGGTTTATGTTTCTTTAAATATCACAGGATTGGACGTGCAATAACCTATGAGCTGTTAACCTTGGGTGCGTACACTATCCGCTAAAAATGTAGTAATGCTCCTTATTTTAAACCTTGCGTACATTCCATGCATAATACACGTGTACATTACATGTAGGTGCCAAAGTTGTAATTGCTTCACGGAGTGCAGAAAAATTGCAAATTGCGGTGGATGAATTTGCTAAAGTTGGTTCCGGGAATATTACCTCGATCCCTTGTAATATTCGAAAGGAGAATGAAGTCAGGTGAGCAATCATCTCGGAGGACATGGAAATTTTGAAATCGCCTGCCGGATAAAACCTGATATTCTAACAGATCCTTGATATCAGAGACGCTCAAGCGCCACGGAAAAATAGACTTTTTAGTCAACAACGGTGGTGGTCAGTTCCTCTCTCCTGCCGCGGACATGACCCTGAAAGGATGGAATGCCGTGATTGAGACCAATCTGACCGGAACTTACTTAATGATGAGAGAAAGTAAACATATTAATTTACCATGCAAATAAAGTAAGATGCTTCAGAGTGCATTTTTAACGTTTTTCAGCATATACTCAGTGGATGCGGGATAATGGGGGTGCAATCGTGAATATCATTGCCGACATGTGGCGAGGTTTCCCAATGATGTCACATACTGGAGCTGCACGCGCTGCCGTGCTGAATCTGACCAAGGTTTCCTCTGAATTCTTATTAATTTTAATTAAAAATCATAAAACTGGGAATTAAATTTACAAGTTTCAACTTGTTTCAGAGCGTGTCTGTCGAGTGGGCGCAAGACGGGGTCAGGGTAAACTGCGTGGGTATGTGAAAGCGAGTTCTAAAATGTAAAAAGTAAGAAAATACGCTAACTTTGTGAAATTTCCACTTTTTCAGCTCCCGGAGTTATTCAGTCGCCAACTGCGGCAGCGAATTATAACGTCGATGTTTTCGAAGAAGCCAAGAAACGTCTGCCAAGTTGGCGAACGGGTCGCCCTGATGAAGTCTCCGGCGCCGTGTGTTTTCTCCTTTCTCCTGCTGCACGCTTCATTTCTGGAACTTGCTTAAATATCGATGCTGCTGGAAGTCTCTATTCCCCACTTTTTCACAATGTTGATGGTAGGTTAAAATTTATATAAATTTGCATGCATTTGGTGCAGTTCATTCTATGCAAAAACATTAATTTTCAACAGAACATGACAAACTTCCGGAGTACAAATGGATTCCGGATCCACCAAAACAGTCAAAATTGTAGCAAAATATATACATACTAGGGAACTGATCCATTTTTCCATCAGTTTCAGTGATAAATAAAATGTAAACTTGATTTTGGAAATTGTAAAAGTTTTGATGCCATGCGATCTCGTATTAGTTTTCATTGAAGGACGAAACACAATGAAATGAGGGCACAATAGAAACTAGAACCCCCATCGTGCTTGGTAATGATTTGGACTATATCCATATTCAATTCTTGCACGCATTGTCCAGCAGATTTCATACGTCCGTGTTCTGAAGAATCCCATTTTTGAGTGTTGATGTGTGTGCGTGATTCATAATAAGGATTAATAAGTTATTTAGGATTAATAAGTCTCATAAAATTCACCATTTCGTCGTGAAGGTGAGACTTTTTTTCGTAAAGAAAGTTTATCGACACTTTTTCAGAATAGCTTCAACGAACTTGAAACTCGTACTTTCACCTTGACTTACTTTCTTTCTTGAAAAAACGTACACGGGGAGTACGGTGGCGGATAGAGGTCAATCATTTTGCCCAGAAAACTTGTCTTCACTCATTCTTTTTTATTTGAAACTTCTAAATCGTTCAATTATTATTAATTTTTGGTACACAAAAAATATATATATAAATTTTTAATGCATGAGTTTGACAAGGGCAAAACACGCAAAAGAACTCCAAATTTCTGACGATAGGACTCCAGTCCCGGAAACAATTTCATTGAAAGCGTGTGAAAAGTTGCGTTTGAAAGCAGAATGATAGATCCTGTCCCTCGAAGGCAAAACGAATCCTGTATCATTTAAAGTTTAAATTAATGGTAAGACCAGGGAAAAAATATATAGCATAAATTTCCTACTTTGGTATTGGTAGTCGATGTTCCCAGAAAAGTAAAAATGGTAAAGACTCGTCCTCGGGTTAATTATGGTCGAGGGATTAATCGGCCTTCGAAATTTGCACCATAACATTTTCCCGTCCACGTCGAAATCGTCAAGGTCAATTACCTGCCAATCGTTAAGTGCTAATTTTACTATTTTGTTTAATTAAATAAAAACCAGACACATAGGAAAGAAGTTGCAGAGGAAAACAAAAACGCAATTGCCAACTTTCACCTCGTTGTGCTGATAGGGAGGCAGTTGGAGGTTTTCGATGAGCAGATGTTCCATTCTGGCCCTTCCTCGCTCCAAGTAGCACACCGTCATGTCCGCCTGGACCAGCTTGCTCAGGTCGTCCCCAAACGCGACCGCAATGTAGGTCTAAATAAATAAACAGTGTTAAACACTACCTCATTTCGTGTTATGTAGTAAACGTAAAGCAAACTAGAACCAACCCTGTTGTGATGAAGACGTCCTCCGAGGGTGAAAGTGCTAGTGAACGTATTGGCGAAAATATTAGTGAAAAACTGGTGAACGCATTAGTGAAAATAATGGTGAAAGTACATTTCGCTTTTGTCCCGGAAGTCCACCCCGTACGAGAATATTAGCAAGGCCTCCGCAGCAGTGCAAGGATAAGCTCCGTATGGACACACCCGGAAACACGCCATGGACGAACCACAGGCATAAGTGCTTATCGCTGTATTTGCATATATTTCTTAAAACTTGTACGGTTTACGGTATCTGAACTTGAAAAAGGTTGTGAATTGTTCTTACGAAACGGATTGAAGGAGAGGACGTTGGAAACTATGATCCAGTAATGAATCCCACGAAGGACGCTGGCTCTGTGCAGACGACAACAAGTCATCGCATGTTTAATGAAATTAGTTATGCACAAAACTAATTTACATGAATCTGATGTCGCCTGCCTCCGCATCTGGTGCGGTCCAGATGAAGGAAACATTTCCCAGCTTCACGGGTCGCCCCTTGTCGATGACCGTGGCGAATGGGAGGTTGAAACAGGGGCTGTATTCGAAGAGATAAGGGAGATATCGAAACTGGCCGATAAGTCCGACCCCGCCTCGCAGCACGTCGTCCCCCGCAACCACACGGGACTGAACCATTAAACCGTCAAAATCTCCACCCTCAATGCGAACTAGGAAGCAATTACAAGAAAAACACTCTTGTTTACTCGCATGCTAATTACGTAACGGTTTCGGTGTAATAAACAAGCTCATGAATTTTGTGGCATGAATAATTCGTGCCTTTCCACTCACCCAAGAGATCGGAGTTCCTGCGATACCTTCGCCCAGTGACGGATATTTTGTAGGGCGGTTCGTTCGAGTAGCCTTCCCCCAGCCCCCCAATCGACCTCTTCTTCTGCACTAGTTTCTTCCCATAGCGATTTCGAATCCGGTACCTGGAAGCCCAACTTCCGCCCTCCCCGAAGCGAGAGGACCCGTAGTACTGGGCGTAATCCTGCCCGTTGTCGTTCCCACTGTCCACGTTCCGGGGGACAAAGTCGGAACAGGAGAGGTCGGAGTAGCGCAGAATTCCGAACACAGTTTGGACAAGGAAGAGGAGTGTGATTAACACGGATAAGTAAAAACCTGGCTGCAGTCGTGTCATCTTATTTATTCAGTTGTCAGTACCGATGCAATCCCAGAAATTAAAAAAATATCAAAAAATCCTCAAATACTGTGATGTGTTTCCCGTAAGCCAGTCAATTTGTAAGTGAGAAGTCTCCAAAGTTATAACTCTCATGAAAAAGTCGTCGTTCTCGTGACATGGAAAACTCCAGACGACGCTACGTATGAAAATACCTCTGGCTACGTTGTGGGTGAGACACGCGTTGGTGAAAGCAGGAAAAAGCGAGGAGTCTCATCATACATGTCGTATCTAAATTCTTGTGAAATTCGTGAATGCATGTGTGCACCACACGTACAAACGAGTTAACCAAGTCCAGTTCGAGCCATGTATTTTCTTCAATTTGTGCAGGTGAGCTTTTCACCCGTCGTGGATATCTATTATGCAGCAATGGTGAGGTGAAGGAAGGTGCGGTGCGTGCAGTGCGGTGACACTGACTGACATGTTAACTAATCGAATCGACAGGAGATGATGATGACGATCAGTAACCTCGAGTGGGGACAAGTATCCATCCAGATAGCGTAATTATGTGATAATAAGATGCCTACCTGTCGCATGTATATATTTAGTTATTGTCCTTCCGCAAGTCAATTATACCGCTGACTCTGACCATTCCTCACTCCACGCAAAAATTGAATATTCGGTAACATGGGGTGCAAAAGAAGTAAAAATGTGTTCCGAAATTATCCTCAACATCTTGGGATTGTCGCTTTCACTGGAATCATTACTTGTGTTCTGATTCTATTTATGACAAGAAACCCAAAACTGTATGCATCATTCTCAAATAATGATTGTCGTCAAAGTGAAAGTGTCATTAATTTAGAGCAAAATAATGACAATGACGATGAATACTCTTCACCGGTGTGGACCAGGATCAGTGATTCCATCCACGTGTACAGCGCCCATTTCGACCCACGCATCATCCACGGACCTCACTTTTCCATATTCTCCCCCGACTATTCCTGGAAAATGAGAACAAGTAATTTGCATAAGTCGAGCTTGGTTCGAATAATCGGAATTAGGCGATTCCCACCCACGGCCACCATCATCGCTCGGAATCCCATGGCCTGGCTTCTCATCAAGGACGAGACGCTGTTCAGTGATGACCACGAGTGCAAATTATTCCTCGCGAATGGCTCCACTTTCTCTTCCGCCGTCCTCACGTATCACGTCGTGGAGGAAGGAATCAAAACATTTGCGGCCTCTTTCTTCAACTGTTATTTCGACCTCGAAGGAAATGACGACTTATTTCGAGGAGGATTTGTAGCTTTGGTCCCCAAAAATGAGGGGGAATATCCACTCAAACTACTAAAAATCCAGAATACCCGTCGGCCCGATGTTGTATCGCCACAGAATGTCAAAAACTTATCATTGGCCATTTGCACCCGGCCCCTGTTCTCGTCCCCCGAGGGAGACTTTGCCCTCGTTCGAAAACTAACTCAATTTATTTCCTACTACGTCGCACTTGGAGTGAATTTCTTTACTTTCTACGAACTCAGCACTTTCCCAGGAGTGAGGAAGTACTTGAGAGAGTTGAGACGCCGTCAGGATTTCCGGCACAATTTCCGGTTGCATGTACAAAAGTGGAATTTGCCGACAGGAAATACCTCCGAATTATGGGTACGTACTTATGTACAAATATGCATAGGATACCACAATAGAATTCAACATAATTGTACTGATACACAGGATTATGGTTCCCTGGCGGCGTTGAACGACTGTCTTTACCGGAATATGTGGGCCGATCATGTCCTCTTCCTGGATCTCGATGAGTTTATAGTCCCGCAAAAAGAACACTCGTTGGGACAACTGATCAATTATTTGGAGGAGAAAAGTGGAAGCAAAAATAGGTGCGTATTTATGCCTGCTGGAGAAAGTCGTAGTGAAATATTTGTGTTTTCGAGCTATGATTTGTTTGCAGGTTGTCAATCTCTCCTCCTCAAATTTTGATCCGAAACACGTTCTTCTGTTCGGAATTTTGCTCTGCAACTGGAGAGAACACAGTGACATCGGCGACCTTGGAGGACACATTTCCCATTACGACGTGCAGAACAAGGACGAAACGAGTTTGGCATGCGAAATTGAGAACTAAATTTATCCTGCGGCCAACTTTATCTATTTCGGTGGGCCATCACACTGCTCATAATTTTTGGAGGAACAGCAGCAATTCAGGCAGGAGGACAGATGATAAAGTCGAAGTGTATCAGGACCCAAGACAACAAAACTCCATCATTGCTGACGTTGGCGTTGCGCTTCTCAATCATTATCGAGAATGTGGACCAATATCCACCAAAAAACAACCCATCCTCAACAGATTAACGATAAAGGACGAGAAAATTGTAAGAATTTTGAAACAAAGGAATTTTAAATGGCTTCGGTATTAATTAGGTGACCAATACATAAATAATTATTTTAAATGTTCTTTATCCCGTAAAACGAGGAACACAGTATTTTTACAGATTTTATAATCGATAAATGAGTAAAATAGAGTATTGAGCAGGAGACCATTAGAGATGATGAAGGTACAGAAGTTGTACATATGTGTGATGTGAATGCATTGGTTGACAGTCATTATCAAGCAAGTCTTTCAACTAGAAACACAATAAAAACAATTAAAGAAATCTTAAAAAAATGGCAAACAATTCTTTGCAGAAAATCTTATTAATTTTCTCGTCCTCCTAGCGTATAAATCTTCTTACAAAAATGATGCATCCATGTCTCTGCAGGAGGGGTGGCTATTGTCCGTCGTCTCCTTAAATATACGATTTTTTTGATTTTTCCTATTCTTTTCTTGATCTTATTTCTTTGTTTGTATTTAATGTTACCTCTTCCGGTCCCAAAGGTTCGCCACAAACGGTGCAGACCTTGTTGGGCCCAACGCCGCGACCTCCGCCACTGCTCCCCTCACTCCGGTCAGTGTGCTGACGTTGGAGCAGAATCCGTGGGGCCGGCCCCACCGTCCTGGCCGATGACGACGAGTGGGGCTGATTGTTGTGGGGGTGTGACTGCTGATCACGTGGACTCATGTCTTCCAAACGTATCCCATCGGCAGTAGCAGCTTCGGCGTCCCTTTCTTGCTCTCCCTGTTTCTGCTGCTGCTGGGATTGTTGGGGTCCTGTTTCATGGGAACAGTTTTCATGAAAACTTATTAGCGAATTGATGGTGACGGCAAAAGGTGTTGTTTAAGTACGGATCAATTTCTGCAAACTGGTAGGGAGGTCTGCAACGCCGATTTTTCTGTCGCACTTGAAGCATCCAACTCGATACATGATGACGAGAATTCCTGACTAATTTTATTCACGGTTACTTACAAAAATTAATTATGAGACATTTGTTTATTGGACTAATTAATTTTACCGATAATGTAACGAACATAACCATAAACCACATGATGAGAAAAGTTACGTTATCCACGCCCATTTTGATAAGGAGAAAACAGTCCAGAGAAGGAGAGTATTCAACCCATTGCTAAAATATAGCGTAGAATTTCTTACGTCTTTCTTGTCTTGAGAGAAAGTCAACCCAATAACATTTGACTCTGAGGAAAAAGAGTTTTATTTTGCATACAAAATATTCCACGTATACAAAAAATAGATAAAAAGTTGAGAGAACCAGAATTACTTAAATGAAAATCGATTTTGACATTAGATCCGGGTTAAACGTAGGACAAAACTAAAATAAATAAAAGAGAGAAAAGCTATCAAAAACCTTATGCATGCTTCATAGTTCTTTGTAAATTAGTTGATAGTCCAATTACTCGGCCTTTTTTACAATCGATCAATTCTGTGCCGTTTGGCAAATTTGTGACATTATGCAGCCAAATTGTAGACTTTTGGTGGAGATGTATATAAAACCCATTTTATAAAATTGCGAGAATTAAAATAATAACTTTACTTTTTGCTAAAATAGGTCTGGTTATTATTTTTTTGAGCTGACCCTGTAAAACTTTGCTGAAAAACTCAGTCCGCATGAACGATTTATGTGGATATATAATTTATTAAAAGTAAGAAATTCATGAATGATTTACATACGTATAATTTTTTGAATTATTTAAGTATGACTTTGTGGATTCATAGAATGTGCAACAGAGGCTTTAGCTTAGGACTGGTCTAGGTTTGGGTGGAGACAATCCCTGGGAAAAGTAGGTGTTTGACAAATTTCAAAACAATCTACAAAGTCCGCCTCAACGATATTTATACAAATTTAGGAAGTGTGTGTGTTCGAACTATTTACGAAAAGTTTGTCTATGAACAATGGCGAATTTGAAGCTGTAATAGAGGACAAAAAGTCGCAACAAGTTGTCAAAAATGTGAGAAATTGCGTGAAACACGATCCAACTGATGTCCTTGATTGTAACGGTGATGGCAAAGATCACATTCGAGCTGATTAGCGAGATGAAGTAGACGAGGATCCAGAGACGGACAAAATTAAGGTGTTCCTATAAATATATGCACATTACATACGAATTATTTAAGAATGAGGCGAAAGTAGCAGATGCATACATATTTATGTTTATGTGTGTAAATACTACCTTGTTAATAAAATAGATTCCCACAAATGCGAGAAAAATACGAATTCCGCGTAGCACATTGTCCTCCACTAATTCAGAAAATTTGGGATTATGAAAGTTGTCTGAAATTTTTGACAATATTTTGAGACGTCTTACAAAATACGTAATCCAGGACGTCCTTTTCGGTTTCAACTAGCAATAAAGCTTTCCCTGCTTTCTCCAACATGAAAACGAATAGCTCGCGAAGTCCTAAATGCTCAGTGTTCCAAATCTACATTAATTATTTATTTTGTATACCATAAAAAATTGGAGCAATTTAGTATTGAATCTCATATTATACTATTACCATTTCTGTGGTCAACAAGATGACTGCTCCCATTCCAGGGAAATCTTTAAGAAATGCCCAAACTTCTTGAAATCCGTATCCGATTGGTTCCAGACAGACCTCAATGTCACTTATGTCTTCAGCAAGGCTTCGGTTCCTGCTGACGTCGTATTTCCTGTGGAGACAGAGGCAGCCTTGGACCCCCACGAGGAGCAAGTAAAGTCGAAGAAGAACGAAAATTCCGAGGCTGATAAAAATAGGCCAGGGATCTTCGAGTGTAATAATCCCCCAAATATTAATACCCCCGGTGCTGGTCGTATCCGTATAATCGGGAGGAGTGGAGCCCCGTAACACCAGTTTCTCCGTTAAGACAAACGCCACGGTTCCACAATCCGTGAGAAATGAGAGACCAATCCAAAATACAAGAACTGCATTTTTACCCTAATTATTTACATAGTAAAAAGCACAAATTAAAAAATTAAATGGTTTATTTAATTACATAGTAAAATTTAATTTGTCTTATTAATACCAGAAGTATTGCACTCCATAAAACAATGCTGAGCAGAAATCTCAAAACTATGAGAAAGTTCCATAAAATGTTTTTCCAGAAATCTGTAGACTTTTCATAATTATAAATATAAAATCAGTTTATGAAATGATATAAAAGCAGCATTATGTTTTCAAAAAGGTCACCCTGAGTAGCAGTTTCACCCCGAAAGTACTTGTGTTCCAAACTCGTGTATTGCAACAAAAGCCAAAATGAGTTGCAGATCTACATAATTGGAATAAATAAATAAGGACCCATTTTAGGGATTAAATGAAGACATGCACGTGAAATTTTGAGCAAATACCGTATCCAATAAAGCCAATGTTAAAAGTGCACATCCAATCGGTTGGAAAAATCGAAATAAACGGTTCATTTTGGTGCTAAGCGGATGCGAAAAAATGCACAATGTTCTCGGGACGAACGGTTTCAAACAAATGAAGTGTATACGGAAGTGTCAAGACGAGTAGAAAACTGCATTGCTAAAAATAATCGCGTAAGATCATGAACTGCTGCTGCTGGTTTAGGTTTATGGCATCATCATCGTCCAGATCATTCCGAAACAAGTTAACCGAAAAGTGCTGAAAACAGCGACTCGGGAGAGATTGCATATGAATATGGCCAAGTGTATAGCGAGATTGTGCCGACACCGACAATATATATAAACTTTCAGAGAATTTTCAGAGAATTTTCACCCACCGCAATTGAATGAGATCATGTGACCAAATCAACTCGACTATGCATACTTCATGATGATGTCACGTAATTTAGAATATTTAGACTAAAAGAACCACGCGATAACAATGAAATAGAGGGTTGAGACTGTTGTTTATGTATTTCTAAAAGAACGTTATAAATCGTAAGGCTTATATTACGTATTCTCTAATTAACCGTAGATCTTCGTGACCGCCGTTTTACGACATCCTTATTCCGTTCCGAGTTGACATTATTAACACGATAAACTTGATTAGCCTTACCATCCAGTTTGGAAAATTTATCAGCTTCCGGCATGGGTTTCCCTTTCCTCTGTTTAGATTCTTCAACACATTTTGAAGCTTGTGTCCCAAAAAAGCGAATACAAAGCGTCACAATGATAACCACGAGTACAAAAATATTTCCTAAGATGGCCAATACAAATATAGATCCTATCGCCCAGTGTCGAAGAAATGGGAGGAAGGGAGCCCCAAATAAAATAAAGGCGAGTGCACTCACAAAAAATATACATATTCCTAGCGCCACGTCCCCATTCATAAATAAACTTAGCATTATAATATTTCTTAAGCAAATTAATCCGTGACGAAATACTCCTTCTCGAATTTTAGAAAATCTTCTTCAGTAAATGCGGACCCTGAGGAGGTGTCGGGTTTATTTTTCTTTCCTTTTTTGTTTTTCCTTTTAGATTTCTTATCGTCCTCGTCACTAGTTATCGCTGCCGGAATTGGTGCTAGTGGGATAGTGGGCGTTACCGAGATTTTTCCGTATTTCTTAGCTCGTGAAGAGAATTCAAGTGCTTTCAAAATCTTCAAGTTCTTCTTCAACACTTCCGCTGAGGATAATCTGCTCTTTTTCTTCTTCTCGATGGATTTTAATTTTCCTAAACGACATGACACATTTAAATATTGGTATACTTGTTAATTTAAATAAACAACTAATTAAGTAAGTAATTTGTATAATAGTCTTCTCACTCTTTCCTGAATTATCTACCGGTCTGGGCGTATCTTCAGAAACTTCGAGAGCTTTTCGGACAAGAGCTGCAGACATGGTTATTTTGACATTGGCGGAAGTCAAACTAGAAATGTAAAATTTTGAAGAAATATTTAAAGTTTACTATTTTTAATTATTATTGGAAGGAGGTCTGGAATAAACACGTGTTATTTGCAAAATGTGAAATGAGAATCGGGGCGTAATGCAACCGTGCCAAGTTGAAAGTTTGTTATTATTGTTGTTGCGAGAAAGGATTGACATCGACCACGCATCGATCTGTATTATTAGTTATTAAATACTTAATGTCAATTAAGGCTTAATTATTAATTACTCTTGGTCGGCCTTGAATCCATTTCCTCCAGTGATGGGAAATGGGTCACGACCTTGATCAGTTTTACAACACCTTTGCACTTTGGCACTTGCCACTTCTAACACGACATAGATTTTGAATTCGATAAAAATTAATTTATTGATTGTGCGTCAATTAGAAGAAATCGATTTATCGGCTTAATTCCATACGTTTGTGACGCGGAACAGTATTGGAGAGGACGTGAGAAGGGATGCCAAAGTACGAAATGTCGTACAAAAAGGCTTCAAGAAAACGCTCTAGCTTGAGTAAGTTATGCTTCTAAGATTTAATTGCAATGTAAATATTAACTAGCTTTCTATTTTGTATTTTCAACAGAAAAAGGGGAATCTATCCTACCTCTAGGATTCCAATCCCGATTGAACGATCTCTTCAACCAGATCGAGAAAGAGTGAGTTAATTTGCAAATCCAGTAGCACTTGCCCATGAACTATTTATAATTTCTCCAATTGAATTTTATCGTTACGTATTATGTGTAAATATCTAACATCTCCCAAGTCGCCAGTGGGCTCATTTTTTCTATTTATTTTCAAATAATTGCTTACCGTAACGCCTTGCATACAGAAGTTGTTGGATATTTTCCAGAAAAAAGGAAAACTTAAAGTTTCGAAACTTTCAGGTTCGAAGCTCAGTATGAGGCTCTGTATATGGAAAATCTTGCTCGTAAATTATTTTTGCTATACATTACATAACTAGGTAGATGTGTTTTCTAGATGAAAAATTCATTTTGTTTAGTTCATGAGAAGCTGGAAAATTTAACAACATCAGACCTGCGTGGAGAGCCTTCGAGCCTTATTTCCAATCCGGAAAAACATGACGGATTTGACGTGCCTGATACACCGAGTGGAGGACAAAAAAGCATCTTGGGTAAAGATAAGGCAAAAGGTCAGTCGATAATTATTAAGGTTATACGATGGTGGTAGTGTACAGTTTTTTAAAAATAATTTTACTTCAAATACTTCAGGTGGACTTCCAAGCCAGCAGAAGGTTGCACTACGGCTAAAACAACAGACGAGCAAGATCGTTTCCAGTTTCAAAACTAATATCGTCTCTTGCAACTACGTTAAAGAATTTGCGGGACACAAGGATGGAATTTGGGATGTTACAGCGGCTCGAATGGGGATTGGCGTTGTTGGAACGGCTTCTGCTGGTTTGTAGTAATTTTACTGTAACAGTGTGAGGTCTAGAATGTATGTCAGACATTCTTATTGCTTTCCAGATCACAAAGCTGGAGTGTGGGCAATTGATTCGGGTCGGTGCCTGTTAAAATACCAGGGACATAATGGGTCTGTAAATTCCATACGATTTCATCCTTCAAGAGAGTTGGCTTTGACATCAAGCGGCGATCACACAGCGCACATCTGGCAGGCGTCGGTGGCGTGGGAACAAATGGTGACCACACTTAAACGTGGTCTATAAATAATCAGTTATGATTTAATCTTGATCGTTTTTAATTAGATCCAAAAAGGAGTCTCATCCGAAGAAGAATTCGAGTCATCGGAAAAAGAAGAGTACGATGACAATGTGGATGGTCCCGTGGGTCTCGCAACGTTGAGAACACCTTCCTCGGTTTTAAATGGACACACATCCGTCGTGATTTGCGCAGACTGGCTGCCTGGAGGAGATCAAATAATTACGGCTTCCTGGGACAGGAGTGCTTGCCTTTGGGAAAGTTGTTTTTGTTGAAAATTTATTCAGGTTTCCTTCATGTACAAAAAATCTCAAATAGTTTAATCTTTCTTAAATTGGCCCAGCATTGGCTCAAACCCCCAAAATAACTTAACAAAGTCACAGATCTCTCCCCAGGAAGTAGAATCAACAAGATTTATAGAAACACACTTATTTGTTGAATAGCCTAGATCAGACTTAGGTCGAATGGGATTACGCAACCCTAACAAGTATGCAACATAACCTGCAATAATCATTTTAGCCTCAATCGACTTTGTCTTAATTTTCTTTTCATGATCATCGTCACACTTTGAGAGAAGGTAGCAGGTCATCGTGGGAGGTTTTACTCCTGCAGATTCAGCTCTAGCCTTAGTGATTCGCATGTACTCACTAGCACCATCAGTCTTTTTTCCTTTCTTTAATCGGTCCTTGAAATCGGGGGTCTCACTCCACCCAAAGTACCACATGTTCCGACTCATGATGGCATATAAAAACGACATCCCTTTGCCCGGTTTTTGTAATGCTGCTGCTGCTGTTGCGGTAGTGATGAAGGTGGTGGTGGTGGGAGTGGTTGTGAAGGTGCTGGTGAGGAAGTACTCTCCTGGAAACAGATACTTGGCCTCTACCCTCTCCTCCGGTGTTAAGTGGCGACGAATTTTGAGCTCCATCCCAGCTCCTTCAGTCGAGCATCAATCTCACCTTCCATTCCGTAACAGAGGGGGATGAGATTGTCGAGGTTGATGAATTTTTGAGTTCCGGGGGTTTCATGAACATACCGATTGTCTAAAAATGCATAATAATAATGTTAAAGTCACAACTCTTTACTCAATAATGCACATTTTCGAATCAATTTCACTCACAGACTCTAATGACAACTTTTTGAGAGCGTCTCCCTCGTTGGCAAAGTGGTTCATGGAAATTGCCTTGGGAATGGGACGAATTTTTAAACCTTTCGTGGCACAATAATTTAACCAGACCGAGTTCTTAAGACACACACGACCAAGGTTAAATTCCGCCTCATCATCCTTCTGTTTGTCGGATACATTTAATTTAACGGAGATTAGAAATTTCATGTGTAGTTGGACCATAACGTCTTCCCGATTATAGTCGGTTACTTTCACCACGGTGTAAACTGGCTCAGGTTGATGATGAGTACATTTTGGGAGGACATCAGTTGAGAGTGTTTGATCGTACTGGTAGCATTCTATACAATAATATTGACACATTATTTCAATGCATTTCGCAAACAATAATTAATTCACATGAAATATACTCACTGGGTTCAGTACAAAGCCTGTAAGCTTGATAAATGCCTACTCCGTTGTGAACTTTTGGTTTCTCTACACACAAATGAATAAACCCGGTGGTGGGGGCTTTATGAATGATGAGACTCCATCCAGGCTTGTCAATGACAGGGACACGACCTCCTTTCTCGAAAATCTTGGTAAAAAGGAACTCTCTTTGTTCATCTGTCAGACCATGATCTTCCTGCGTCAAAACAAGTTCAGGTGACGCCTCGTCTATGTTCAGACCGGCAGAGGAGGTAGACTCGACACCAGCCAACTCCAGTATTTTCCGTTTAGTGATATCCACCCCTTCATCTATATAGTATGTTTATTATAATTTAGTAATCAACCAATAATAATAATGTTCACCCACCTTTTGTTATTCTTCCGACTCGAGCATCCGATGAACCCGAATATTTAATTTGAAACTCGTCAGCCAAATTCCCCTCTTTGATATTAATTCCCCTCCCATCTCTCAATCGTCTCTCTTCCTTCACCTCTATATCCTCCTCTTGAGCAACGAGTGACCACTGCACGGGTTGAAAATCCTGGTCGTCTCGAGCAGAACTTGTGGCGGTCACCGATTTTCTCTTTTCCTTATCTTCCGTCCCAGCCGGATTCAGTTGACCAAGGGGAGCGAGAGGATGTTTCGCTTTCTCCACGGTTAATAGTTTGTCAGGGGTGGGTAGAAGTGGCGCAGGGGTAGGCTTCACTTTCTTGGCACTGTAATACACAATAAAAATATACATTTAAATAATAAATTATTATTGGGAGGAGGAGGAAAAAAACTCACGTCTTTTGTTCAGCAGCAGGATTAGAAGCTCCAGCAACGTTCTTCTTCTTAACCACACGTGGTCTCTTCATCTGACTTAATTGGAAGTCGTCTGAGCATGACCCGCCCCCCTCCATTATCAATTACAAAAAGTGAACAGAGCAAAAAAATAAGGTTGTTGGTGGGCCGGTGAGTAGAGTGAAAGGAGGATGAATTCTATAGTGAATTATTTGTGATGACCGGGTGATCGGGGGATTGTAACACACGCCCCCAACCTTTTCTGTTTTTGAATATCTCAAACTTTCCAATAACCTAAATTGAAATGCAAATGAATATAATTTATGAATATAATTCCTATATAATTAGGATACATTAACGGGCGAAAGACTTCAAACATTTTGCGGTCATGATCAAGAACTTAGTTACGCGTCTACTCATCCCACACAAAAGCTAGTTGTGACTACGAGCAGAGACGCTACATTTCGCATGTGGGATCTACGCAGTCAAGGCTATTCAGTCAGCGTATTTCAAGGCCATACAGAGTAAGGTTTCATTTTATTCATAATTGTGTTGACCTATGCATTTTTCGTTTGCTTTACACACTCTAATAAATATTTTCAGCAATATTACAAGTGCTGCATTTACAAAGGAGGACAGACTGGTTTCGGGTTCGGACGATAGGTATATCAATTTATTGCAATTTTGTTTACTCCTGCAAAATTATTATTATCGTGGTTTTATTCACATAACAAATAAACCGTTGCAAACGAAATGTAGCAAAGGGGTGAAAACACACGGAATTGTCTTTGTGGCACGCCCACAGCGTCTTTCAGCACTTTCCCGTCGTTGTCTCACATTACCCCACGTCTCAATTTGCCCCGTTTTGACACCCCACCCGCGTAATTCAAACGTACACGACAATACCTTTCAATAGACACACCACATGACAAAAGTCATTTTTTCGACATTCGACACCTCCCACACGGTCATGGAGTCGTCGCACGTCGAAATGATGGCGATTTCTGAAATCCCCGCCAAAAAATACGTCTAAAACGGTGGCGACAAAAAATTCGACAATTTTCGACTTTGGCGTCGTCCACACGGTCACACGGTGATCGCACGTCGAAATGATGGCGATTTCTGAAATCCTCATCCAAAAATACGTCTAAAACGGTGGAAACGAAAAATTCGACACCTTTGACCGTTGGCGTCATCACCGTGGCGCCGTGACCTTACGACCTACAACACCCATCTTCGAACTCATCCATACTTCAAAAATTAGAAACACGTTGACGAAAACCGCATGCCGAAATACGAAACCATTCTAAAGTTATCGTGGATACAGACGGACAGACGGACGGACGGACGGACAGACAAGACATTTCCATAAAGGGGTTTTCACCCCTTAATAAATGCTAACGAGTATTGATTCAATTTGACGGGTATATCCAAAATTAAAATTATTAAACGAAAGACTTTTTGGTTTATTTATTATTTTATTGTTTAGTTGACCACACCGCTATTCTACCATCAGCATTTAAATAATATGTGCTGCTGGTGATTTAAAAAAAAGATACATCGTTTACTTCATTATACAGAACTGTGAAAGTTTGGGATATACGAAACATGCGAGCATCTCTGGTCACGATAAGACTGGACTCGGCAGGTTTGTGTTGACGGAATCAATCTTCTGAAGATTTTAATCCCAATACCTAATTAGTTATGCAGCAGTTAATGATAACCATTTTTTTTACTCTACAGTGAATCGTATTTCAATCTCTAACGCTGGATTAATTGCCATTCCACAGGACGATAGACATGTTCGTAAATATATTAGCATATTTTTTGTATAACAAAAGGTAGTTCCTAATGCATACGAAAAAATTCCGACAGATTCGCATATTTGATCTCTCTGGGCAGAGACTGGCTAGACTACCACGGTCAAATCGTCAGGTTGGTGCCTAACTTACTAGAGTAATGGAGAACAGTAAGCTTGAATAACATAAATTCTAATAATCTAATTTGGTTATAGGGTCATCGAAGAATGGTTACTTCAGCTGCCTGGATCGAAGACCAAAAGTGCAATTTATTCACATGCGGGTTCGACAGAGTCGTGATGGCTTGGCATGTCCAGTTTACGAAAGATAAAGACAAGGACAAAGATAAAGAAAAGGAGCGAGAAAAGGACAAAGATCGCGATTGAGCCAAGAAGTAAGAGCCTAACACGGATAAGTCATATATGTATATATCTACATTATGGAAAATTATAACGAAACTATGCAGACAAAATTTAGCATACCAACATAGGTGCACTCTTGCCAAATAGATAGACGAATTCGAATTTTGACTGCATGCTCTGCTCAGAAACATATATGTGGAAGAAGAGTACATTCAAGTTCATTCTCTTATTGTAATCCATCCTACCTCTCATCGTCGTACATATATATTTAACTGATATATGTATATCTCTAGTCAAGTCATTCTCAGGAGAATAAGGAATCCTTGTGAAGAGAAGAGGTTCAGGAACAGAACGAGAATATAGAACATTGGATCATTTGTCCAGCCAGCAGCATAACATATAATTCAGATTTCCTTGCCATGTATGTACGTATGTATGTGTGAAAAGTTGAGAGAGATATGAAGTATTCATGCTACTCGTTAATTTGAGTATTCAATTCATATCACCATCAATCCTGAGTCGTCCTTGTTGTCTCTTAAACGTCTTATCGAGGTTCATCTTTGTGTATCCATTCAGTATTCATTAAATGAGTCTGACGGACCGGAATCAAGTTCTTAATCATTTATTTATCTTGGTTATATTGAATGTGTAGAAGATAGATAATATTTAAACTTTTAAGGTTTGTAGAGACCTCTGAAAATGAATTAAATCTCGTTTCCTTTCCCATTACTTTTTTTCTTTTAAAATGCGAATAATAATGCAATACGATGTGATGAAAAAGAAATCAGAATCTTTTCACTAATAGTAGAAAAGGTTAAAACCTGAATAACAATGTGATATTTAAGAATGCAAATCACTCATCCACTTCCGCATAAAATGCAATTTAATCTCGAAATGCACTAGTGACATTATCAATCCAATTATCCTATTTTAAACTTTGCGTTTATAAATACCTAATATATACTTTTACTGAATACATGTACAAGTCACATCCTGATATTATTTTTAACCAAATGCAATATATCATTCATGTAGAGTAGCGATGCACTTAGATATTTAAGAACTGTCAAATTGAAATCCAGTCCGTAACAAACCAAATTGAATATATAAATTCTAAGGTGTGTGTGTGTACTATTATTGTTCTGAAAATGTGTGTAAAATGTACAAATATGAAATAGGACGTGTAATTTTAGCATATAAATAAAATGAGCTCAAACATGACCATACAAATTGAATCTGTTTTGTGACTGAATGTAACTGGTGTCGTTTATTTGCTATGTGCTGTGCATATATTGGTGGCTTTATCAGATTAACAGGATGGCAGGTTTGGGTTTTGTTAAAACAAATGAAAAGGGTGTGTACACATGTCATTAGGTATCTCAAGGAGGAAGTAAAATCCAACAGAATGCCTGGGAAGTGGAAGGTTGGAAATTTCTTAAGTCCAACGGACACAACACAACAAGATTAAATAAGATGCTGATAATGACAAACACATAATCTTTTAGAGAATTATGATGATTTTTAAGCCGGCCATCACACGTCACATACTCAACAAACTTTACATACGACGAGTGCATGCAAAGCAATAACTCGTGATTTTTGAAGTCCTTGCCAACTCGGGGACAATTTCATGCCATGAAAAAGCTGAGTCAACAGAAATCTGATACTATTTTTCCTCCCTACCACTCATACTTACATAGGCAGTCATCATCTAATAGATCAAAACTGGGAAAAATAGTGAAATCAGAGAGCTGGTGAAACTACTTTTTCTCAAGTGGATGAAAGTATGTATTTGGCAGAAAATGAGGAATTGAGCAGTGAGTGAAGTTTCAGTGAATGGATTTGACGAGTGTGAGAAAGTTGATTGATTATACTCCAGTCTGATTTTAGATTTGGAAATTGTACCTTTTTATATATATATGAAATCAGATATTCAGAAATTCTGCTTTCACCTCCTCATTTCATTTTCTCATTTCCTCAAACCCGCATAAAAAATAATCCTGATTTACAAAGCGTCCCTCGCTTCGTCTGTCCTAGGGCTCCAGCCGACTTTTTTAATGGCATTTGCATTCTTTCAATCTATCCGGGTTCGTATTTCTCCCAAGTGTAAATAAAGCGTGATGATGATGATGATGCAGCAGCATTCCTTCTTCCAGGAACACTCGACGAATGCCACATAAAAGTTTTTTTTGGCAAGGCGATGCGATATGGCGGGACCTTGTTTTCATGAGTCCCGACATCGTCGGCTTTCTCCGTTTCCGAATTTCGGATCAATGAAAACAGGAGGGAGGACCTTTTTGGGTCTGTATATACTACTTTTGCTACTGGTCCATAGGTCTCCAAGAACTCGTATCAAGTGGAATCCATCCAAAAAGAGAAGTATTAAGTGAATGCAAATAAACGTGAGACTTGTACAAGTGGAGCCCGTACTTAAGCGTTGACGACTACCTGCTAGGTTTATACCATTTGAATTTGAACCATGTCTGGTACGAAGCCAAGTATTAAACCGGGTCCATGCCACTAACGAGAGAAGAGGAGACGACGAGAAATAATATTTCAAACGCCTACTCGTCATCATCATAAGGATGGAAGGCAAGTCATGCTTTTAGAGTGGAATTCTCTGTAATAGGAGGAATAGCGAGGGAGGGAAGAAGACTGGCTGGGCATCAGTTCCGGACGGTTTTATTATAACCCCAAGCTGTCAAGCCTGCAAATACACGGGTGCAATATATATATAGCGCACACTATATACGGCTCCAAAAACAAGATCTCTTCTCTTTAAGGATATATACCTACATAGCATTCCGTATATCACATTTGTTACCCTTCTTCGTCTCTCTTGCTTGACTGCCTGGGGTTCTTTCTTCGTATAAAGTGGATATGCATTAGCTCCAATATCTTGAAAACTTTGCCCTGCTGGGCTTCTTCTCACTCCCTCTCGCTCTTTTGGGAAGGCTTCTTACAAAAACATGCACTGACGGACAGCCTGGTCCGACGGTCTCGCTTCATGTTGTTGTCGACTCTTATAGAAAGGTTGGAGTTCCATGAAATCCAGAAAGGGTGCTCCACAAATGAGGAAATCTAAAAATATCAATGAAATGCAACGTTGTTACAAAGACTGGTCATACAAATGACATGCAACAATGGGATACAAGTAGTTTGTAAAGGTGTGAATTGACAAAATTTAGAGATAGGTGTTAAAAGTCGTTGCACCGAATTAACATGTTTCTTGGAAGCACCCAGATAAGGTTTATTATAACTTTTTGCTCCGAAATACCTACCTAAAACCTTTTTACTACTATCCACCACGTCTGGGTCTGATATTTATTATCCTCCATGCATGCATGCATGCATTCATCCATCCATCCATCCATCCTCTTAAAATCCTATCCATCCTCGCCCTCCACATCATGATGCTGCTGGTTTGGCTTGGCTTCATCTCTTTTGCAGGTTGGATATATTTGGAACTTCGTTAAAGCGAACTTTCCTTCTTCGCCTGAAGCTGCGAGAGAGATGCCAAGTTAAATAAAATAAATGGAACGGGTTGAAATGGAAAAGCGAGATTGAGTACGAGGTACGTACGTTCGTACGTATACTATAGTAGGCAGCTTCAACTTACGACTTGGGTTGTACATCATATACGTGAACGCACGAGGGGGCTAGGTCCAACATCCAGCACCATTATTAGTACCAAAGTCTGAAGCGCATATCAGACCGACTCGGAGCGGCGAGGACGACCTTCTCTCCAGCGTTAAAGCAGTCTTCTCCATACTTATCCAGCAGGCCCGACTCCACACCAAGTACGATAATAAAGCCGAGGCAGCAGCCAATGGGCGGATAGACATATCCGACCGACCAAAAAGTAGTAGTGGGGAGAGACCTGCACATAGTTTAATAAGAACAAAACTTAGTCAGAGAACAAGCAATTCGTATAATAATAAGAGAACGAGTCACAAGCTATTCCTATTACGCCAAGCCAACCAACAACGCTCTCGCTGGAGAGATACGTGTATTTTCAAAGGCTTTTTGCAGCTTAAAGGAATACATATATATCTCGGGTTTCGTTAGGCAATATAAAATTCTCTGCATCCATTCCATCCATCGAAACAGCTCGAGATACACCACACAGGATAGCCATTACGGAGGAAGGCTCTTCTACACTACTACACGCCACGCAATATCTATCTCTGGTTCTGGAAGACCATACACAATCCATAATAATACCACCCTATTCTGCATCTGCATATACATACACATCTCTCGGAGAGAAGAACCACATAGCCACCAAGTTGAATACAATTCAATCCATCCTTCAACCCCAAGCAAGTTTTACAAGCGTCTCCTTTAAGAGCATCACCACTACTTTTACCCGTATATTTATAACAAAATAATATTATACCTCCGACTTTAGTACGGTTTAGGACGACCAGGACATAGCGCGTTCACCACTTACTTACTACTACTTTACTTACTTTTACATTATTACAACATACAACAGTAAAGTAAGGTACTATCAACTATTATTCTATTCTCTCTCTGTGTGTGTATGTGTGCCCTGTTGGCTAATACTATTCCCATCTTCCCTGGTTTGCTTACATACTTATTATTTGGTTACTGGTACTGGTCTCGTATCGAATCCTATCAACTCCTCTTCGCATATTTGGTACGGACACCGTTCTTCTCATCATATATTGCATTGCATTACATTACATATTATATATTATTACACATTACTCCTCAAAGTCTACACAACACTGGGTTTTGACTTTACATATAAATTCCAATCCACACAAGACGAGGAGACACTACATTGCACACACAACACGGACCGTTTTTCTCCCTATTCGTAATATCATATCATCATCATCACACAACCGCATTACTGACTTACACTTTATATGTAACATCAAACAGAAAAGAGAAAAACAGAACAAAACAAAACTGTGAAAGAAGTGTGAGTGAGTATCTCCATCTCCTACTTACATACTTACTACCTATCGTTGTTCTCGTGTTATTACTTGATCACTTATTGCATATAATATTATAGTATTGAGTAAAGATCATCATTCATACTCGTTTTAACTTTTACTACTTCTACTACTACCACCACTACTACTGCAACTATATTCCGATTATTTCCACTACCGACTTTGCCTTTTGGATAATGTAGTCCTACATACATAAGACTTATTATATGTAGTGAGTAATAACAATAATAATACGCAATGTGTAACACAACAAAATGATAATTACACTTTTGCATAGTCAGTCAGTCAGTCAGTCACAACATTAAATAAACCTAAATAAACTAACCCACGCATTCATTTTATACTTGTGCGAGACCATCGACGACCATTACCGGAATGTAAACTAATACTAAACGCACTTTTTTTTACTCTTGGAGGAAACCATGCAATCTGTCGTTCCAATTATCATGTGCTGCATAATATTCGGCTGTTCTTGTACATAATTGAATTGTTTCTGCACCAAATTGGAGGAGAGAGAATGATGGATTCGGACAAAAATACTTGATCCATTAAAAAGTTTTGTGTTCTTACGTCGGTCGTGGTGTTAATTTTGTTTTCTTGATTTCTATCACAGTTGGTTCTCTGGAATGCTTGACAAATTGCATTCATCAAGTCTTTCGTAGAGTATTCTTCCACGTCGTTTTATTCGTCGATTCGTCAATCAAGAAGGTTCCACAAACCTCAAAAGATTACTTCTTATCTTGAACCGGCGGATAAGCGAGCAATCAACGAAGCCTAAAAATGTGTCAAGTGCAATAATTGATAAGAGACATAGCAAAAGAAAACCAGATTTCTGATAGTAACCATTTCCTTAACGTGTACATGGGCCTTTTACTTCAACTCCAAAGAATCACACAAGTTTCAGGTTTGGCAAGTTTCGAAAAAGTATTGTTGTTTGCATGTGAGTGATTCCGCTGCTCGTTAACTTGTTCACCCCTCTCTCCGTACTCCGTGTCTGAAAAACAACAACAAAACAACAATCACTCACATTTTTCTTGAAATTGGCAATTCCAATGCTACTTCCAACTACAAGAAGTTGATTTTGAGATTCAAATGTGGTTGTTTATATAAACCTTGAAACTTGAAAAAACTTGGGGGGTTATTTTACTTGAAGAGTACAAGTCGTGTGACTGAGATAACATTTTATAAAACTGGGATTCAAAAGGTTTCAAAGTGTTTGTGGACATTATTGAAAGTGCTGCCGATCACAGCGACCGCAGCACGGACATCAAGCCAGCCCTCGTTCTTCTCGACAGGTAAGCATGCTTAATTAGTATTAATTGTAATGCAACTAGCAAATTCGTTTGTAAAAAAAACTTAAACCTACCAAAAACCGCAACTAGTGACTAGTTCGCTTAGTTGAAGGCGTACTGGATTGTAAGAACAATATTAAATTTTGGCGAGATTAATTAAATTAACTAAATGTGATGACACTGGCACGACAATGAACTTCATACCGTGATTCACAATTGAAATAAGGATTTTGATTTGAAATTTAATTTAAGTTACATAAATCACAAATCCAAAGATTTACGATTTATTTTCCAAATTATGTCCATCTTTGAGAGGCTCAAATTGAGACTCAAAGTTAGAGTAGTAATCAAATTAGACACTTACCGAACCTCGATTACAAACATGCAATGAAAAATTACCAGTTAATTGTTAATTGTGAACAATTGTTTAGTTTAGTTAATTAATTAATTACTCAACAATCAAACACAAAGAGCGAGGCACGAGCCGGCAAATCAGTAAACTTTTTAAATTTGGAGGGAAAGCGCGCATCAGCAGAGATCCAGCACGAACAACGTTTCCGGTTATCACAATTTTGAGAGGATCGTTCGCTCTGTTTCTGATCTACAATTTCCAAATAACACAAGTTTTAAAAGAATATTTTGTTTAATTGCAAGTAAAACGACTTTGATCGGAATTTCCTCATCATTCTTTCAGGGCAAAAAAGCTCAATTTTCGCAAGTTTTAAGTGTTCACAATTTTTGAGTTTAATAAGATTTGCTTGGTTAATTGAGATCTTCAAGTTTATAAAGATTTAACCATTGTACGTAATGTTTTGGTGCGACAACGATTTCAACAACTCTAACAACCTATTATCGGTGACATTGGTCTTGGGTGGTTGCGAGTTTAACATTCGGTGAGCAGACTACAAAGTTAGGTAAAGTCAAGAGGTGTGTAATGTAATTTGATTTGATTGAAAAGTTCGAACGAAACATTGCAAGTTACTTGAGGTTACAATATAATATACTGCAAAATGCACCAGGTTTCCGCCAAGGATCTTTCGATAAGGTAATGCCACATTTTTTGGAAATTTTAAAAGTTCAAACATCACTTTTTATCTGGTCGAAAAAGTTTGAACCAATTTAGGGTTTTGCAACATAATTACTAAACCGCAATTAATTTATACTTATGACTGGGGGCTAGAATTTAATTGAGATACAAAAATATCAAACATCACAGCACACTTTTCCATTTTGCATAATTTAATAATTTTCAATTTACTACATTCCTCAATAGTCAATATTCTGCATTGCACAAAACAAAAGATGCAAAAAACCATCAACACCTCCGGAAGAAGGAAGAAGCTTAGATAAAAAAACAACAAGAAACAGTCGTTGCAAATTGCATCTCTAGATTTTATCCAATTTTGCTTACAATCAAATAACGCAAGTAAGTAAAAAATAAACAAATGTAAAATTAAGAGTCAACATCACATTAGGTAAGGTTAGGATATAAACAGTGTGTCCGCATTTTCAGGTGCAAGGACAAAGAGAAGGCCGAAGGTTTAAATTTATTATTATTACAACACTCATTCACATATATACAAAGTGTAGCAAAGTTAGTAAACTAATGTGTGAAGCAAGTTGAGGAGGAAAGGAGGAATATGCACATAGAGTTGATGCTGATATAATACTGACAAAAAGGTATAATTATACTCGCTTTATGCGATATTATTATTATGTAAGCAGAGCAATCGTACGTAATAGTGAGTGAGTGATAGGAGAGAGAGTATTATTATTATAAAGCAAAAGATATACGGGTAAGCAGTTAGCACAGAGAGCGCATATAATGGCAAATTGTGAATGAAACCTCTCTCTTATAAAATAACCACAACAAATCATCCACCTTTTAAAACTATCAACTCTTTCAAACTATTCCGTATTCGTCGTCGTCTCGGTTAGTAAGTAGTTGTTCATATTGAATAATAGAAGCTGTGTGCACACTCACTATAGAATAGATTTTATACGTGTTTCATACCGGGGGAAAGAAAGGCAGGCAAGATTACACAGATTGAGACTTGAGAGAGAGAAGTACTATAGTTTTGTGCAGAAGCGAGTTTTATAGGCGTATCTTGTTTTTACTTTCTTTATAAAAGCATCTCTTTGGCTGGATTGGATCGGATTATATATCCGTCGCGTCTTGTTCTTATTTGACGGATCAATGGAATATACATACACCACCAGTCTCGACAAAGTAGACAAAATACGGGGTGAGCATGCATGTATAAGACTACTTCTCGTGTGTCCAATTTATATTATTAGTTAGTTAGTGGGTTGGTTTTGGTTGATAGTAGTCGAGAATTGGTCCGTGTCTCTGGTTTTTCTGGGGGAAGGATATCCTTCAAGTAGGTTTATACCAATTTATTTATATGTAAAGGTTTCTCTCACGTGCTGGCACGTCTCTGTTATGCCATTTACAAGAGACTTGTTCTATAATAATATCATCCTTTTATCCTCCTATACACTTTGTTTTCAAGTTTTTGGACTGTTTTATACCGGCTTTTTCCTCCAACTAAAACCAATTCACTTATTGGATGGATAGAGTACTCACGGTGCGGTTGTTAGACTATAGTTCCCTATGGTTTGCTTGGATAAGTGAATGAGAATTATTTACGTCGCGTTCGCACATGGCGTGCAGTTTCCTATGTGCTCCTACCTACTATCTACTAGCACACTTCATTTGGATATAATATCGGACTTTATACATATATTGGACTTGGATGGATCCACTTTCCACCATAATCATGGTACTGTTGACGTTTTTTACCTTTCTCATTCATGGAAATTTGCACGGCTCTAAATAAAGTTGCCAATTCTCAAGTTACCCCATACTTTTTGCAAATTCATACATAGATTTTTGGTGTTGGTGCCATCGTTTTTGTTGCAATTTGTATAAAATATAAATTAACACCCAACTTGACAAAGTTGCAAATATAATTTATTATCCAATTTAGCAGCAGAGCATGGGCTAGACTGTCTGAGAAGAAGATCTGATTTGAGCAGAGGATTAGCAGCGAATTTTAACATGGAGGTGTTATGGATTTTTTACTGGGGTATTTTGTTATTGTACAGCACACACACCTGGACATACATAATAGAGGCCAGTCAACTTCATCCTTCATCCTTGTTCGTGTATAATAATAATACGCAGCAGATCGCAAAATCTCACGAGGAGAGGACAGTGTGGGGATGATTAATGTTTGTTTACCTTAAATTATCCGTACTGCTCCTCCTGCTGCTCCTACTTCGTTCGACTCGAGTTTGTTTGATGATGGATGATAAAGTGATAAAGCAAATGTCATTTTTTGTCATTTCATTCAGACAGATATTGAAGTGGGCTAGACTTTCCAGCAGGTACAAGAGATGTACGTTACGTCCACTGGGCGGTATCGATCTATTGATTGGTTTCATATTATAAAGTCCAATCCAAATGCATGTTCTTGTAAAGGTATCGATTTCAGGTCGTGTATCATGTGCTCGGTATGTGTATGAATTTTGTAACAAATTTCACCCAATTGAGAAGAGTGAAAGAGGAGAACTCACGATTCTCACTTTGCCCCTTTTGAAGAGGATGCACCACGGTTTTGAGACTTTCTTTCGGTGAAAGCTCGCAATTTTTTCTCAGTCTTTTCGTTAAAGCTAAATTGTTTGTATCGCCACGTGTTTGAGAATGTGCGTTAAGTTGTCGAGCATTGAACTGCAGATAAGCCTTTTTACATTTTTACACTCGTACACATTTACTGATGTTGTTATCTATGTGGGGCAAGCAGAGCAGCCAGACTACAAAGCACTATTCATCAATATATACTCGACCCAGTATACATAACTACTTGTTAACTTTATCTTTACAAATTATTCGTGGCGATAAGGCAAACTAAACTGTGAAAATGTGGCGCGTTAAAAACGGCCGTGCAAGATAACCTTTTGCAAAAAAGGCTGGTATGTAGCCAAGTTGAGAGAGGAAGAGTGGATTGAGTCAATGCAATAATTGACAAAGACAACTGCTTTCACTTTACCCCCAAAAAATAACGACGGAAGTGAAGGTCAAGGCAAACTAATCTAATATATGAGCCACTCCTCGTATAACAATAATACAATAATGCTGACTTCTTGACTTATTGATTTTCTTCCGCAAAGAGAAGGAAAGAAAACAGGACGATAAATGCAGTTTTTGCATTTCTTCTATTGCTATTCATGCGTGCGTTGTAGATTTATTTGCATTTTTTCACTGGGAATGCACGTAGTTGTACTTTGATGTTGAGGAAACGTGACTTATTACGTTTCATTGATCGAATTGAAGGGAATGTATCGAATATTTGAAACTATAGACCCTTTTCCACTCACTTATTCCAATTTAAAGTTGGATCGAAATATAGAGGAGAAAGTCAGGCATGCATATGTGCACTTCACCTCCACATGTATCAAGTTGGTACATAAGTTGGTTATGCAAATATTACATGAGCCGAGTTCACAACAAGTTTTACCAAGTTTTTACCTTTTTTTGTCAAGTGACATCTCCGTTTATTCCCAGCGTGACAGTTTACTACTTCTTGCAAGCGCTGCACAGTGCACAAGATATGGAACTTGTTGTTTGAACTATTTGTTTCAATTTGCAACTCGAGTGCCGTTTATTTCTTGAATTGACGGCGGAAATGTGATTTCTAGCTGCACATATCTAGTATATTATGGGTTTTCTTGTACTTATGTGCATCTACGGTATGCCATTGTGTGTTAATGGAAGGAGACATATTTTGACCTGGCTAATAATATTTCTGTGTTTAGATCGAGAGGAGCTTTTCTCGTCGGTGACGACAGTATGAACATAAATGGTCCGGGGCCAATAATGGATATGTCGATGAATCCGAACGGCTATCACCAGCCCTACCTGCCCCCCTCCATGATGCCCCCGCCACCCCCGCACAACGTTTCTGGCGGCCCACCCCAACATCACAACGAAGGACAGATGAACGTCGGTCCCCCGCAGCAGCAAGCCCCCAGCTCCCACCCTTCGCAACAGCAGCAGCAGCAACAACAGCAGCAAGGAGTAACAAATCAAAACCAGGGGGGTAACGCCCCCTCGAGTAATAATGCCGGAGGTTCCAATTCCAATCCGGGTAGTGCCAGTGGGGGTGAAAATTCTGGCGGAATGGGGGGTGCGGGTTCCGGCGGGGAATCCTCCAGTCCTAATAAGAAGCAGCATAATAACAAGTCTTGGCCTAAAAAGAAAGTTTATAAGAAACCTGACCCTAATGCACCCAAACAGCGGAGATTTTCGGGTAAGGAATACTTAATATTAAGATGTCTGCTGGCAGAGGAAAATTATTCTGTAAACTTTCTCTTCACATTATATTTATATGGCCATTATTATTATTATGATATCGTAGAGTAGTAAGTAGCTTTTGTGGTTTGGTTGCAATTTGTTGGTTTGAATTCTTACACTTTTCCGAGTTATTTATTACCCAATGTAGAAAAAACTTTCTTTTCTCTTTCGAAATCCAGTCATTGTTCGCCACTTGAGAGTTTTATCCATCTAGGAGAAGAAGAAAGAGTGGAATTTCCCAGCAGACGATGCTACATACGCTATAGTATTATAGCTTAGACCAAACCGACTGTCAGTATTATCGATTGCTTTCTTCGCTTTGGTTTCCTTCCTCGTTAGTTGGCATTTTGGGTGGGTTGGCGTCAGAGAAGAATAATGGAAGATTTGCTGGCTGTGGGTCTGGTCTCTGTGGCTCTCTATCCATCCACTTTATTTTACTTTCTCTCTCTCTCTCTGTTCTCCACCCTCGACACCCACTACCACCACCACCACTACTCCAATATTCCCTCTCTCTATCCGCCTCAGGGGGGGGAAGAAAATATAGAGAGAAATGAATGTGAATGTATTTTTATTATTACGATGCGAGGAATTCATAATAATCAGAAAACATCCGACACTTTGGAGATGGATGGGTCCTTTTTAGCAGTTCAAACGATAATAATAATAATAATGAAATGGTTTGGGGGCAGATTTGTGTTGAGATTTTGAAATTTATTTCATTTCTTGTTTAGGGGTGTGGTCTGTCTCACCGAAATTGTTCAAAGATATGGAGAAAACATGTTGACTATGAAATGGGATATAATTAATAATTGCGTTCTGGACTTTCACCTTTGTTTTTTTTCTTTCTTCCCTTTTACAAATTGATTTTACTTTCAATTTTGGATAAAATCCGTAGCTTTGTTCCTTTCTCGCAGCAGCATTATTATTATTCATGTCATGTACGTCACCATAATTTCCTTTTCCCTGCTGAGGGAAATATCGCACTTGCATACGAAATTGGTGAGGGTATAGTAGTTTATGAAAGTTCCTCTTTCTCTTTGAGTAGTAAAAGAAGAAAATGTAATAAAATCCAGGAGAGGGGTGGGTGGATACGACTTATTTTGTTTGTCGGGTGGACAAATGTATGCTAATTACTCTTCTCTCTCTCTCTCTCTTGAGTCGGTAGAGTTTTTATTTAGTTTAGATGGAGAAGTTTAGTTTGATTTTGATTGCATAATTAAGGGGGAGTAATACTTGTGTGAGCTGTGCAATTGCCAAGGGAGGAAGGGATATATCAACCTACAATGAAATCTGTCGGATTATTTTTCTGTGAGGTAGAATATTTGAATGATTTTTAACTACTGAATGCAAACTTGGTAGTATTATTAGGACGTGTTTTTAGTTTAGTGATGCAGCTTATTTTCTTCACGTGGCATCATTAGTAGGAGAAAGTTTTTTAAAATTGAACAAATAATCCCCATCTTATTCAAATTTGATTTTGGAAGAAGGAGATTCCCATTGTCTACAAGTGATAATGGAATAATGTGTAATATATGATTTTTTAGCATGTCTACTTCTATCTAGCTATTTATTGCTTGTTCACGTTGTGTAATAATTTGTTGATTGTATTGTTTAACAGGATACTACGTGTACATGAGGGAACGCCGTGACCAACTGCGTTCAATGTACCCGGAGATGCCTTTCTATGAGATTATCCGACAATTGGTAAGTACTAACAATGCGAGGCCGTGACCTGTTCACCTCCGATCTTGATGCGACTAATTTTAATTTGTTCAGCTACAAAAATAAGCTGACCCATATTTTTGCGTTTTCGATAATGCTCGAATTTGAGGGCGTGGCGGGAATTTGAAAACTTTTTTCAGCCCAAATCATGGATTTTCAAATAACCAGAAGTTTTTCAATTTTGGCGCGAATTGAAAAATTCAAAAACATGTATGTTCAGAATTACTTCCTTGATATTCAGAAAGTAAAAGTTTTCGAAATTTCGAAAATTCCGAAAATTTCTGAATTTTAAAAAATTTCGAAACATTGAAAAAATTATAATCAGCTTAAAAATTCAAATTTTAAAAATTTTTTGAGAAAGTATTTTTTGAAATTCAAGGAAATAATTCTGAACATACATGTTTTTGAATTTTTTAATTCGCGCCAAAATTGAAAAAGTTCTGGTGGTTTGAAAATTCAAAATTTTATCTTGAAAAAGTTTTCAAATTCCCGATACGCGTTCAAATTCGCGCATTATCGAAAACGGAAAAATATGGGTCATCTTATTTTTGTAGATGAACAAACTAAAATTAGTCTAATCAAGATCGGAGTTGAACACGTCACGGCATCGCATTGTAAGTAGTATATAGTGTATCTTAAAGTAGTATAATGAATTAAAGTGCCAAAATTCACAATTATAATTATTACACATTTTATAAATTTTATTTTTAATTTAATATTATTAAAATAATTATTAATTATTTAATTATAATTAATTATTTAATTATAATTAATTATTTAATTATAATTAATTATTAATTATTATTAAAATTTTAACATTTATAAATTTGTTACCTGATTTTATAAGGAATTTTGTTATTATTAATTATATACACATAATTATGCGTGTGTCCCACAATGCCCCGTTCATGATGATGTTACGGGCAACTTTGAAAGTTGCGACGTCATCACACGCACCTCACCTTCAACAACAGACTCCCTCTCAATTGCGTGTGAAACGTTCACTCCACCTCGACACTCTCGTCGTTGTCGTCGTACTCTCCTCCTCCAATCTTCTTCCCCCCTCCCCCTATCCAGAAGTTGACCGGTTCGGTACGAGGTAAGTTTTTTATATTTATATTTTAGCCCGAACCAAGGGCTTATGTAATCGTCATGTCCGTCTGTCTAGCGATAGCTGTCGAACGGGTTGACCGATTTCCATGAAATTTGGCATAAACATGTACCTGCGATGATCTGATTATCCCAAATTTCAGGATTGAACAACTCATTGTTTATTAGTTAAATATGGTCTCCAATAAATTGCATAGAATTGTCATTTCATAATTGAAGTGTGCAAATTAAAATAATTAAGTCAGATTCAAGATTTATTAGTGATGATGTTCATCCAGGCTCCCATAAGTCTGAAAATAAGAAGTCGATTGTCGATTCATTAATTTAGCAGAACTGAAGGGATCAAATTCAACAATTACTTATCCCATAGTAAAAGCCCCCTTTTTTCTTCGGATAGTACGAATGACACTCATAATTTGCGCAGTAATATCCAGGTTTACAATTTTTCCCTAGGCAGCACTCTGGATTGTTTACCTTCTTGCAATCTTTCTTTGCCTAAACAAAAAATGGTTCAAATAGTTTATGTATATTTTTAAAAATATTTTTTTTATGATTAACCTTGTGGTCCCATTTTGGGGGCTCGTACTTATCTTCATCGTCATCAATTCAGGAACCAAGTTCGAAGATGGCTTCGATCAAAAAAGTTTCGGACCGGTGGGGGTCATATAAGTAGTGTGCATTTGGTGTAAAATATTCGAAAAAAGGTTGAAATTCGGTATTATGGTAGTAATGGTGGTATATACTCGAAGAATGAAGTCAAATTTGAAAATTTTTCAATTGGCGAGACCCTATTAGGTGACCCACACTGGTTTTCATATATATTGTCGTAGGAAGCTGAAATTTGTCACACAGGTTGTTAGTGACTGCGGATAGAAAATTTAGAAGCAAAACTGTGAAGATATTGAACCAGAGGTAGGCTAGGGAGTAACCCATTCCGATTTTTTTCAAAATCTCCCGATGGACGTGAAATTTGGATTGGGGGGTTGCTTTGCTACTAAAATTGAGAAAATGTTGAACCGAAGGTACCCTGGGGGATAACCCATACCGATTTTTCTAAATGTTCCAAATTGTTTAATTGCATATAGATAGTCAGAGTATTTGGTAGAAATTATGTTATATAATCGGACAACTTCCTTGGTTCGGGCTAAGCAAAGCTGTATTGAGAGGTTTTTAATCAGATAATTCATTTCATATTTTAATGTTTTCTAGAATGGGGATCCCAGGACTTCTTCCAAACTTGGGGGACGCCATTACCAGGACGAATATCAGCGTTTTGTCCGGAAAGGTGGTCGGAGTTGACGCCAACATCTGGCTGTGCAAGAGCTACAACAAACTTGTAACATTCAACGAGAAGGCTGTGGTGGACTACTTTCACCGGCGTCTACAGCTCTTTGCTGAAAACAACATCCAGCCGATTTTCGTTTTCGATGGGAAAACTCCACCATTGAAGGAAGGGACCGTGGAAGATAGGCGAAAATCCAGAGATGCAGCCGGATCCACAATTTCGACAGGATCATTCTCAAGACTGATAAGACATGTTATCGTGTTCTTGGAGAAATTTGGCGTGGAAGTCATCGAAGCCCCGTACGAGTCAGATGTCCAGCTTGCAAAACTTGAGCGAGATGGCATCATTTCTGCAGTTATCACGGAAGACAGTGACCTCATCGTGCACAACTGTAGATTTGTATGAATATTAGAAATTTTTCAACATTTAGTTTTCAACATTTAATCCATTTAATATTAATATTTTTATTTCATATCACAGGTCATGTATAAGATGAACGTGAAGGGGGATGGTGACCTATACCAAAGATCCAAATTGCCCAGCTGCTTTGGACTAACCGAGGACCAGTTTTCTTTCCAGCGGTTCCGTTGGGTTTGCATCGCAGCAGGGTGCGATTATTTCAAGATTCATGGTGTTGGGTACAAAGGTGTCGACCATTTTATATATTTGTATATTTGTTACTCAAACTTACCTTCTTAATGTTACTATTTATTGTTACAATTATTTATTTAACATTCTATGAATTTTGGCACGTAAGCATTTATTAAGGTCCATAAATTTTGAATTTTGGCACTTATTAATAATATTTTTTTGTCGTGACCTTAATCGTGACCTTTTTTGAAAAAAAGGCTCAGGAGTGGAATAATATGGACCGCGAAGTAAAACAGGTGAGCGATAAGTACAATTTTTAATTGATTTTGTATAGGGAGAAAGCATCCATATTGATTGATTGAGGTTATGAGCGTCAGTACACGTACTAATTTCGGTTATTTACTTTCAGAAATACCTCGACTCTGCGGAAGCTGATAAACAAAATTATGAGCGAGAGATGAGCGCATACAAGAAGACTGAACAGGTTAGTTTGTTACTTTTAATTAAGCATTTGAGATTCATTAACATTCCTTGACACAAGTTTTAAATTTTTTCTATGATGTTTGTGCTGCTGGTTGGGCTCGACAGTACAAAAGTATGAACAAGAGGAAGAAGAAGAATCCGGCAGCTGCCCAAAATTCCACACTGGACATGTCGATGTCAGGAGCAAATGCAATGTCCACTGCCAACAGTTCGTACAATTCGCCCATGATGAGTTCGAACTTACCTGGCAGCTCTGCTATGAACATGATGAGCAGACCTTCTCACATAAATCATGATACGGGTATGGAAAGTAAGTATCGTTTAGATTTCTGATTTCACTAAATTTGTCAGGGTGTTGGATATTAGTCGAACCTGTTCATTCTATTTGGAGTATCGTTGACGGTTTCATGAGACAAATTTTTATCCCATCACTACCTCGCTCGGATAATTTGCCAATAAACAAGGTGCATATATATTTGCACAAAAACGTGAAAGAGTTCAGTCAAAAATAAAACTGTAGGTTATACACCTTAATATGCATACAATTATGTGTAAGATCAGATTTAGTCACAAACCAGCTAGAACTAAACTAGAGAGAATTTTTTAAATGCCATCATGCTGTTTTAAACCGTCAGGCGGCTGTGGACATATTCAATTGCTCATTTTTAACATAGAAAGAAACCAACACCCTGGCAAATTTCTTGCGTGGCAGAAATCACGAATCTAATAACGACGTTTTTTTCAGTACCCATTTTTACAGAGGAGTTTCTTGAGCATAACAAAGGTTTGTTGAGTTTTGCTTCTTTCTCCGTTGTCTCATTACTTTCCGCCTCTTTTTACTCAGTTTTAATTAAGTAAACATCATGACTCAACAAACTAACGAGGTAAAGCAGATCGACACAAGTTTTCAAAACCAAGTTTCACTAGTTCGAGCTGAAATGATATTTCTCTGATGAATTTGTCCATCTGCTTTCTTTTACTTTTGTTTAATTAAATTCGATTTCATCCCAGAGTGAAAACACGACAAGTTCGGAACTTGAGACTGGCAATCCCTGATCTGCAAGTCTCAAGTTCCTAAATGTTTGTTTATCTTTCTCCCTTTCTCTCCTTCCCTCTCTCTTATAATAAGAGTCTTATTGCACACTACTTATTCACAACGATAGTGTTTTATTGTTCAATTCTGACAATTCACACCGACCATGGTTGTATAATAATGGACATTTGAGATGAAGAACGAATTATGCGAAGTACGACGCACTCTTCAATACTTGACTTTTCGAGTGTCACAATATCAAGGCAGTGATATTAGAAATATGTAGATGGTAATAGCGAGTTAAGAAATGAAGCATGTTTTTGCATTGAGTATTATTGTCAAATATTTAAAATAATTATTTTTAAATTCCTTCTGTATAAAATTTTTGTATTAGTTCAAACATTTAGTTTTGCATATAATTCAGGTTTATTTATTTTGGCCAATCTATTTTTAATTTCTAAATGGTTTGCGCAGTTTTGTTTATTTAATTAGATTTTTAGAATGGGAACAAACCTTTGCTTATGGAATCAGGGATTTATCTGGTAAAAATTTTCCTGTTTGTATTCTGTCTTCTTACATCATGTCATAGCTCAGCACCAGGTATGTAAGAACCACGAGGTTATTTGTTGCATTAAAAAAAATTAAATCAATCATTGATCAGTTTTTGAAAATTAATAATGTAACAATAATGCTTGTAGATCTAGAGTCCAATCTTCTCTTGATACTTATTTTACTATCCGATTGATAAGTTGGACTCGAAAATAATGCATTAGTTTTTGGCAGAGTATGTGCGAATTATTCTTGCAAAGTGTTGATCACTAAAGTTCTGTTTTCACGGAATTGCCATTACACAGATCTACCAGCGTATAAGCCAACCACGCAACAAATTTTCGGCTATGGTCGCTATATGGAAGGTAATTAAGAGGAGACAACAAAATTGATAAGAAATTGGTTGAGGCCAATTTGCTACCAATTATGCTTAGCATGTATGATTAGACATATTGTGGGTAGATTCCCTAATTAGTCGTAGTTATCATTAGTTTATTAGCCAATTCATGCAGAGGACAGGGAAATAATGCAATGCAAAGACGACGAACCTTCTTGTTATATAATAATCCATTGTGACACGCAACGCAGTGAAACTCAAAGTCAGAAAGGAAAGTGGCAGGTCATGAATCATCACTACCCGATTAGCAGCCTCGCAGGACAAAACCGGAAGGAGATTTTGAGAGAACATTTATTTTATTGCCATGTTATTACTTTCACCTAATGGATAAGGAAGCGAGCGAGCAGCGCTGCATCATCCTTAGAAGAACAAGGAAGTGATTATGCGCTAAAGTGAAAGTGGTGGAGGTCGCAGGGCCATTATTGAATTCGTCTCTAATCCCCCCTTAATTGCCTCCTCCTCCCCAGCCTTACTTTCGATGGTCACACAGAATTGTCAGATGAAATTGAATTTTTTATTTTTCCTATATAAAACCATATTGTGTGGAACTCGCTTTCACTCTTTTTCTACTTTTTCTACTCCTCCGCATAATAACGTACAATAATTGATGAATTTTGTTTATTTTCCCCTCCAGCGAGGGAGCTCGAGTTGCGTGCCCTTCGTAAGACCGTGACGGAATGCGAAGAACAGAATGCGACTCTGCAAAAGCACGTGGAGCAAATGCAGCAAGAGATTGAAAGGATGGAACACGAGATGAGGCAACAAAAACTACAAAATGAAATGTTGAGCCAAAACTTAAATCGGTTGCGGTCAGTGCTGGCGTCGTCTTTTGGTTAGTTTCATAATATTCCCAATTTTTTTGCGAATTGTAGTTTAACGACAAAACTTTCTTTTAATCTTACAGCCTCGCTTCCGCTTCCAGGGACACACGAACCCCCCAATATCCACACGATCGACAAGTACATGAACGAAGTAAAAGCCATGCAGGAAGTAAGGGTCTAGAGCTTTCGAACACATGATTATTTATGGAGCAACATGAAGAATTTTTTATTTAAACCGTTATTTATTTTTTCAGGCAAATTCAGTTCATTTTGCTCCATTCCTGAATCGCGTGAAGGATATCATTAGTCGCCTTGAGTTATGATTTGCTTAACTTAAATTCTCTTCTTCGTTTCACATCCGACAGATCATCATAATGCGGTGGCAGGGAGAATGATTTACCACTCACAAATACCACAATTCAACAATAATGACGATGACGACAACAACGACGACGGGACAACATTTCCCAAACAACTTTCTCGACGACAAGAATAAGAGGCATTCTCCTCCTCCTACAACACTCGACTTGTAAATTCCTTCTTATAAACGTTGACCTCATACAACAACACTTCACCATTATGCGATCAACAGCATCACCATCCATCAGTTCTTCGGCCCCAGAGAAAGAAAGAAAGAAAAGAAATAGAGCGATCTCTGCAAATGCAATACAATAATCTCCTTTACTTCGTACAAAAGTAGGTTTAAAGAAGACAAAGCCATTCAACAAGTAGGAATTCACACACTTTTAGAGCAAAAGAGAGTTAATGCACGTGGCCTATGTAACTCTACTTCCAAATTTAAATTATTTATATATAGCTTCTTTCCCCATTTTGTTGATTTTCTATTCATTTTCTCTCAAAAAATGAATACTTTATGATTAAATGGTTGTTTTTTTTGTATAAAAGTTAGACTTGCCCCTTCTGTCTGTGTGTGTGGTTGTTGGTGAGTTTTTAAAGAGTTCAACAATGACGTTGTATGTATGGTGGTGTTGGTGTGTGTCATCGTCATCATTCGCCCACAGGAGAACAAAAAAATCCTATGAACCAAATTTACAAATACTGACCCACCACCATCATGTCAAATTCTTAACGATTTAACGTAATTGTCCGACTCTCCTGGACGGACTTTACAAGAAAACCCCTTGAAATTAGATGATTGAGATTAACATACACTATTAAAAAAGTACATGACGATGAATCATCGTACCATGTAGAATCTATTCATTAACTAATTTAAAATTGGGATAGAGTGCAATGAATTGTTGACGATGTGAAACGAATAAGTAGACTACATAGTTGAGCTAATAATGATAATAATAATAACAGTTACTTTATTGATGACATATATGAGTGACTTTCACTAACTGGTAATACTTATATGCAGGTGAGAGAGCAAGGAATTTATATGCATTTAATTTCTACTTATTTAAACTGTTGAACACATATAATATATACATTTATATTTGTTTTTTGTTAACTTGATAAGTTTCATAATGAATTCGATAACAAAACAATAATAACTACTTCAGTATCAGGTCAGGTCATGCCAGGTGAAGAATATGCAAATTGTACAAATTACTGAGTTCTGATAATTGGAAAAGCTTCCTAATTTTGTTATTGTTCTACCTATTAATTAATTACTAATGATAACTTTTGTAGCAAATACAACAGAGTCCTATTTATTTTGTACTGATTCTTGACTCGGATTTTTTTAGAAATGACGTAGCCTTTCCTCTTCAGGGGTTTGCATTTATTTATTGTAAATCCAATTCATTTATTACCCCACAAATTCAAGCTGTTTATATCGGTCTCATTAGTTAAGTTGTTGTACACGAGAGGAAGATTATGTAGAAAGCAGATATTCCCAGGATCTAAATTAAGATAAAATTAATAACTACTACCATGAGAAGGAAACTCGTCGAGGTAATGCAAACAAATTTTAGTTTAGTTTCTCGAGAGTGCAGAGCATTTAGGCAAGACAAAATAAGTTAAAAGAAAAACCAACAACAAGAATCCAAAGAATATAGTTCTGAGTTCTCCAAACAAAAGAAAACATAAGCCATTTGTTAATTTATATAAAACAGTACTCGAGTCTTTTTCTTCCTTGAAATCCAAATGAAATGAAATCTAATGACATTTACACCAAGTTACTATTACTTATAGTACTTATACCGTTGACTCTTAAAGAAGATGATAAGGTAGCTTATCTTTACGTTATTATTGTTATTATTATTATTATATGTATTACGTAACTGTACTGAAGTTAAATTAGTTGTAATTTTATGATAAGAGTAAAATGTAGTTGGTACACAATAACAGGAATCAATCTATGCTGAAATGTGCTATAATCTATTTATAGAGTATTTGGATATCTGTAAGAATAATATTTCACCACCAACTAGAAAGAGAAGAAGAAGAACCTACTATGCCATATTATTATTTACTTATTGACTTTGTTACTGACTTGATAATATTTATTTAAAAACAAGAGGAATTATTACCAATTATATGGTTAGAAAAGGTGGTGAAGAGATTTGATGATGCATTCTCCACTTGATATAGATTCTTACGTTGTGCAGTATCAGTAATATTTATACATATACTGCTGTATAATAGGAGAAAAGTTTTGTTATCTCATGTCCCAGTTTGATTTGGTGTTTTTTGTAGTAAAGAATATAGTTAAAATGACACGACTTGATTTTATTCCTTGCATTCAAAGTAATATTTCCATCTTGAAGCTCATATGAAAAATATCATATTACACTTTCATGGGCAATTTGAGAAATGAGAAAATTCCTTGATTTTACACAAATTGAGATTCTCAAAATCTCATTTTCATCATGGTGCAAATAGGATTTGCGAGCTTGTGCGGCGTCTACTGGAGTTTTCGCGTACTACTTCTTGACAGCTCATCCCCTCATTTGCCCGGATTTCTTCTTATTATTATTATTATTTAGTAATTATTATTGACTCACAGAAAAACTGAACTGCAGTGGAATTATTAATTTTACAACTTATCGAGTGATTAGACTTATCAACCTTCAGACTGGTTGCCAGTTCATTGTTGCTCTCCAACAATCATTGGTCAACAATAGTCGTTGAACACCTGCAATGGTTTGATTTGATTGTTACATACAACTTCAAAGATTAAATTAGTTTACGGTGTTGTTTTTCGAATCAAATTAATTGGGATCAGCTCAAGAAGAAAGGATGGCTGACCGTCGCGCAGAATTGGAGCGGAAACGCGCAAAGTTAAATGCGATTAGGGAGGAGAAAGAGCGCATGAGGACGGAACGCGAAAGAAATTCACAGCTCAAAAGTTTGGCAAGTTATTTCTTCGTTTTTTGGGCGTTTATATTTATTTAATTATTGATTGGCAGTCAGTTGCTTAATTATTGCTGTATTTTATTGTATGGAATTGGTGTACAATTGCCGGCAACCATGTTTCTCCCAGAATTGCATAGCTTAAAAACTAGCGAGATTTAAAACTCGGCAAAAAACGGTATTGACGCTTTGCGCATAATATGTAATAGAAAAGAATGATGGCAGTTGCTCCAGGCATTTTATTTGCAGGTTTTTTCGTGATTCTTGGTCTGTCACATTATTCTTGGGTTGGACATTGTGGTTCTGTTACAGACAGACTGATGTTATTTACGCTTCAAGTATCTGGCTTTTCGACATAAAAACACGAGTAACGAGGCGAATGCGTTGAATTTCGATATACTTTTCGTGATGTCGTTTTTTTGTAAATGATGATGAAGCTAAAATGTTTGGGATGCATGAGAAATCTGTTGGTTTCAGTCAGTCAGTGTTATTCCAAACGTTTATAGCTTCAGAATATGAATTGTTTGGCAATTTAAATAAGAATATAAGTGTGCATTTCTTTTTACTTTTCATTTCATTCAGCGATTTAAAAATCTGTCTGACAGATAATTTGGTTTAGCTTTTAGATATAGTGACATTTAGCGTTTCGTGTTAAATTGGGATTTACTTTGTTAACTAGATCAGCTACCTACTTATATAATGCCAACTCTCATCTGGCATTCCTGCAATTAAGTAAATTAGATGTTGTTCATTTGTATAGTATAACTGCTCAATTTGTTTGTGCGTGCTACAACTATATACACGTCATCAATATGCATGTCCTCAGATCACCACAGAAAGGTTATTATATTTATAACCGTTTCTAAACAGTATTGCAACATATTGTAGCAAAGTCTGTTGTTTTCGACGACAAGACGATCTCATATTAATGTTTGGCAATTTGGCAGTTTATCACTTGTTCTGTTCAGCGTCTGTGTTCCAATTGTTCTAAAGTAGTATTATTTTACGTAATATTGTGCTGTCAGGTAATATTGATCAATTTGCAACATAAATCAATATCAGATCAGATTTGGGGTGTGCGATAAAAAGTTGTAATCCAAGTACACTACGCTACCTTCATCCAGTTCAACTTATTACTAGATTCAATATTTGGGCTCAATATTCGATGACAGAAGATTGATCGACAAAGACAGAGTATTCTCGATTGTGTTTTTAGTTTCGTCTTCTTATCCATCATTATAACAAAACTGAAAATGTTACCATCTTCAAAAAATTGGAAAGCGGAGAAAGAGAGGAAGCAGGCACGAATTAATGCTATGCGCGCAGAGCGAGAAGAACGCGTAAAAACTCGTGCCCAACAAATATCCAAAAAGGCATCGTAATGTTTAGAAATATTTTATTTTAATGTGGGAATCTGTCGTGAATGTTTATTTCGAAATATTGTAATCTTAATTCTTTGTTGATGTAGGATCCTGGTGCTGGTGGAGATGCGGGAGCGTCGCTGTCGATGGATGATGTGGATAAAATGCTGGGCTCTTTCAATATTGATCCCGTGTCCAGTAAGAATTATACTGAAAGTCACCGATCAGAATTTGGAATTTCATTTTAGTTAATAAATGAATGATTTTTTCAGAAGCAATGCACAGTTTAAACTCGATGGTCCCGTCGCCAGACTCCAGCTTACCGCACGACGGGAAGGATGGATCCTTGAGGAGTGATGATAGTCAAAAGTATGGCAGAAATATTTGTATTGCAAACAAATTCTATCCCAGTTGTGATATTGATTATTGGTTTGTTAATTAGGAAAAAAGTTAAACTCGTGGTGACCCAAGTGACCCAAACGAACATTCCTGCCCAAGAAAAAGTTGCGTACTCTAAGGAGACGCAGACTGCGCAAAGTGGACCTGATCATAGGGACTGTAAGTCTCCAATAAATCTTTCGACCTCTTTAACTTGGTTACACAGTTGGTTCAGAGTAGATCTATGTACTTCCTTCAAATCCTTTAGAATTTAGATTTACAGATATACTTTTAAAACACGGCTTTTTTACAATGTACCGTTTGAACTCCTCGGTTGAAAATATGTCATTCGACTAGTAAATTGAACTTTGCACAATAACCGAATTCATATTTGATAGGGTGAAATCTGTTTGAGAAAATTATTGAATTTCTACGATTATTCGTTTTGTGGGATAAATTTCATATAAATAATTAAATTATGATCTGACTTCCTATTATGCAAAGCCTACTATGATATGTGGCTGAAACCACGAAAAGGTACGTCTGTTGGTTTGGGCAAACAAGTTGTCTTTAAATCGTTCATTATATGTTTCTCATATATATACCCTCCAGTTTTTTACGAATTCTTTATCGTCATTTTCAAAATTACTGCTTATAAATATGGCTTAATATTTCCAAATGAATTTTGTACTTGATACACATGTCAGTCATTGAGTATTGTAAATTGTTTTATACTCCATTGCAAAAAAATTGCTGCTGGCGATTAAGCTGAAAAATGAGAGAACGCTTTGGGTTTGCAAACTCAATTGAATTTATGATGAAATTGTTGTAACGTTAAATGTACAATTTGTCCAGTGCGTTACGCTATTAGTCTGTCTTTGACAAGCTCAAAGTTTATTTGATTGTTGTCCAGCATGAACTAAATTACATAGCCGGCATGCAAACCACATATTTCATCAGTCAGTTTTTTTAATATTTATTTTCAAAGACTACATCGTCTTAACTTTACTAGTTGTTGTAGTTAGCAAATATTTATGTAGTTAGTTGAGTGTGTAGAGATTTTGAGAGACTTGACTTGAGTACTTGTTAGATAGAACTATTGATTGATTGTTGACTCTTTTTTTGTTTAATTTCGTAGCCCATGCATTCGACTATTACGGTAAGTCCTCGTCTTGTCTGTCGTACCGTGTCGTCAGAAAGCATTGCAAAAGTCACTTTATATACTTCCGTTAATTTGTCGTTCGTTATTCCTGAGTGATTCGTTAAACTGTAATTCTTACCATTTCATAAAAAGTTGTTGCCAGAATTTAAATCTGCAATACATGGGTCAGATAATAAGTTGAATCATTTCGTGGTTGTGCATTTTGCGTTTACTTATCTTTAGTTTTGATTCTTTGGGTGATGGGTTTATTATATTGTTTGTGCTATTATTTGTTGGTTTGTTTAGATTATTATTTAGTAATTATGTATGTATATTTAGAAGAAAGCTTCGGCTGAGCTAAAAAAAATCTCAATGGTCTGCTGGGCTATACAATTTCTTATCTCTCTCATTTTGAATCTGCATTCCCAAAGTAATAAGTTGTCTCATTTTTAATTACGCCATATAAAAAGCAATTATTGAATTATACGTATCGCGGATTGTTTACACAAGTATCAAATATTTTACTTTTTACGTTATTTTTTATTTATTTCCCCACATTTTTAATTGCCTTTTTTCAAGAATCTTTAAACTTAATGCCTCCTTTTAAAAGGACATTTTTATTTCTATTCTCCATTTTAGACGAATACAATCTAAACCCATCTATTGGGATGTTAGAATGGGATGACGAGTTTGCAGGTAGAACATCTTCACCATTGCGTCTTGTTCTTAATCCTAATCTTTTGGTTGGTAACATTTTTGCAAATTCGCGAATGCTGGCTATAAATACTTGCTCAAGTTTGCACCTTGTCCCCGTTGTTGGTCGGAAAGTATGTATACAGCTTTGTTCTAATTAATGTGCAATTTTACTATGTATGTATGTATGGTGTGGTCTACTAATAACTGGAGAAATTTTACACGGGCTAAAGTTATGATTTATTTTTACATGTTTAACACCGTTTTTATACTTTTTGTACCCAACTCCACTTCTTAACACTCGTATTCACTGAGTTGTGTCACGATTTTAATTCTTTTTTGGGTTCAGCTACATATCATTTTTTGCTTTGCTAAAATAATAATTGGAAAGTAATTGCAGTAATCTCTTGAGTAAATAATATTAAACGATTGGTAACCGATATCCATCCACCTGCTTAATTTTAAGAGCTTGTATTGTAAATTATTATACAACTTGGCAGCATATTGAGAAGAGAAGGTAAATGCAAATGCACCTCCACGCAATATAACGTTGTTTTGTAATTACCTAAAATTGTGAACCACACAAAATATTTTTGTTAAGTGACGGAAAGTAATTTATTTGCAAAAAGTTACCGTACAAAAGATAAACCAAAAAAACCTTGGAGGGGGAATAAATAACGGAACCCCTTTCAGCCTTTATTGGAATCTTTATCGGTTTTTGGTTAACTTGAAACGAGTGCTTTACCCGCTTCGGATAAGCTTCCAAACGCCTTATTGGTTTTGGTTTGGTTTTTTTCTCTCTTTTCCATTTTGTCCTGTGAAAAATGGCTGACACACAGTATTGGCTTTTGATGATGACCATCAAGCGGACGAAGAGGACTCCTCACTCACAATGGACCATCGGGGGCACAAGCTTCCTCCGGGAATATTGCCGCACGGCTTCCCCCAAGCCGTCGACGTCCAGCCTGCCCTCACGGCCGCGGAAAAGGAGGCCAAGAAGGAGAAGGAGGAGAAAGTTGAGAAACCCAAGGACTTGAGTGACGAGGAAAAACAAGTGCTAATCATGTCGCAGCCCTTTCAAAGATTTTTCGATAAATCGGTCCGAATCATGGAGCGAGCCTTGTGCGAACCACATGCAGATATTTTTATTGATTATTCACGATCTGCGGATTCAGATGATGCAAGGTATGTATTAAAAATAATCTTGCAGATAATAATGCATTAGGAATATTAATTTCATTTTAATTGGTCTTATATACTCTAGTGACGAAAAGTCTGCCACGAGATTATCCCTCAACAGAGTATTTTACGATGAAAAGTGGTCTAAGAATCGCTGCGTCACCTGTCTCGACTGGTCAGCTCAGTATCCAGAACTTTTAGCAGCAAGTTATTCCAACAATGAAGATTCGCCCCATGAACCTGACGGCGTTTGTCTCGTGTGGAATACAAAGTTCAACAAGACGACTCCAGAGTTTATTTTCCATTGTCAGTCATCAGTTACGGCTGTGTCGTTTGCAAAGTGAGTGTCTATCAATTATTATTTTGCATGAATTACAAACTACTACGTAATTACAAATAAATATATTTTGTATTGTTTTTTTTATAGATTTCATCCCAATCTTGTGCTTGGTGGAACATATTCTGGCTCTATTGTGCTTTGGGACAATCGCTTAGAAAAGAGGACACCTGTCCAGCGAAGCCCATTGACGACAAGTGCTCATACGGTTAGAAAGATGATGCACTCTAAAAGGCAAAATATGGTTCAAGAAAAATAATAGTTTTTTTATAATTTGCAGCATCCTGTCTATTGCCTTAAAGTAGTCGGTACCCAAAATTCTCACAACGTCATTAGTATTTCAACGGATGGGAAACTGTGTTCTTGGTCGTTGGACATGTTGGCTCAACCCCAGGAAATTTTAGATCTTCAGCATAAGCAGAACAAAGCGGTGGCAGGTAGAGGCAATCATCTATAGAAATGGCCCGCTTTTGTAATTATGTCAAATAAGAAGTATGCAATTTTTGTTTCCAGCCACGTGTTTGGCATTTCCACAAGGAAGCGTCAACAATTTTGTGATTGGTAGTGAAGAAGGGGCAGTTTATACAGGTAAAACTAATTCCTAATTCGAAGTAATTTACAAATTTGTCTGTATTTCAATTACAATTGTGTGCTTACAGCTTGCCGTCACGGAACAAAAACCGGAATTCTAGATAGTTTTGAAGGTCATCATCATGCACCAATTACTGGAATTCACCCTCACAATGCTTCTGGAGCTGTAGACTTTTCTCATTTATACTTAACTTCTAGTTTTGATTGGAGTGTAAAATTATGGAGTTTAAAGGTACCCAACTTCTCAGAAATTTATATATTTATAAATTTAGTATATTAATTTAATTAATGTTCCTTTAGGAAACCAAACCCATTTACTCATTTGAAGTCGGTGGAGACTACATTTACGACGTTGCATGGTCCCCCATCCATCCCTCAGTCTTTGGTTAGTCAGTGTTTAAAAGTTGATATAGATATGAGAATTAAGGACAGATTTACTAGAAATTTACTAGAATCATTGAAGTGCTTAATAACTATTAATATTTTTGCAGCCGATGTTGACGGTGCTGGCAAGCTGAACTTGTGGAATTTGAACAACGACACTGAACTCCCATCTGCCACAGTGACCGTTGATGGTCCTGCAGCCCTTAACCGAGTCTCATGGACACAGTCTGGTCTTCATGTCGTCGCTGCTGATGACATGGGCAAAATTTCCGTGTATGATGTGGGCGAGGTGCGTCACTTTTTACTCAATTCCGAGTAAAGGAATGTAGCTCAGTACTTTATTAACTTGTCGGTTTTCATACATTTTAGCAATTGGCCAACCCAAGACCTGATGAATGGACTAGATTTTCTAAAACCCTGACCGAACTTCAGATCAATCAAACTGGAGATGACTTGGATGCTATCACTATGAATTCGCGTTAATCTTGTTTGTTTCCTTGATTTAACTAATTACGAAATCCAAATAAACTGCTATCAATAATTATATAGTCAAACTACTTTATTCAGCGATATTTAACGAGCCAAATGCATAGTTTATTTATTATTTAGTAATTTTCAAGTCTCGATTTTGGGTAAGGGGTTTATTTCTTGCCCGATGTGGCAGTAAATTCACTAGTAAAAACTACTACTATTTCTAAATTTTAATTACGAAGGTTTTGATTTACCCAAATAAATAAACTGTTCACTTAAATTATCATCGTAGTAAATGCGTTTCAACTTTGAAGTGTTTGGAATAAGTATTTCTTACGGACCAAGCAATGAGGTGTCAGGTGGATTTATTATATTCTCATATTTTGTCGGAATTTAATTGTCTGGATGACTGACTGGACAAAATTTAATTCCGAAATATTACAAGGGATTTGGTACGCTATCCCACTTGAAAAACAAGGATTTAGATTTACGCTATTAGCAGTTTACAGTTTATATATTCTTATAGTTGAATCAATTTGCTAGCTAACTTGATGGACTATTCTGCTTCTATGGTGGTGGTGAAACATAGCTGGATTGAATTGCGTTGCAAGATATTTTGATTTCATTCACCACTCCCATTGTTCTCCGGCTTTTTACTTGTACTTGGGAGCAGGGCTTCCTTCCGTGTAGTCTGCAAATTATGACACAATGAATAATTACTTATCTGCATATATAGTTTATTATTAAATGGTGGTGGTGCATATTCTCGTTATAACCAACTTACCGCGACCAGAAGCGACAAACTGAAAAAATAGGTTTAATTAATATATACTTAACTTTAGAGACCACATATTCTTTTCGGGTAACTAACTAGTGTGTGTACCTTATATTGCTTGTTAGTATACTCATTCCAAGGTTCCGGGTTGGTTTTTCTATTCCATGTAACGTCCGGGCTTCTGGTAGCAAGACGGAAGATGTAGCCTCCAGCCAACAAGGCCCCAGCCGCCATTAGGGCGTAGATGGGTAAAATCTAATTAAGAGATACAGAGATTAGATTCCATAAAACGTTTGTTAATTTAACTTTGAACTTACAGCTGGATGCTTCTTAGCACTAGACCAGCTCAGTCCAGAAAGCCCGATGCCTTTCGATTTCGACATGTTGGCGATTTCAATAAAGGTCCAGGCGATCACCTAAAAAGTGCAATAATATTAACCCAAATATATCTACGTGTAAGTCACGTTTCACGTACAAGCAAATTCTTTAAAGTATAAAGTGCGAAGTGAAGCACAAATAACTTTTTATACGAATTAATTTTCAAAATACTAAATTGGAAAACATTAAAACATATACAGGAAATAGGAAACTCACGAATTTCAGAATCTATAATCTATCAACTCTATTATGCTTACCAAAAAGTGTATTATAAAATTTTAACTTACAAAATTTTCAAGTTTTCTAAATTTTTGAAATTTGAGCAGACAAAATTTATCACCAAATCACACGTCTCTCTTCTCTGCTGTTATAGTGAAGATCAAACTGCGGCGAATATGTGCTGGAATGGCGAGCCAAGGGACCATTCATCAACTGACACGTAGCCCCATCAGATATTCAATAAGACTGAAAATTTCTAGAAATTTTATTTCAGATAAGCTGCGACACTCTTCTGATAAGGGGTCCCCCTTCTTCGTGGAGGGTGAATTCTCCCCTGACCTGTGCAAGTTCGGGCCAAAAATACTTCCCCGGCAAACCTCAAAATCTCCAATTCTATGCCGCTGCTCTAATTTTGTTTTGGTTTTTTTTATTTCTGCAAAGTTAGGTATTTTCAAAATCTGGTCCATTTTCAGCAATGTGAGGGTTTTCTTTTCGAGCAGTGCCAGAGAGAAAGTGTGATAGAGTGAGTGACAAATTTGGACCTCTGTGTGGAAGAAATTGAATAATTGTGGAGTGACGTGAAAGCATTTGACCCATTCGCCGATTTATATTTTTTGTAATTACTTAAAATGGTAAGTTTATTACTCTAACTTTCATTTATTATTATTGGTTTTATTAGGAACAACTAACGTTGATAATTAAACTAGCCAGAAATCTAGTGAAAAAAATTATTTCTAATTATTTGTAATGTAATTAAATATTTTAGGCCATATTTGGAATTCAGCTAGCCTTTTCCATGATAGTGGCAAGTATCATTTCGAAATTGGGAGGAACACTGTCCCTAGCTCGATACTTGTTGTGCAATACTGGGTACGAGTTATATATTCTGCTGTGATAACTAATATTTACTAATTGTGACAATTTCTAATGTTGAATTTGTTTCATAAATAGGCTTATCCGTTACCTACACCCTACAGATACGGAGCTTCGAGAAATGGCAGGTGTACCAAAAGACATGTCTGGGGGTGGAAAAGGGAAGGGCAAGAAAGGGAATAAGGATGACTATAAAAGTCCAAACACGTTTCACGTTCCAAAAAATTTGGACATTACTGTAAGCTCAAAGTTTCCACTGTAATAATAATAATGAGATGGGAAATTGCGGTTATAAATTCATCTCTCTTTTTAATATAGTTAGAAACAGTAAAAGTGACACCCGTAGAAGTGATTCATTTACGATTTTATTCAGAATATCACTGGGTTTTGGATTATACAGTGTACGCCACATTACTTTACATAGTCACTGAGGTAAGTAATGGATAATTGCTGTGCGAAAGAAAGTAGTTAGCTAATGACTTGATCTGTTTTAGATTTACTACGCTTTCTTTAATGTCCCACAAGACGAAATGAACTTGTCGGTATATTGGTGTTTCTTGTCATTAGGCCTTTGCCTGTAAGTTGACTAAATATAAATTTATCATTTCCTTAGTGTAATTGTAATTAAATATGGTCCTCCTTTTCCTCCGTGTAGCAAAGTTTTGTGTTCTGTGACGGCCGTATATTTTCGTGGGGACGAAGTGATGGGAGAACGAGCCATGTGTATGGTGATGGGGGGAATTTATCTACTCGTGGCCATGATTATTCTTATCATTGATGAGAGCAACTTGGAAGTGGGAGTGGACCCAGCATATAAAAGCTTTCACGATCACGCCTCCGCGTTTTTACAGGCACAAGGACTTCCAACAGCGTAAGTCTCTTACTAAGCTCATGCTTTCAAAAACGTCTAATGATTGACAAAATATCAACTAACTATTCATTCGTAGTGGTCCAGCCTCCAAGCTTCTCATCAAGTTTACAGCAGGTATGATTTTTCTTATCTCAAATAATAACACATAAAACATTGAAAGGCTTAACGAAAAACATAATAAACTTTATTCCGTCATTTTCAGCCGTGGCAGGTGGAATGCTCGGAGTTTTATTCACCTTTCCTGGAATCAGGATGAGCAGAATGTTTTACGATAGTTTAAAGTGGGTTAAAAATTAATATTCAGCATAAACATTGTTTAAATTAAGTTATTGACATCTAAACAAAATATTATATTTCAGGTACTGCGAAGGCCGTCCATTTATTAAACTGCTGCTCAACTTATCATTTGTGTCGCCCTTGATCGTGGTAGCTATGTGGGTAAGTATCATCATCTAATGTAGGTTGGGGTTGTTTTTATGTATTCGTACGCACATACTGACTTGAAATTGTCATACAGATTCGTCCTATTGGTCGTGACTTATTTACAAATTCCTTTGGCCGTTCTCCAGCTTTGTGAGTATTAGATGCAGCACTTTGTCAGTTGACTTTAACTAACAACCTGACTATGTAATTAATTATGTACTTTTTTAATGTATTAGAATGACTGAGGAGCAATTTGAAACTTTCCGACTTGTGCTTGTTGTGTTGATGGTAGTTTTACGCGTAGCCATGATGCCTTACTTTCTCCAAGCGTTCCTCAACATTGCACAAGATAGACTGACTGAACTGCACAAAGAGGCTGGACGCATTTTGAATATTGACCTCCAGAAAAAGGTATAATATTATCGTGGGAATATTTTTCTCCTGCTTTTCAAAAAAGGCAATACAACTGATTAAGTATGTTATCTGTGTTGTTTCAGGTTGCCGGTGTGTACTACTACCTCTGCATCGTGGCATTGCAGTACATAACGCCGATTCTGATTGTCCTTCATTGTACCTTCCTTTATAAAACTTTAGGTATGAATATTATGTATTTATTTATTATTTGCTGGTTCAAAAAAAGGTGACCAAAGCCCTGCATTTCTAAATATGCATGCTTTCCGTTTTATGTCATACCATTGTGCAATTGGTTATGTGTGTAAGATTTCCATATTATCCCGTACGAATATCCGGTAAAAAGGGAGATTCTTCTCTAAACTCATTGTTTGGAACGTTTCTGTATATTTTTGGCATGATCTGTTGTTTTGCTATTCCCATTGTTGATCTTTTCTTGAGAGGATGCATTTATTATTTGGTTGGTGTGGTCTGCTCATTATGTAACGGGAGTTTTAATTTATTACCCACTCATTCAAATGCTTTTTCAGTTTCAATTAGATAGATTTTATACACAGAAGAAGAATCCCACTTCATTGCAGCTCCTGTTTAACAATGACAGTTTTTTTTATCTGAACAATGATAAACTTTTTCTTTGTTGGTTTTTCACCCTCAATTTATTATTTCTTATGCTACCAAAAAAGTAGTCGTCTCGTCGCTCCTCGTCTTCTCGGCAGAGAAGAAAAAGAATATTATTATTACACAAATTGCTACTCTTTCCATTTGTACATATTCCCAAGTTCTTGTCCGAGTTCCCAAATTTGAAAACCACAAAACTTAATCAAGTCTCAAAGTCAAAGTCAGTGATGCTTGGCGATAATATTTTTTAATGTGCCTGCCTCGGGATATTTTCATCCCAGAATGCTTACAAATATTAATGATGCTTTTATGATGGCTTCTGCATTTTCGATTACGCTACACGTAATTTTTGAGTACCATTATTGCTGAGGATGGCATCAAATCTCATAACATAATCCTAATGGTTGCAATTCAAAAGCAATTCAAAGGCTTTTGTTGCACTTTGAAAAAGAAAAAGATGACGTTTTGTATTGAGATTTAGACTTTATGTAGTGCGTTGTTGTGTACAGCAATGAGTTTTATGTTGCCCATTTGAGTCAGGAATTATTACGTTTTAAAAAGACCAATTTGTTTTTTATTACTCCTCATTTAAATATGTTAGTGGGTTAGGTTAAGAATTTAGGTGTTTGTTTTGTAGTATGAAATGTTTTAATGGTTCTATTTGTCCCATTTTTTAAGGAGGAGGTGGATCGTGGAACGGTTCCGTGAAAGCTGCCGACTTTGGTGCAAATGGAACCTCCCCCATTTTCTCTTCCGTGATGCCAGATACAGATGACGTGAAATATGCTGCCGAGCATTTTTCTGTAGCTTTATCATCACTCAAAGTTGTAAGTTTTAACGAATTATTAACCCAAACTAACTCTATGTTGATGGTTAATAGTGCACAATTTTACAATTATGTAAACTAAAATTTTGTTCTAGGTGTTCAGTCCTGTCGTGTTTCGAGGAATATTTGGGTTTCTTTCGTGGTGGTGTAATTTCCTTCTCTTGGCTTCGAGTGCAGTAGGAGCAGGGTATTTGTCATACCTCTCACACGCCTAATTATGCACAGGACGGCTTGGATAGAATAATCACAAAATTTTTCTATGCAATGACAAACCATACATACGAACCATCCAAACGTTTACGAAATATTTAGTTGACAAAGGAAGATTTCCAAAGAAAGACAATGAATATAGTTTTAGATGACACCTTGATTGATAAAACTCTGTGTTTACCTCAAGCGACCAAACTAATTCTGTAGACAGTAGTTCGTGTCGGGAAAAAAAGTATTCAGGCAGCTTTCGCCGTGTCCTTCCTTAAATACATAGATCTCATTGAGCCAAGGTAAAATTGATCTGGTTAGCAGTAGTATTAATATACATACATGTGTAAAAAGGCCTTTTCCATTACTCAATAACTTCAACTGATGCCTATATTTAAAAAATATGCTGATTTGGTCAGTTACTCTGTTCTAATTACATGCCCAGGACTGGTTTGCATCTGTCGTGTAATGACTGCAATGACAATATATTCTCCTTCAATAATTTTGACCGTGCTCAATTCCCATCCCTTCTCCAAACCCATGCAGCATGACTGCTATTTGGCTAATATGGTGATAATGGGGCGCAAGAAGAAGTGTCTAATCTTTCTCAAGTCACTCTCCAACTGTCGCGTTTATTTTTCCCGTTCCAAAGAATTATACTTCTTTTTCAGACTGTTGACGTGGTGTTTATGATAATAATAATATGGCTTAATGGGGTGCATTATACAGAAGATGAGTGTGCAGTTTTCTTTATTCTTGACATTTTGATTTCAACTGTTGACTTTTTTGGGATCCGAGTTCTTCTGTGTTTGTATCATGATTCTTGATTTATATCCCGGTGATGATTTCAATAGCCTAAACTCAAAGTCTTCCTACGGGTGACATATGGAAGTGATTGCTGGCATTGTTCACTCTTAAAATATAGCATTTGTTTGGTTAATCTACTTATGTTTTAATTGTGCTATATTGTTTAAAATGTTTGCTGTTGGGATTTTGCATTTTACAAAGCCTTGCTACTTATGTACTAGTCTACCCTCTTACATTGTGTAGCATGCACTAACATTTACCCCAATTAAAGAGTAAATTATCCTCTTATTATCAAGGCCAAATTATCATGATTACCAAAACCGCCAGACAAATCTTGTAGCGTAGAATAGTTTAACAAAATAGAGAAATATGGATGTAAAAACCACAAGAAATTAAAAATATTTACCTACCAGGAAATAAGTAGATAATTACTTACACAAACTGTTATAATTTTAAATTTTCAGTTATCAAATAAAGAATGAATGGCAAGTAACAGTGATTTTATTTTACGAATTTTGCATACAAATCGATATTTTTCCAAAGAGTGGGTCCGAATGCAAGATAAGAATACAAATTTGGATAAAAATAAGGGTGATGCAAATGATAAATGGTAATGCACCGCATGTTTTTTTTAAAACCAGCAGCAGGTGTGGTAAATGACACCAAAAAACTTGCATTCTTTCTTATGTAAAAGATCATTCATTCATCAGTCCGATTCGATTCAGTAGGTTTTTTTGTGTCGAGTGGACACACCAATTATTACTTTTTTAAAAAATTCATGGCAGTATCCCTTTTCGAAAAATTACTGTATAATTGTTGCAGTTTTCAGCGAATTTGTACAATTTTAAACTCTATTATCCTCTATGCACCCAAATTGCATTCTGCATGTATGTAATTGCTGACTAATAAATAAATCATGTTCCAAATTCAGCCTGCAACGGACAGAAAGTCTTTCATAAGTAATAAGTATATAATCATATTCCGTTAATTATCTCATTATTTATCACTAATTAATCCTGTCCCCATTTACAACTAATGGTGAACACATAGCCTCTCCAACCCAAATAGTATATGGTGGTTTTGTCATCTCTTGAATCTCATAACCGATTTGATACGTCTTCTTCTGACATGATTTCTTTTATTGTGAGACGACCATGAAAGTGGACCAAGCAGCGATTCTCAAAGCTATAATAACATCATCATTACGACAAAGATGATCACTCGGCTCGTCGTCCACATCTCAAAATAGCACATTCATCTCTACGAATTGATAGAATGTTATCATCAAGGAGTGAGACAAGCCTGCAGGATGCAAATTCTCTTTTATTTTCCAACGCAGGTAAAGGGAAACTAGGAATTGTGCCATGCAAAACAGATCTCATTATTATCCGCACAACTGAAAAAACACGCCGACAATGCTGGTCTAACAAAAAATGAGATTTGGGTCACCTTTTTTATGCACCTCGTCGGGGGGATCATCATCTATTCCACTTCTCACTCAAGTACTACCCGATCCGACAGTTCTGTTGGCATTTCTCTCTTTTTACATCAAAGCCAGAGTCACACCGCATCTCACGTCGAGTTACATGCACACGCAATAATGAGGGTAACAACAACTCTTCTTATCTAGCATCACGCAAGAAATGGCATGTTTTTGCTGCTTGAATGGAAAAAATGAAATGAAGTTTATTGAAATGAGGGTGGCAATCTTCTCGTCATCTCAATCATTATTTGCCTGGTGGGTGCACGTACTTGAGTGTGGAGTTTTGTCGACGAGGCTTCTTCTTGGCAGTGACATTGATTTAATTGTGCAAAATGTGAGATACTGTTAGCAAATAAGGAGGTAGGAGTAGCTTTGTTCAGATTTGATACGGATATCACGACGTATGATGACACTCTTTAAAGTGGAGTGTGTTTGTTGATGATGGAAATCTCATGGGAAAATGAGACAATTCATGGGAGCAGCAAAAGGAGATGGGATTTCCGGAACTTACCGTAACAATTTCAAACTTCATTTGGAAAAATCATGGATTACAAAACTTGAATAAAAATGTGACAAAAATTAATGTGAATAATTAATTAGAGGTACATCTACAATGAAATAGTGTTTTTTCGGGCTTAATGATTTTGATGTTGATACCTCAAAGTGTGGCACCTTACCTTTTGTGGTATAAAACACCTTTTGTGTACATAAATAATCCACCAGTATTCGAGATATAATCCAAATATATTTTTCTTTAGCCTTTGAGAAATTTAATTGTGGACCAAAACTTGTGTAAAGGTCAAGGAAATAACCCTTCAAATAATTTTGGGCGATATTTAGCAGATCATATTGAATTGGCTTGATCCATAATTTTGTAAGCAATACGAAATTCTGATAGTAACTCGTCGCCTTGTTTGAAGATTTGATCAGTGAATTTGATCCAGCAGAAATCGCATCGTACATAGTAGCATTTACTTCCAATCAATTTGGTAAAAACGGATAATCCGTACTAATTTGAATTCAATTACCAGATTATCTGATAGTTATTTCATAAATAATTTGACATGATTCTCTAAATCAGGCCTTGAGTCTTGCAAGGCAACTTTTATTATGCATAAATTGACTGCATGTCAATTGACGTACTTTCTTCTACTGACATACTGCTGGCAATTCGGACATGTAACCATTTATCTCTCTTCCATAACATAATATTACTTATAACACATTATTATAGGGATAACTTGGTGTTATTATATGTTATTACTGCTGCAGTAACATCCGGTAAACGACGCACGGAAATTGCATGTACACAAGTTTAGGTAAGTAAGTCATAAACCGAACACGCGATTTTATGGATTTGTGTCACTGCAAGGAGAGGAAAAAACTTAAAAATCTGAATATGGCGTTTTATTGTTAAACTGCATAAATGGGTGTGAATTTTGTAATTTTTCTACGTAATTAATTTTTTGTCGGGAGAGAAAATTTCAATCTGATTTGATACCATACCCACGTATCAGATTCACATGATATGCAAGCCATATTGGTGCAACTTTTTTGCATTTATTTTTTGTCCCACATTTACATATACAGATACCATTTTTTAGTTTCCAATCCCCTCCAATCCAAAAGACGATCTAGTTGCAGGGAGGAAGATGAATTATAAACATTTAATTCTCATTCCTTGAACGGATGCCTAATTCCAATTTAACATTTCCACATGAAAATAAATTGAATACATTTCAGTAAAATTTTTTCTTATTCGTTATTCAACGATTTATAAAAGTCTGGTTGTAGTTTTGACAAGCACTTGAATAGTTGATAACAAGGAAGAAAAATCATTGGTATGCTGGTGCAGTGTGGACCGCGAGTATTTTTACTGTCCGAATCGAACACGAAGTAATTAAACGGACGAAAGTAATTAAAACGAACAGCAAATGGGACGAATGGTATACGTAATAATGCAATAAAATAAAATCACAGCGGTTTCTATTTGACAGAGCAGATGAGCTATTGCCAACTCTTCGGTTTAAACTGTACATTTTAGTTTTCTAACAATTTGCAAGACTGAAGCCCCGATTTTAGAAATAATGAAATGTGTATGTACATACGTCAGGATCAGTTATTTAAAATGGTCATCATAAGTTATTAGTAGCATCAAAATATTTTTTGCATATTTATGGGAAAATCTTTATTCAAAATATGCCCAACTTATGCATCTCTCTGGGACAATTAATTACCCAACGCCATGCGATTTCTGACCAAGGAATTTCTTAAAATTGCATCGTCACCTTGAAATTAAATATCATTCGTCACTCCCAATTCGATTGGGATACTTTTACACACCCATTATTGAAATTCTTAAGTAATCTAAATTACATTTACATCATTTAGAATACGAGTTACTTGTAAATAAGTAAACCTTTTAAAATATGTAATTCAGCCTCGTATTCATTACCACTTGAACACAATGCGACTCTGAGGAGTATGAAACTTAAAACTACACAAGTTTAGAGTAATTGCAACAAGTAATACTTTACTTGTACGTACGCATCGCCGTGTTTAAAAAGTGGGAGAGAAACTAACGGGTATTTTATCGTTACATTGAATTGCACAATTGAACAAGGAGAAGAAGAAAAATACCCTTGAGCAGCAGATAGGCAAGGAACGCCAGCTAACTAACCAAGTAAACTGGCAAGGCGAGATCTCACGGTTTGAATTCCACGACGACGATTCGGTCCGTCGCTGCATAAAACATCCTTCAACTCTTTCTTCTATCCCTTCTTCTTCTTCCGAGATGTTTCAGCGCTAGAGTGGAATACAAAATGCAAAAAATAAGCACGAGCTCTTTCTGCTTGCCTCCAATCCAAGCAAACGCATGCATCGGTCCGCAAGAACCATTCCCCTGATGGCGTCCCTTCCTTGAACAACTTCTAATCTCCTCTCAGCCCAATATCAAACTGTGAACTTGTGAGAAATTCTAAAATTGTGATAAATCCCAGAGTGCAGTGTGTGGAAAGGGCAGCGAGTTTTCCTATTTGAGTTTGTGAACAATTTGGTTTTATACAAATTTGGAAAAATTGAAATTCTGAAAATTCTCTGGATTATTAGGAAACTTGTGAACAGGTAAAATATTTTTAGTACTAAATTTTATGCAAATCTTTCATATTCACGCCTAACTAACTAACTTTTTAAAGAAAGAAGATAACATAAATCTAAAACATTATAGCATTTTGCCCAAAAATTATATCCGACTTCCGATCATGACAAAAAATCTGTGTGCATGTAAAGCGTACAAATTAGAATTTCATGACAATCTCATTTATCCCATTTCATTCTTCGTACCTTGAACTTTTGACTTAGATTTTGGAATAAAAATCTAACCTTCACTCCTCCAAAGGTGAAGTGGTTGAGTGAGATAACACGGTGCATTCTTCACCATTCGAAAAAGAAGAAGTGCAGGCATGCCCACCGATAACAATTTAAACGAGATTTTGCGGTGAGTGAGATGAGATTGTGACAGGGAATGAACCCACAAAAGATTTTGCATGATTGTGTCTACATGCCGATCTAATACGATTGGGTAAGAAAGCCGTATTTCCATCTAACTCCGCTTGCCATGAAAAGTGGGCATGCAAGAGGAATTAGTGGTCTAAAAGTTGATCTTCTTTTTACCTACGTACAAATAGATCCGTATTACATACATGCATTCGAAGGTCTTTTAAAGTCAGTCAGTCAAGATGCAATCGATTCTATTCGCTCGTTTGGCACACTTCTTTCCGCCGGATCAATCAAGATCTCCTTCTTCTTGACCAGATTCGGTCCGTCTTACTTTAAATGTTATACAATTAAATGTAGGTTATGAAAAAATGTCAGTTTTTATGAGCGTGATATGTTCCTATCGGTTGACAAGTGTCACAACTCAAGAAAGAAGAACCAATTGTAACAGATTTGAGCAGCAAAAAACAACGGGTTTCAACTGACCCAACTTTTTTTTAAATTAAAATTATGTACTTATTCATACCTCATTATTATTAATTTATTGCGAGTTAATTTTTTTAGTAAAAAGTTTCCACATCCACTTGACCTTTTGTTCCGAACTAGATATTTGAGTAATGCGCTCACTCACTCACCACTGTGTCATATAAAGTAATTATTATGAAATATTAATGAAAAGTGCATAGGAAAAGGAGTTACATCATCACCGGTATTACTTACTTTTTTAGTGGTATAACAAACGCCGCTCGCAATAAAATGACAATTAAATCGTGTAATGATCCTCCCTTTTTGTTCGATTTAATAACTAAACAATGGGAAAAGAACGGAGCACTTACGACCCAGCGGTGTCAACCTGTATGCGGTTAATAAGTAAATAATGCAAAAGTTAATGCATAAAATACCGTGAGTTTTTGGAACGTGCTTTCCCGTCCACTTTGGAAATTAAGTCAAGTTTGATATGGACGTGGTTTATTTTTTTAAGATTTTACATATTTACATATTTTCATTATGACATCATTACTTTATGTCATTAGGCTAGAAATTTTTTAAACTTGAAAATGATGGGTTGTGTAATTCTTATCATTTACAAACCTAATCGTGGACCATTTAATAATTTAATTGGCCAGAAATTAATCCTAATTATTGATATGGGACAATAGAGATGAGTCGATATTGTCAATTTCTCTTCACCCAAACGAGTGATTTTTTTCATACATACAGAAATCATAAAAATCTGAATTTTTTGTTGCTTAATAAACCACTGCCCGTCATCACAATGTCATGACTTGTACTTCTATTAAGTACTTACTATTAATATGTTACGGTATTCATAGAATAGTTGGAAATAGGTGAAATAGCTTTACTGAAAAATCCTCCTTATTTAGAAGCGACCTTCCTGCTACTAATTCTCCTCTAAAGTAGAAACAATTGGCAATTACGAAACACAATGTAATTCCCGATTTGACAGGAAATATTACAAAACTAGGTTCGCACTTTGGCTGGCAGAGAAAATTACATAACGTCACTTTTTCCTTTGAATTGGCTTGAACAGTGAACTTGAATAGTCGTCGTTCGTGGTCGTCGTCGTCGTCGTCGTCGTGCATTGTGTTTCTTTTCGAGGGACAAGACCGGTTCGGCCGTGAGCGAGTGTAGGCCACTAAGGCGAGCTATAATTCCTCCACAACAGGAATCCGACGAATCGGACAAGTTTTCATAGTAATAACAATAATACTGCAAAAGTAGTCCTGTCGGATGTCATGATCGGGTGATGATGATGAGTACGGAAAACGCAGCAGGACACCTTTCATTCCACTCGAATATTTATTAGTCACGTGGGGACCAAGAAGCATTGTCGTCATAAAATAAAGAACAATAATAATGTACAAATATTGTGATGTCTTTAAGTTCATGCCACGCGTTACTGTAATTTCTTCGTCAATTAACATGTGTAAGTCGTATTGTTATACTTAATTGCTTAAACAGAATTATGTATTATCCTCTCTGAAAAAGAGACAAGAGCAAACTTTGCAAAAAAAGTTGGTCATTGTTAGTTTTTGCCGTGTCGTGGTGAAGATGCTAATATACATAACTGTCACTCCGGTTTAATGGGTCTGGCGGGTGTGTGTGTTTAGCAGGTTGGGCATGCCGTGGGTTCGGTTAATAAGAGGAAGAAATATGAGCTGAGATTTTTTAGTAGGAAATTTTTGAGACAAGATTCATGAGATTTTAGGAAGGGAGCTAAATCACTCCGTTGTTTTCTCCGAATACGATATGATACGTAATTAAGCCAGATTTGTATCAGTAATCAATGGCATGTCGTGAGTTATGTTGTTACAACTGCAGGTCGATTTAGACGACTGTAATCATATTCCTCGTATGATCATCATGCATGTAATTTTCGTCGTGACACAGGGATTTAGCAAATTTTTGGACTTGTTAAAAATACGGGATTTTTCTCATCAGTTAGTGCGTGTGCATGGGAAATTAGTTTTTGGAAGGAGGCAGAAATCAGGATTGAAGTTTGTCAGGGATATCTATTAAGAAATATTTCAAATAAATATGAGAGCAGCTACTGCATATTGTTTTCTCACAATTTATTTAGCTCGGCAGACTAATTCTGTCGATTCAATTTTGCCAGAAATCCGTTTCGTTGAACAGTTTTAAAATGTTTTCATGAGAATGTGATCTGGACTTAAGTAGAAATCCTCACTTTCCTAAGCATTTTAACGGAATCGTATACATGCGTACGTGCATTTATAAAAAGTTATGAAACCGAAACCAAACCATGAAATGTAATGATTGAATGAACAACATCTCTCAAAATAATATCCTGTTTACGTATAGAGGAAATTGTACGAATTCTGTCATTTGCCTCGTTCCTTATCTCTTTTTTATACAATACATACACTTTCATAGATTTTGTATTTATTTATTTATTTATCACGGATCGCCACGCCGCACGCAGCAATCGTATCGTTACTTATCTTAAAATCTTGACAAAGTAAATAATTCAATTACTACACCAGTTTAAAGGAAGACCAACAAAATAATTTAATCATACCAGACCACACATCCGATATTACTCGGTTAATGGTGCTTTCCGATCGCAATCTGACATTTACACTGCTCCTCTTTACTCCCAATACTGCACTTTGTCTGTAACCTTTAACCACTGAAATTGCATTGCATCATTAGCGTGTAAGTAAGCAATAAATGTCTACCCACACATGGCATCTCACTCGAGTAGAATTGCACCATATAATTTTTTCTCTTGGATTTTTATTAGGAATCCGCCTTCTGAGCAGGGTAACCTACTCAGTCAGACGTCAGGAAAGAAAGATTTGTCATGATAACAAATAGCAAATCATAGACCATGAAAGGATAAAAACAGGTGGAACGTTCCTGTTCCTTTACGACCACTACAGAACTTTAACCAAGTACATGTGCATTTATATTTATGTGCAATAGGTATGTGCGTTTGGTAATATTTACCAAGAAATAAGTCTTTGGCAAAGAATCGGCACGGAAGTTGGAGTTGATTTTTACCAAATTTTTTTAAACCGTATTAAGCTAGGAGCTTGTTTGTATGTAACACAGGATCATTCATTGGGATGAGCTTTGCTTAACTCGCATGCAAAAATCACCTACCGATTACGGAAGGAAAATCATGCAATTTCTGAATCAATAGGATTGCGAAATGAAATTATTAATATTTTATCTTTATGTACATAAGTTCCTTATATGTAATTAGTAAATTTGGTATACTACGTCTTTCCTCTTGTCCAAATGCCAGATTGTTGTTAGGTGTTAGTGACGTCCAAATAACTAATTAATCATACCAAATTACCTAAAAAACGGAAGTTCATCATCTTCTCATCCACCGTGAAGTGTCACTCACTTGTTGAAGCTGAAACACTTTAATTTATGCAAATCTCCGTTAAATTGTGTTTTTTAGCTCCTTATTTTTCTCTGAAACAATGCGACACCCGTAAAAAGAACTCACCCAACGAACCATTGCAATTTCTTGCACATATTAAACTCTTCTCATCCATGTATCACACTGGTGGACATCTGTTGTCACTCTGCACCGAAATCTTCACCATCTACGCCAATGAATGAATAGTGTACCCTCTCAAATTAAAGATGAACCTTTTAATTGCAAATGGAAACAATTTTGACTCTAAAACGGAACACTCCTTTTGTTTTAATCAGTTAAATAAGTTAAGTTGCAGAGCGAACAGTAAAAAGTTGACATTGTTAAACAAGTAAATGACTATTTCCGGTTTGTATGCATTTTTTTAGCTCGAGTGTTTGTTTACTCCTGGCTCCTTCACATTGAGGGAGAACAATTAAAATAACAGGACAGGGTATCATACATGCACATACGGAAGGAGGTGGCGAGTTAAAAAAACAATTACTTTGCTCATGTACGCATTGTTTACGTAGTTGTCACAAAAATAAAATTCACACAATTTTCGCATAGATTTTTTCAAGAGCATGTATGTTTCACAATTTGTAGACACGCAGCAATAGTAATTTTTTAACCCAATATATTCTACTATTTGACTTTTTTCCTACATCTTGAACAGTTCTTTCTTAGAGTTAATAGGGTGCAATAAAAAGATGATTCCCACAACAATAACGTAACGTGTTGTCTCTGAGATGTTTTTTTAGGCGAGAATGTTGAGATTTGGGAGAAAATCGTCTACCTAATCCTACCCAAATCCGACTGGGTGACTAATTTATCACGCTTTATCCTATAGCTCACCCAAATAATTTTTTGTAATTTGCAGTTACCTCACCTCACCTACTAAACTCCATTCCACACACAAAACAGACACATCATCTTTGCACACAATATTACACAAAAAGGGAGCCGAGGATGTGACTCCAAACTAATTCTCAAGCTTTATCATCCACAACGTCGAAAAGAAAAAATAATATTTTACCAAGTTTCTCGCACAACAATCTTGAACGAGATCTTTGAAAATTGCGTACATCATCTCCTCCTCAGATTGGAAGTGAACGCTTCATTTATTCCTATCCTGAAGAATCTCGTCTTTTTTTTATGAAAAACCTGGCACCCAAATTGCCACATATTTTTCCTAATCCTGTGAAAATCTCTATATTGGAGAAAAATAAGAAACCCGTTACGCTCTAAGAGAAGAAAGAAGCAACTGTGCAAATTGGAATTGGACCAATTTGAGGAAAGGGATCTACTTTTTCTGCAGATTACCAATTCTACTCGGATTTTTTTAATTTTACAAGTACCAAAGATTCGCTGGTGTCACTTTTGAGACGCCGAAGAGGAGACGACAGTCACATTTTGGACAGGAAGTAGGAAACAAGTCGTTTATTGACTATCGCATTTCTGAGGAAGAATTATTCGAAGGAGGAGCAGAAAGTCGAAAATCATGGTCTATTGTTTACACCAAAGTTAAACAATTACGACTCCCTATTGCACAATTTGTTGCAACCTGTTCACACTGACACGCAAGAATTAAACTGAACTTACATACTACACATAAAAAAACACAATGTGAGCAGAGTCCCGTGGTTGGTTGGTGCTTAGAAAAGTTGAAACAAACCATTATTTATTTGCTGAATTGTCATTAGTTTTTAATGGAATTCTGACGTGAATGTGTTACCCAGAAATTGTGCATCTGCCGGTGAATTGATTGCATTGATTAATCAAAGACGAGAACACTAACAACTAACCTAACCGAACTAATTGCGAGTAAAAGAAACCGGAAGAGAAGGAGTGAAAGGTGGATAAAAGGATTTGTTGCATGGCCAAGTGGTCCATGCATCGAGGAAATAATGAGATGTAGATCGAGAAGGAGTCGTAGAGCTAAAACTTGTGGCAAAATGAGTGGTCATTATGTGGAAAGGGACACCACGGTAAGTCATTCAGTAACGGGTACCTTTGCTATTGTCGCATTATTGCCAAAATGAGAGGAAAACAAAAATCAAGTGATGGCAATTTTAGCAGAAATAATAGATATTTAAGAAAGGTGGGAACAATTTGTCACTGATTTGGTTTCCTCATTGTGCAGACAAAGACAACGAAATGGAGTTTGGTAGCCAGATTGGGCCTCGTGCTCGTGGCGTTGCTCGAGCTCTCTGTTCAAGCCGAAGGATCTCACCTGCCTCCAGGTTATCTCAGTTTGAGAGGAAGGTCCGAAGAAGTGGGCGATACTCTGGCGGAAGTCGTTTTCGAACCAGTCGCCTCAGACGTTGGAATTTTGGAGGACGAGGTGGAAACCACGACAATGACACCGATTGAGGACGAGGATGCGGCGTCGACAAAAAAGACAGAGGTCCCCACATCCACGCCAAAGGTGACGACCGTCCCTACGACGGAGGGTCTTGCGAGACGAGGAGTGGTCAATGAGGATTCGACCCCTGTCCTCGTTGGGCCAAATGGAAAACGTTACCTCGGTTCGTGTACAATATTTACAAGTTTTTTGTAACACCATGAATTTTTCAGTTCAACTAAAATAAATTTCCTATATATTTTCAGACATTTCTGCCAATTGTGATTCGAATCAAATGTTCATTGTTGGCCAATTTCTGTCAAAATTCAAGGGTCGAATTTACTCCTTGGGATATCCGGATGAAAACGAGTGTGGGAAAAGTGCGTTTTCAGATCCAGGAGAAAATGTTACCTTCAGTCTTCCTCTGGGACAGTGCGGCGTGCAAATGATGGGGTTGGACCCGGTTGGTGTATCACAACTTATTTGGTTATTTAGTTATGGATTTAGAAAACGGCAATTACAGTGGATTTATTTATTTTTCTCCAGGAATTTGATTCTCCTAAACGGCACGAAGTCACCTTGTACATTCAGTATTCTTCCTTTCTCCAGCAAGTAATTGATGACAAGGTGTCCGTCAGTTGCGTCGAGATACATCGCTCACCCCTCGAGGAATCCATGCAAATGTAGGTCCACCCCTAAATCTAATTACTGATGATATTGCAAAATATTCAATTGTAATGGTGCCATCCATTGTTTCACTTAAAAGCTACCCATAATTTGTGACATCAGGTAGTAATATGAATGAATAGTGAGCACACAAAAATGTTGCCTTGTAAGTTGAGATAAGGCAAGAATGGCTTTTGAAGAAAGTTGGAAATGAAAAACGTGTCCGTCCATCATCTAGAAGTGTTCAATTTGGGTTTGGTTGACGCCATTTGTAAATAAATTGTATGCCCAATGAATAAATATCACAAAGATTAGATGAGCGAGATTGTTATATCAAACTCGGTTTGGATTTAATTAGCAAAATGTGTGTGTACTTCACAGGCTTGATTTCTCCTCGAACGAAGATCCAAACCCTACAACGTCACGCCAAGCTCGAAGAATGATGGGAAGCGTGAAGGATACGAAAACGGGGAAACCGATTTCTCCAGCACCGTCGTCGTCCTCGACTTCACAAACTGGGACAAAAATTTCATCCAAAATTGGAGAGTCTTGGATGGAAATTCTTCATGGGAAGGTAATAAAATGAATAGCTACATAAATTATATGCGTCTTTAATCCATTTAATATATATTTATAATCTCCTGTTTGTTTAGGATCCAAGTCCAAAATCGAGGAAAATGTTGCCCGTCGCTGTCGGTCAGGACGTAACGCTCGTCATTTCAACTAAAGTCATGAGTACGTCGTGTCAACATTTCTACTTTGTTGTTGCCTCACTCAAGTGAATTTACTTATGGAAACTTATGCACATGTTTTCTGTTTCAGGAGGTTATGATGCCAGAATCGTGAACTGTTCCGCCAACGATGGCACTCGGCTGGGCAGTATTGATGGATTCCGATCCCAACAAATTCTTGATTCTGCGGGATGTTCCGTGGACACCTCGTTGGTGCCCAATTTTAGGAGGCGGCGTCTTCCGATCGAATCCAGAAATCGCATGATTACTCTACATTTTTCTACTTTCCCTGCATTTAAATTTCCAGAAAGGGATCATCTCCACGTTAAATGGTAAAGACAAGTATCAATGGAGGCTTCCCAGAGTATGTTCTCCGAATTTCACCAAACTACATGGAATTTGCGAATTGTACGATCTGCCAATGGGCAGGTTGGAGATATTTGCATCTAAACAGGAGAAGGGTTTGGGTCCCTATGAAACCTGTCCCTTGGCAGATAGTGCTCCTTGCAAATTTCAAATTAGTTAAATTCGTGGTCAATTGACACTATTTTGGTCAAAATCGGAGAACATATGTTGTGAGACCTCCATTGTAAGAAAGTGAAATAATTTTGGTGCGTGTGGTACAATTTTTATATTTTTATACAAACAGCATGGTGGCCTACTGCCAAGGACCCTGTCCTCAAGAACCTTGTGACTCTGGACTTAATCACTTTGGCACTTGGAGGGACAAGTAGGAAACTATTGCAAACAAATACGTAGCTCATAACTGATTGTAAAATAAGTAAAATGTCTGATTTTTCAAAGGTACGGCCGAATTGCGGACGCACTTGTAGACACGGCCGAAATCGTTAACTCGGTTGAAGTGTATGCCCCCGAGCTGGAAGATGCTGCGGGTGCGGGGGGTGCAAATGGGGGTAAGAATCCTTTAACTCGTGTTTTTTTATGAGCGTTTGTTATGCTTTTCTTAGGTTTTTCATACGTTCGAACCTAAATTTCATGTCATAAAGAAAAATAATATGTACTTAACCCACTCATAATGTTTAACTGAAGACAGTTAAGTAACGACAAAGCATTTCTAACCTGTCTGGGAAAAATATTTCGGTACAAAGAATTACTGTCATCAAGAGTAGATCAATGTCCACATAATTACTGATCGATTGATATCCGTAATCATTTCATTTCACCAGAAGAATCTGGTCCTTACATGGCGTGGTCACTTTTGGCATGTTGTGCATTCATTCCACGAAAGAATTGAGAATGTGTAACAGCAAACTCAAATGACGTGGACAGACATGCACAAATAATTGACAATGAATGCAAAAATCTCAAGACTGAGCTTGCACTTGTTGGCTGCAAATAAATAATACGACGTGAACGGTTCTTCTCCTCAGTCGGGGGTCAAGATTTTTTAGCGACTGCACAAAAATCGAATCTCGTCAAGCGTTAGCATCTTATATAACAGAGACATTTCAAAAGTAAAACAAAGTACAGATAGTACATGTTCTACCAAATAACTCCAAAAAATTAAAATTTCCAGAAATGTAATTCTCAGTTTCCTTAAGTCAATGCATCTTTTGCAACTTGTTAATCTTGTACTCGTGTGCATCATAGCACGCATGCCATGAAAATGACCAACCTCATTAGTAACACACTTTACAAATCTTATTATATTACGTATCACAAGAACCGTTACGTGAGAAGACAAATTAGTCGAGAGTTGACTCCCTGACTTGACAAAAGGTCACTTCAGTATGCACGTAAGTATTTACTTCCTGACGTATAATGAAATGCTCAAACAGCTCATTTGATGGAATTCATGTGACGATATCACATTAACTCAAAGAAGCAAATACATAGTTACTTCCGCCTATTTAGAAAATGCGTTTTCCAAATCTAATGTTACGGGCATGATGATGTAGCGTGTCCAATTTCCATTTCATATTCAAGCTCCATCATACATATTCAGTCATTATAGGATTTCTTCACAATAATTACCACTCATACAAGGTTGCTGCAACGGCGTTTTAAAAGTTTAAGTAAACGAAACTTTTACCTTTTTTCAGGGGACCATCACTTTGAACGGCACCAGTCCTTGGTGCCCTTGGGAGGCTCCATCACCTCCACGCACGGTCAAGGTCGACACCTTCGGTTCAGCGACACCAAGTCTGCCGCACACTCGTCCTCGTCGTCCTCGTCCACGTCCCACGAGGAGGACGACGGCGACTCTTCCAACGCTCAGAATAACGCCACGAAGCCCAACTTTCTTGGTGGGAGTTCCGTCTGTGTGTCACCCGGCTCGATAATTCTGGCCCTCGTCATTCTGGGCGTGGTTCTCGTCATTTCTGCCACCGCGACCTTGTGGTTCGCTCTGAAGAGGTCGGAAGCGAGGAAGTATCGACAGGCCGTGAAACACGCACCATTCACCCAACAACACACCGGTGTTCAGCCCTATTATAGATTCTCACATTGGTAATTCAAAAATTGGGGAGAAATTCGTATTTCGTGTAGACTGAGCCATTTTACCAGGTCGCAAATATGTAGCTAGTGAATTTATATTGTAAATTATGGGTGTTGGGTTTTATTTGTTATTTTTATGACTGCCAAATGTTAGGTTTCATTATGACAAAGTAAATTTTATTAATGAGTTGTTAATAAGTTGTATTTTTAGTAGTTAATCGTGGGATTGCAGATTTTTTGCAACATTAAGTTATTGTTACTGGGTGGTTCTATAAGCTGTATTTGTGATCAAGGTGTGTTATCAAATTGTAAATACCTGCGTATCATTTTTAAGCGTTGTTGTTACCATTTATCTATTTATTTATTTACCTATGTTAGTTTATTCAAAGTGTAAAATAAAATAAGAATAAACGTTTTCAGTCATTTGTACCTGATCGTAATTATAATTTAAGTATTTTCATGCTAAAATTAATTTAATTCCTCAGGTAAAAAATAAATTATTCATTAATTTTTTTGTATCATGCCAAAAATTGTAAAAGTATTGTATCGAAAATGATAATATAGAGATCAGAAGGTAGAAAATGTGCTCAACAATTGTAGTCATTCACATATCTTATAAAATTCCATACATATTAATTAAGCATTATAACGTAGTGTACTTATTTGAAGGTGATGATACGTGTAATGTAGTAATCACTTGGTCACTTTTACTATTTCCTTCAAGAATATAGTAAAAAAGAGTTTAATTTGGACGGGTGTCCATTTTGGCGTCATCTTTTCATCTCGTCATGACTGACCAGTTAAAAGTTGCTGCTGACATGGTCAATAATGAAAAAGTCAATCTCGCTCGCGGAAGAAAGTGCATCTCATCCCTCACGAAATTCATACCTCACACTTTTACTCGAAAAAAAGACTGCCCACACCGTGTCAAAAGAGGTAATATTATAATTATCTACCCAGGACGACATGCAACTAATCCTAAGTAAGTGAGTGACCACTGGAATGGGTCTTTTAGCATTTTGTGCAATTTTTTAAAGTGCTTCTACGCTTTGGGCCTGGAATGAGTTTACATATTTTTCCTTAGCCGACGACTAATGCGAATTAGACGTTCCTTATTTCTTACAGGATCACATTTCAATTTCATTTCTGAGATGAAACTCACCCACCAAAACCCGAATGATTCGTGCAGTTCTCACGACCACCACGGAATCCTCTTCTAATGCTGCATATCTACGTACAGAATGAAATTGAAACCTGAATCATGTAGCAAGTAGAAAGATTATCAACCAACGGGCATAAAATTGCCAACTATTCTTCTCTAAAGTGATTCATCTTCTTGAAGGTGTTTAACCTTCGACAAGATGTTTAAAATTAAAGTTTCGATACTGAAAATTTGTATATTTCATATAATTCACTTATTGTATAAGTGGATAAAATAATTTAGCATATTTCTGTATGAGCAATTTATTTATTCCAACGGTCAACTGTATTTTAAAATCCGTTTACATATGTAAAAACAGGTTCATGTCAAAGCTTACCTAATAATAATCTAATGTTTGAAGCATCCCAAAAGTGAAAATTTTTTCAAGGCAAGGTCACTCAAATTGCAACCCAATAAAGAAATTTATTACGCAATGCAATCAATCCTCCTTGGTTAGCCCACTATTTGTCCAGCCCACAACAATGCAGGGAGAAAAGACAAATGTGTACGTTTAACAAGGGAAACGATCTTTTTTGTAGGCGACATAAATGTGTGTGCAAATAGCATTGTAATCCGGAGATCCTCTCTGCCTGCACCTGTTTGCCGTTCTCTTATTGTGTCAGTGTCACGATAGGTCCAGTCCAGTGGTTTGTTTGTATTTTCATCTTTTGTCACTCAACATGTATGCACGACGACACCACCTTCATTTTTTACCGTTAAAATTCAATGGGCAGCCCTTTGTCCAAGTGTGAATGCGAGAGGGAGGATGTCACAAATTAATTACTTGTCACAAATACAACTTGGCTTTGTTTCGACCTTAGAAAAATGGTGGGTGTGGAACAAATTTCTTAATTTGCCATTATAATTAATTCTGCTTGGGTGAAGATGTTCGCTAATAAAATGGTGACAAATTGGGTGATATGAATAAAACCAGGGAAATCCTTTTTCCGAAAAAATTGAGGAGAATGCCCCAATATAGATGAATAAAAATTTGGGCATTTGCTTTTCCCCGAGGGAAAGGAAAAAGGGAATAGCTTTTCCCTCAACCTCAAGATTTTCCCTGGAGAGGGGGATTTTCGTATGAATAAAACCAAGGTGAAAGCCTTTCCTTCAGGCAATCTCCCCAAAAAATACCGATCAGCTACTATGCTGACCCCAACTAACAAAATTAGCAATAAAACTTAGTTTTTAAGCATCTGTTGTACTTTTTATGAATGTTGGACACTAGTTGGACATGTTAGGGCTTTGAAACTCACAAAACCAGATTTATCGACAAAAATATAGATTTTTATTTGCTATCGACATCGAAAAAATGTATTTTATATTTTCATTGAAAACCTGAAAATATTTTCTGAAATATTTTTAAATTCAGATTTCGGCCAACTGGTCATGCTACCGGTATCGCGCAAGTTGCATATAAATGTTGAAAATTTTCCAAGATTCTAATTAAATTCTGCTTTCGCTCATTTATTCGCCGTTTAAGGGTCCATTGCATGTGGGTTTTGAGTTTGAATTTTTGTGTCTCAACTTTCCATTCCTCCATATAAATGGCGATTTTGAAACCCATTCATCGTCGTGCATATTTTACAAAAAGGGAGGTTTCAAAATTCGAAAATTTTTAGCTTTATACAAAGTTAGGAGGTTAGAATTTTAGTATTTTTCCTGGCTAGGAAATTTTTGAAAATCTATAAAAAATTCAAAAATGAGTTTGATCTTGAATATTATAAAATAACTGTATGGGACAATAATCGTAAAAGAGTTTTTAAATTCTGAGAACAATTTGATTTTTGGCGAGCATTTGAAGGTGGTTTTTTCCAGGTTAGTCTGAGTGAGTTTGGAGGGTGTTCAAAAAATCAAAAATAGATTAAATTAAATACACTTATATACAACAAAACAACGCTGAAATTTCCTTGATTTTTGCAATTCTGAGATGCGCCGATACCGAATTTTAGCCCTTTTAGCGAACATCACAAACCAGTGGGGGTCATTGGGGGACATTTCTTTAAGAATTTGATCAAAATCATGGTCAGAGAAATTTTTGAAATGCATTTGTGTTCGTTGCGATGGTATTATTTTAATTACATGTAATTGAAGTCAGGGGATTTGCCCGAAACCAAGGGGATTTGCCTGGCGAGAAAGGTAAAAGTTTATTCATACGAAAAGGAGCAATAGCCTTGACCTGTGAGACTTTCCCTCAGGCAAATGCCTTTCCCTTTTCCCGTTTCCTTGGAGGATTTCCCTGGTTTTATTCATACCAGTAATTATTACCATTTGCAGAGGCATATTTATAATGAAGAAGAAAAGTATGATTCCTGCCACTGGTGGTGCGTACAGTACACAAAGAATTAGGTAAATTTTGTCTTAAAGAATTTCATATTTCATCAGCATGCGTCATAATATTCGTGGACCTTGAGCTTCACATGCTCCGTGATTTACAGGAAGTTGTTTTTTACCGATTTTTTCCCATCCTTTCCTTCAAGACGAGGGTAGCAATGCGAGGGCCGTGTTAAGGCGTGAAATCAAAGCTAATTTTTACCATTGAACAAACAGCACACACCCAGCCATTAAATCGTCAAAGTTGGACGCAAATAGTTCTAAATTGAATTTGACAGAATGATTTGTGCTGAATGATCAAGAAATAAGCTCCGTTAAGCGAATCCTGCATGTTTCTTGTATACTTTTACGAAGCATGTCGATAATGGTGTCTTGTTTATTAATGCAGATATTATGATTTGCAAATCGGGCAACGGTGATTGGTTTGTGGATCCAAATATGCAAGATTTGCGAGGCAATATCCCCTTACACGTAGGAACGCTTTTGGAGTCTTCATTTCGTGGCTACAAAGGAGTAGAGATCAGAAAAGGAGTCAAGTTTACGTGAAATTGGAGCAAACGAGCGTGAAATTGGTTATCGGAAATCCGAACCTCAAGTTCATCTCGTGGCATGAATGAATGGAATCAGCACAAAAAACAGTTTTTTCTTGTGTGCAATTTTACACGCGATGAGGATGGTCTTCTTTTCATGATGACTCTATTTATCCATTCTCCCTTGTTTGCCATCCATCTAGTTGGTCCTTGGTGGTGGTGTGGTATGTGGGCGATTTCTTGGTAGGTTTGGGACCTAGAATGATGATCACTTGATACGAATTAAATTTGATTGGCATGTTTAATTATAATGACTGATTGGAAACATATTAGAATGAGTATATGTAAATTTGGAATTAAAAATGAACTCGGAATTCACAAGTTTTTGAGAACTTGAGACCACCAAAAACCACCTCGATTCGATCAAACCAATCCATGTGTCTGTGCTAATTATGTAGATGAATCAGCACATGGGTATTACAAATAAACGTACAACAATAAAATAAACGCATCTTTACTTTACACGTGATGCAAAAGGGTTTTCTGAAAGAAACATTAAATTTACGTTCATGAACATAAATGAATGTGACATAACACTTCTTCTTACGAATAAAGACTATATAACGTACAACCATCTTTAATGTCCAGAAGGTCAATTTGTATTCCATTCTCAATTTTGTAAATAATTCTCGTTTATAGGGACGCCTATTCGATTAGCACTTCATGTTTAAGTCGTGCTTAATCCCTGACTGACCGGAATCAATGGATTTGAAATGATTTTAAGCCAGCTAGTTCATAGTGGGTGGTAAGAAAGAGGTCTGGAGTAAAGTTGCACATTAAGAATTATAATATTTACAACCCTTATACGTAATGTAAATAATGTGCAAGAGAGAAAGCAGTTTAGCTGAGGTTGGGCGCATGCGGTTTTTCTTCATGAAGCTGATGAGGTAAGTCATAAGTGTCATGAAGTGTCATGATCATGATTGAAAAAATAAAACGATGGCCATACATACATAATTAGCACAATAATGAAGGCTTTCACGTCACCGAGCTTTGGAAGCTGAACGACCAGCCCATGTGTCCCTATTATGTATGTACCTTAAATTTCTTTCAATTCTCTGCCAATACAATTCTAAACATAACATAAATTTAGTAACTTGTGGCACCATTTGACGTGAATAATAATAGAATTCATGACTTTCATGAAAATAAAAAAAGATTATCAACCAAGAAAGCAGCATATTTTACTCATGAATACCTTGGTACGCATGTGTCAACCGTACTCATCTTCAACGAATTCCAATTTAAGCAATACTTTTACTTCACTGACTCATATAGTTCATGACCAAAAACATATAAAATGAGACAGCATTTGTCGGATCGGAAGTCGAGATAAGAAGACGGACAACCCGTTCAAACCAAAATTCTCCCAAATATACATATTTACATTTGCAACCATTACATCTCAGGTTAGTTTAATTGTCTTACACGTTTAATTTTTCATAACGCCGTATTTGCTTAACAATTAGATTTTCCATGCGACAATGGCATTTTGTCCACACCGAGTCCTTGGATCTAATCTGTCCCCCAGAATGTCGTGGTGGGTGTGGCCAAGGCGGGGGTCTGATGAGACGAGCAGCCACGCCGTTCAGTGTTCAACTTGTGGCGAATACATCCACGGAAGCCACACTTGAAAAACGTAACATCTTGGAAATCTCAAGTTCAAACTTTGTCTGCAATTTTTTTACCCTCAGTCACAATGAAGGTGACATAATGCTAGGAAATAATAACGGCCATTCGCCAGTTATCTTTGATGACCAGAAAGTGAATTTTTATTCTATTCTTGATTTTTAAACAAGTCTCATTTACCGTAGCGCCCATCACTTACTTGCATTCGCGTGGAAGAAGAAGCTGATCTGTTTGGACAGGAATGAATCTCTGCATGAAATAGTTTCCCATGAAGAGGTTTTTGTACAGTGAGCAAATTGAATCGAACCGTTTTTCAAGCATCATGATCGACAGTGTGTATAAACCTCAGAAATGGAGCGGATTTTCCCAGCAATGCGTTGTCAGCGGTGTTGGCGTATGAAAAATATTGGAGCCCATTAATGTGCAACGCTACTGTTGAGGGATGTTGTTGTTTTGAAGAGATTTTTCATGGTTTCACTATTTCGGGACTTGAACCGCAGTGTACATTTAGTTAGCGACTATCTAGAAATACAACTTGTCACCTTTTACTTTATTCCCTTCTGCACTCTGTGGTAATAATCCTTCTTATGGATTTTGTCGTGTTATGAAATTCAATACATTTATGTAACGTGACAGTAAATAACTTTCTTCACTTGGCGAATACATAATTGAGTTATTTTATCCGCTCATTCGTCCAGGTTTGAAACGGCATCCGTCCCAGAACCTCACTCAAACTCTAAAATAGCCAACCAAACTAAATAGCTACATGTTGCATTTGTTATAAGAGTTCCAAGTTATCCGCGATTATATTAGCCGAATCAATATATTATAATAATTCGGCTGATTCTGCTGATGTAATCGTGGATAACTTGGAACCGCCGATAACTTCGAACAAGTTCAACAGTATTCACTAAATTCTGATCTGCTCATTCAAACATTATTTTCTCATGGATAAATATCAGTATTGCCAGTTGTCAGTGCGTCAATGTGTAAAAAAACAGTTGTTGTACTGATCCTACGAGATAACCTTCGTAGTTGTCCCTCCATTTGAATACTGAAACAATGAAATAGCTTGTGAAGGACGGCTGGTTTACACTTTTAACTACAATATATAATTCTGAATTACTAAAATTATGAGCTGCATCATATGCATTTTATTTGCATGTAGATAAATCTATCCAGTTGGCTGTCCCACTTCTCATTGGAATTTAAAAAAAAACTGCTTCACCAATTTGTCTTCTTGACCCAACCTGAATAAAAAAAATTGTTACATTACATTACATTAAATTAGATTCACTCAGCGCGATTGTTAAAGTGGATAATTTTTGGCACAAGTTTAATATCACCGATTCGAAGGAACGGTACTTTTACTTCAGGGTTGGTCAACACTTGAATCTATGATATGACAATTCGCACATGCTTCCTACATACTAAATATTTGCAATATTTCTCGCTTGAACTGACCTGGACTCGTTTATTGCGAACGTACATATGCACATATTGGTAAATGCATCCTTCGATGAGGAGGATTGGGAAGAAATCGCACATCTATTTTAATACCAAACTCACTCCTGATGCCCTGATTGCCCATGAATGGATGAAATAAATTTTCGCTGTAGGCTTTCCCAAGTCCCAAGCCAAGTGTTCTTGAAGAACTTTACCCATTTATTGTTCAAATACATTCCACAGCCAAACCCCGTCATTAGGATCGAATGGATCCCTCAGGTGTATCTACAAGTGTGCTTTAGATAACTGTTTCATTTTCACACAAAGCATTAAACTTGAAGATTTATTATTATTGCTAAAAAATCTATCTACAATGAATGCGAATGAATCATGTTTTTGTAGCTTTCCGGATGGAAATAATTCACAAAGGGAGGCAAGTTAACATATTGTTTATATTGTAATGTGCAGTTTAAGCTCCACTGTTTTTAAGTGATTGATCGATACACTGATTGAATTGAGCATAATCACGACCTAAAATCGGAAGCATTTTTAAAATACGATTTCAAACGTATGTGTATTTTATGTGTCATTAATTTGTTAATGTGATGTATTTAACAATCTGCAGTTAAATCTTTGTATCGAATACCGTTCTGATTGTTGTGGAATGAACAATGTTGTAAAAAATGAGTGGATATACTTGATAAAATTATGAATTGAGTACGTATTGATAATTTGATGGTGCATGGATGGAGGTACTTTTTGACAGGATGAGTGCGGGGTTCATGTTGTCATTGCATTGTGGAGTGGAGATTGATCGGATATTTATTATTATTGATTCGACTCAAAGTACATAATGTGCATGTGCATATTTCATATGTACTGGACCCGTATGCATGCACATCCAATGAAAAATTATGAATGCGTAATCAGTTAATCAGTTGCCAAGAAAATCAAATATATTCTTCTGCTCTTTATCAACATGCAAAATAATTCGTAATAAAATCTCTCAACATTTTTAAACACCTTTCAACTCTTGTGGTGTAAGATTTTTTTAAGATTTCATAAATTGTCTCAAAATGCCGGATCCCACGGAACCCCCACCAGCAGCGGAGCCTGATTCTACTGCACCACACCCACCACCACCCGCACCCGCGGAGGGTGGAGATGCCGCCGCCACGACCACTCCCGCCCCACCACCTCGAACTTCCAACGCTGCACCACCAGCGGAATCATCTGACCGGAAGTCCAAGATTTTGGACCAAGCTGCTCCTCCCTCCGAGGAGAAGAGAAAGTCCGAACCCGTCTCGCGACCGAAAGAGGGAAAAGGCGCCATCGCCACGGCGGACAAGGGCGCGGTCGAGCTGGCAGGAAAAGTCAAAAACTTTTTCTCTCAAGCGGAAGGACAAAGGCTCAAGGACGAAGCCACCAAACCACTCCGGCGTCCGAAGAAAATTTATCAAAACAGCTACCGTCTCGAGGCCCATGTTCCCTACAGGTTGGGATAAGTTAACCTTAACCCCTTTCAGATAAGCCATTATTAACTGAGTTCCATTTCCTAGTCGAGACCGCGTGCAAAAAATACTGGAAGCCACGCTGGAGGAAATGATCTCGGGCGTGTACTACGTCGCGGATACGGCGAGCGACTTGGCGATAAAGATGGCCGAGAAGATTCGTCAACGCGTCCTCGCCCTCAAGTTTGACCGCTACAAGGTGATCGTGATGACGAATGTGGGGCCCTTGAATCGTCAAGGTGTCCACATCGGGTTTCGTGGTCTCCTCGACGCGGAACGAGACACGTACAACATGGCCACGGCAAAGTCCAATCACGCCTTCGCTACGGCGGTCATTTACGCCATTTATATCGAATAATGCTCCATCCATGAGTACACTTGATTAGTTAATAAAAAAAATAAACTGACTGCAAAAATCCGCGTTTTTTTTACTTGAACTTTTTAACAAAATAAAAAAAATTATGTATACATCATCAACATATTTATTAAGCCTTGGTAATAAAACACTTATCAATCACTCAATTCTCACTCGACTCGACTACTCACTCGGCTTATCATCCATCTCCATCATCTCGTGATAAGATCACATCTTCATCTTGAAAGCCAAGCAGCCAGTAGCCAGTCGGACCAGCCGCCCATTCCTTTTTGTTACTGCCAATTCATTGTCGGACGAATTGGACACTTAAATTGAGATGATTGATTTGATTGTTGCCTTCAAGTGTTGTCTTTCAGGGGAGAAAACCACATTCAGAACGCAACCACTCCTCCTCCTCCCCAAGAAGAATAACACGGCAATAACATAACACAACACTCTTCTCGTTGAGGATGAATAAATCATGGCGAAAAGGAGGAAGGAAGGAGAGGAAATCAATATTCGATAAATTCAATCAGTAATTTTGGACCATGTGTAAGAAAAAAAAGTCTGAAAGGAATGGGAGTATAATCGAATTCTTTTATTGGCTACTGACTGCCAAGTCAAAGTCAAGTGATGCGATGTCAGTGATGTGGTTTGTTCGTTAATCGAGAAGCAAAGGTGATTCACACCAAGCTTTTAGATACTCCATCCATATGCAAATGACGACATGGAGGAATTCGCCATCAGACAGAAGAAGTCAGTCCCCTCGGCTCAACACCAACTTAATTATTACATAATGTCTCGCTTAAATCTGATTTGGTGGAAATTTTTGGAATTTTTCAAGAAATATGTACTTGATTCGATCCCGTGTTGGTTAGAAGGAGGAGGAGGGGATGACTTGCAAAGTGAGAGTTTCAAGTAATAAAGCTGAAAACTAATGTCAATGTCAATGTTTTTTTTAATTTTGATGTCATGTCACTTAATCACTCGACTCGTCACTAGTCAACCAAGCAATTACTACCAAGTAGTCAGAGAGGTGGTAAAAGGTGCAAATTATCCTGTTTTATGGTGGACACGATTACAGGCTCGAGAAAAAATTCCCTTTCTTTCTTTCATAAATCTTTTGGAAGCGTTTTGATAACGCGGACGACGACAATTTTCCGTTTTTTATAGTTTAAAGTAATTCCGCAAATTTGACAGTTTTTGTAGTCGAATGTGCTGTGAAGCCAGTCATCCAGTCCAGCGACGAGGGGGAGATTCTACACGTTGATAAGAGCCTACTTTATTTTGCATTATGATTCATAATTCACTTGAACTTTTTGAGTTGTTGAGCACACATAATATTTGCTTATGCAAGTATTTGGTCCAAGATTTCATTCGTAATTTAAACGGGATTCAAATTTTAAATTGTTCAATAAGTCAATGATGAATGTAGGAGAAAAAGGAAGCAACAGTTCCGTTGAGAATTTTGATAGTAGTAAATCGCACAAATGATCAGAGGGCGGATATGTACTTACGAAAAATGGCTGAAATATGTATATTTACGAAAGAAACGCCAAATATTTACGAAATATTTGCGAAAAACATTAAAATATGAATTTTTGTAAAGCCTGTATTTTGAAATTTAATACTCTAATCTTTTTATGGTCCAATTTCTTTCAGCATCACATTTCTCTAACATCGTTGAAATATTTACAAAATATATTTTTGAAAAAATGTGCAAAAAAATTACGTATTTTTTATTTAATAATTGCGGAAATGTTTATACATCCGAAAGCCTAGAAATATGCAATGCCATGTAAAAAAAATGCGAGAATTTTTGCGATCTATGCGAGTTAGGGAACATACACCCACAAAGTTTGACCGTCGACCGTCACCTAATGAAAAAGTTGGAAATTAATATCCGCCTTCTGACAATGCACCAGTTTTGCAAAAGCTACATACGTTTGGTTCATTTGTAAGTGGACAAAGTCAACATCAAGTTTTTACTTTACTTTGTGTGCATAGTGGACGGTCAATAAAATCCCAATTTGATGCAATTATTTTTTTCCTCGCATTACGGAGAATGTTCAATGAAACAACGGGCTTTAAATGTTGAACTACCGAATTATGGCGTGTCCTCGTCCCAACCAAGAATCCATTCAGAGAGATGTTCACTTTAAAGCAATTTACTTGTGACACGGTGATTATTGATCTTAATACCTTTGTCGGAGGAAAGTAAGGAAAAGTTGGCTAAATTCCGGGGAAAATTAATTTTTTCTTACAGCCTAATCGTTCCCTAATACCCACATTTCCTGCAATTTAGAGCTGCAACTGGACCTAACTAGTGAACTTTCTAAAAATTTTTTTGGCTCGTATGTCGCTTTAGATGATAGCTACGTACGTGTCAGTCATGCAATGTTATGATCCTTGTCAATAACCAATAATTACAATTTCGCTGTTGAATTAAGTACGAGACTAATTTAAATTAAGTCATCAACCCGCACACAACATGCATTTCATTCCTTTAATAATGCATCATCCATTTCATTGTCATTTCATCCCTCAACGATCCATTGAACCCATATCAAGCTCCCGACTTGATTAGTCCGTCTGACCAGGACTTTTCCAATCACTCCTCCTCAGCTCAAGGTGATAATTCTTGATCTCCTTTTAATTACTGCATTATTACGCAGGCAGGCTTCCCATTGTGAGACGGACGGCTGTACATATTTATAAATATACATCAGTAGCAGAATGTATTTAGTAGTAGGCAGGAAAATTGTGGCTACGAGTTTAATACTGCAAGAAGTATTAAATTTGCTACCACGATGGAATCAATTTCTAAAGACTTGCTGATAAATTTTAATTTCCTTCACAACTCCTATAACAAATGGTTCAGACGTGTTTCTAATTTGATTATCTACTTTTTTCTTATGCAAATTTAATACTTATCAAAACGTATTATTTTTATTTTCAAACGTCTCATCAATCCGTCTCTTTAACAGAATAATTTTCATTTCTTAGACCACTCCACCTTTTTTAACGCCAGCTCAACTACCTTATCTTTGTCACCATATTTAAGCCGACTTTCAGTGCAAAAATGCACCTCACTCAACCCCAATTTAGTTTCGTCACCTTGGTCTGCTTGCTGTGTACACAGAGCGTCTCATCTTCTCCACAAGCTCAGAGTTAAGTAACGCTTAGAACGTAGCGTAATAAGAATGGACAAAAGGCTGAGAGGATGGCATAAGCAGATCGCATGTAATATTTAGCATCACAATTCACATTACCTTTTTAACTTATGTAGCATCTGCTCTGCCTGCGCCTCTCAGGCAAGGCAACGTAAAAAGCAGCAGCGGATCTCACTCGGAGTCATTTCCACTCTCAAAGCCAACCACATCCGATCAAAATCCGTCCTACACATTTCTCTCTTCAAGTAAATGGACCAGCACGACGAGCTATTTTTATTAAGTGTCGCAAATTCCCACAACAGTAATTGGACAGCTTGATAAAGTTTTTGCAATAATAAATACCAATAATATTTCCTCGGTTTGATCTGAAATTTTATTGGAAGCATAGGATCGGAGAAGGATTAAGTAAAGTAATCGCATCTTTTTTGGAGGCAACGTGAGACTATTTTGTTACTGGGAGTGTTTTGTGGAATTGATTATTTCATAACGACATTTATCTCTACGTTTCTCCTGCCTTGTTAAATACCAGTATTCCACCCAGTTGAGTTTTTTCAACGAGTTGACAATTTCGTACGAGGAAAGTGGGAAGAAAGTGGCAAAAAGTTGTGAAACGACGCGTGAGAAGAAAACTTTTTGTCGAGAGGAAGTAGTCGCAGAAAGAAATTGGAGGATTGGACATGACGAAATAAAGAGATTCATATTGATTTTTACGACATAATCCTTTTTAATCTTGTGTTTTTGGGGGGATTTCACCTTGGGGGAAAGGAACCTTCAACCTGCCCAGAGACGGAGATATCTCTTGTTCATCCAGATAACCCACAAAGGTCCCTCCAAGTTTAACAGGTAACCGAAATTATTTGCAATATTTTCATATTTTAGAGACATTTTATTGACTTCAAATTCAAAAAGAATATGACTTCGTCAACAAAATCCTCGAATAATCCTCTGCCATACTTGTGCTGTTTACTCCAAAATAAATCGGTTCTTGCATAACCCAGTGCGAAACCAGACAATAACATGCATTGCATACATTCATATGAGACAAAATGGCCAAAATGAGCAAAAATAGGCACATAAATAACCCAAGATGTGGTATGTACAACAGTTAGTTAGCTGACAACCATGCAACCATAAATACACACATAAATAACAATGTCTCAGAGTCAGTCAGTAGGCAAAGTAGGTAAATATGTATCATACCAAGAAGAAGGAAAAGAAAAAAAATGAATGCCATCCTCCCTACAATAATAATCAAGTGAAATATTTACTAAAAAATAATACGGCTCGTTAGTCCTGTTACAGTTTCCTTAATTCGAAACATTTCAAATCCAATGCCATCCACCGTGGAATCAAATGAACCCGATTAAAATCCTTTACCTTATGCTTGAATTCATCGTTTTGACTCATTTTTCTCTATTTTACGAGTAAAATGAAAAAAAACGTTACTTGCGGGTTGCTCATAAATATATTGTTGCTCAGTTTTGTCCAAATTTCAAGAGTAAAATGTAATAAATTCCAAGATTTTCCAGATATGTTCATAATTTGCCAATTTCTTTCGAACTTTTTCCCTCGAAGTTTTTTTCCAAACGACACCTGATTCCTGACTTATCGTTACACCAATTTTTTATGAATCTTTGTTGGTGGGATTAGTGATGATCAAGTGATGACGATGTGCACGGGCTAATTATTTCGAGCGGATACACACCCAGATCCCAGTTATGTCACAGTCACACAGTTTCTTCTTTCCCCTTTTCTTGTCATGTAATCACAGAGTCGAGCTGCTGCTGCTGGTTGCTTATTTATTTACGTGCTTTGTCTGTGTCTTAACCAAATCCGCGCATTTATGTGGAAATAAGACTTTGCCTTGATCTTCTGGTAGAATTTTAATCCACAACTGCGGCTGTAGGAATATTATTGTTGCTTGCGTACAAAATAGTGGAGGAATTGCTGTGTAATAAAAATCCTGCCACCGATTTCATGCTGCATGCCGCTCTTGATGTCATCCCTCCATTTCCTCGAATCTCAAAATTGTTGGGGATTTCATTTATTTACCTGCATTTGTCCTCTGAAAGTCTGAAACAAAGTAACACAGAGTGAACGGTTTTCATGTAAAGGCATCCCTTAAAAGCATCCCGTGTGACAAGGAGTCTGCATATGCACACATGCAAGTCTGCACGAGATTTGTGGGTTGGATGGTCGTATAAATGCATAGAAATTTGAATCGAGCCGTTTATAAATTTATTTATTCGACAGTTTGTAAAAAAAACTGAATTAAAATTAACATTTTTAAAGTACATAGGCACATGTCACTGTTAATGGCACAATTTAAACGATTATGGATTAATTAGCAATGTCTTCAAAAAAATTGGCTGATTTTGCTCCCTTATTGGCTCGTTAAAATGCAACATCACCGTTTCAAAGTATTTTTATACTTATTTCCTTGAGCATCACTTACCCACCTTGATTTATCAGTGTACGGATTACAGCCTGTTGCGGCTACCTGCTATAACCACCACCATTCTCTTGCTAAATGACATTTTTCGTGTTTTAAAAGCCTTTAGGAGACGTGGTGGTGGTGATAAGCACGGTGTACAAAGAAAGACCAAGTTCGTGGTCGGAGCGATGGTTGGCTTGGTTCTGCTTTGATTCACAGGAACCCATCGTCAAGCGAGATGAGACATTTTCTTTCTACCGTAAACTCTTTGAAACTCTTCAACCTCGTCACAAGAGCTCTTCTTCTTTCGAGAAGAAGATGAAGTTCAACAACTTGACTCTTATTTAATCTCTAATGAAACTCTTGACTTACTAACCGACACATTTTTAATTTGCACTTGACCCATTGTCCTCAACCAAAGCTACGTATTACGTATGTATCCAAGCAGTTTCATAACTTTCATAGCGAGCAAATCCATAGCTTTGTTAGATAATTGTGTGGCTGGTGCATTAAAAATACGTAAAATGTATTGGTGGATAATCAGACATGAGAGTTGGAGAAACTCTCGAGGGTCGGTTATCTCATAACGATTTAGTGGCAGCAGGACTAATCCTAAATTAAATGGATGGACATACACATACTTTTCTCAGTCTGATTCTCTCGAGGAGAAAAATCTGCAGTATTTACGACTTGTTTGCTCTCTTTTGTGCTGGGTAAAAAGATCAAGTGTTGATTATTTGGTGACACAATAACGTAACTTCCATATTACTCATTCGGGATTTTATGTCATCTGGTCTACTTCCGTGCGAGACTTGGTCTTATCTCGTCTGCCACGGGGTGGAAAATCAAATCAGTTCCCTAATCCTGTGACCGTGTCACCTTATCATTCACGCAGAAAAAAACTTATTTGTTGCTTCTTTACGTATGTGTTTAACTGTACCATAAATAACATTGACTTTGAGCAACATGGCAAATTTACGTATGTAACTTCTTTGTCAAGGTAAAGAGCTCCTTTTGAAGGAAATATCCAAACTAGGTGAAAATCGTGATTTCTTTCTCTCCTCAATTAAATGACAAACATAAACTAAACTTGTCATATTTTTGCACTTCTGAGGAGGAGAAGACTCGATAAGAAATTGCAAATCATACACATTCTTCTCTTATGAATTTATTACAAAACTAAAATGCACGTACACGTTTTTTTAAAAAAAGACGCACTACGTAGTGCTAGGAAACTCGAAACTTGATCCATGCATAGCTATTTAGGATACGTACGTACGTGCGACTAGGAATTTTCCAACTTTCCATTACATTACAAATCTCTCGTAGGTACATATGCACATATTTCATTTTTTCGGAAAAGTAGGAGGTAAGTAATTGCAGCCTTGTGTGTGCATGTGCATCGAGTAACTGTGAATCGCGTCGCTTAGTTTGGATTCGAGCAGTTAATCGCTCCTATTAACGCAACGGCTTCCCCAAAAAAGGGATAATTTCTGAAACAAGGAGGACTGGGAAATCTAGGCTCAGAAAGCAGATACTAAAATTGTTTACGCTCTTGCAGCCCATGTGACTGAACCAATAAAAGTTTAACACTCACTCGCACATCCACCTCTCCTTCTTATCTACAGTAAAGTTTAAAACATGCAATTATTGGAGGAGTCAGGTTGAATTTTATTTGTGGGTAAAGCAGATCCACCAGGAAGGTGATGGCGAAAAAAACATGATCCTCTTGCCCATTCATCACTTGTTCTTTTCTCTGATGGGACATGAAACGTTTCCTGTAAAGTGTTCTAAATTGGTCATAAATTCACTCTTTGGGTAGGCCAGCCAAGCAGGAGTTATCACTAATTCTAACTTAAGGTGGTACGAAAGGGAAAAAAATAATACTCATTTTCGATGTTTCACAATTTGCGGAAACTATTGTCAATAATTTTATAATAATTAAATTCCCGATAGATTATAAATTACAAAAAATTATGCAAATCATCAACCAATATTTGGTACTTCAATGTACAATTAAATTCAATACCATATACAAATTTAAATGTTGTTGCATAACAAATATGTAAGTGCCCTCGGACATCCGGAAATGCGTTGGTCACACTGTCATCATCCTATTTAAATAGCAAAGAGCAAGCATGCAGGATTGATTGTTGTATCACAAATTCGCTCCGTCTCACAAATTGCGACAAACCTCACCTCCAATTACACTGCACACCTTTCACGCGCAAGGATGATACGACGCGATGTCTCACCTTGCCTCTCAATCTCACAAATCCACTGCTCACCACACTTGATCATTGCTCGTCTCATCTTGGACACCTTGCTCAGCTCAACTTTTGTTTCACTTCTCGTGCTGACTTTCTTTGCTGCAAAAACGACCTGTGGCTGAAACTGAAGCAAGGCAAAGGGAGGGAGGAGGACGAACCGGTGTTCGGATATTGCACACGGACACGGAAGTGTCTAATTTTAAGCTAATTTTATACTCATGTCGAACTTGCGCCTATAAAAAAATACGTTTTGTTTTTTAACGTGTGACGATGATGATGACTTTACGGATGACTTTTACTCATAATTCCGTTTACTGCTAGTCAATGGCTGCATGCACAGGCAGGATTTTATTTTTGTGTGTTTATGGTTGCGCATTTAAGTGCATGCAATGAAATGGTGAATTAGAGACACGCGATATTATGCTATCTGGATATGCACATATACGTATGCACGAATACCAGATAAGTTAGTACAGAAGCTAACATACGTAAATAAGTATATTGACACTTTTAGAACAAGACTCTTCGCAAATATCACCCGTTTTTTCTTAAAATTCTCCAAATTTCTTGTAACAATTTACAATGTTCACACTTTTTCTTTCCTCTTCTTTCCCTAAATTTGTGGATGATTGCCCGTTACGAATTGGGAAGACAAATTATGGTCCACTGTGTGCTCAAGTGACACGTGTTTCCTTTCATGAAGAGGCGTGCAAGTAAATCGTCTTCTTCTCACTTTTTTGAGAAAAAACTTACCGCATAATCTTAAACAACCTTCAATTTCAATCAGTATTTGTTTTAGTTTTGGTCTTTTTTTAATATCCTGTATGAATTAAAGTTACACAACTTTTGGACAAGATTTGTACCAGAACGATGTATGTATGCATGCAGATTACACCTGTCCTGGTCACGCACGCAGAAAGGGTTTATTTAAGATCAATTAAAAATGGTAATTTTGTGTCCAAAATATTTTTGCATCTTGAGACTCCAAGATTAAATTTTTGCCAAAATATTGTCCCGTTACGAAACGGTTTTGCAAATTGTGAGATAAGAAAAGTCAGAGATGAATTAAATGGAGAAAAATGGCTAGGAATAAGAGATAAGGAATATCCCGTCATCTAATCAACCCATAAGAAGAAATG